GGGGGGTTGTTTATTTTCTTCTCTTTTTGATTATATTCCCATTATGTTTATAGTGCCCTCCTAATGCTTTCGAGTCTACACTCGTGTCGGGATAATATCAAGGACATTCTGCTTACCTGTACCGAAAATTATAAAGTAACAATTCATGATATGCGCACAAGTCTTGAACATGCAGATGGTGAATAGTGGCTCTTCTTCCACGCGGGCAGCTGCATTCGCGCCGCCACTTCACCCACGAATAGAGTACATTCAGACCATGGAAGGAAGACGAATTCAACTGGGAACTCTGTGGACTAGGCAATCCTTCATGGTTAGATATGCACTTTGTCGTCATGCCCTCATGTTAGTTCCCACAACTTATAAGTTCTCACATTTCCCCGTACATGAAATACCACCTACTAGGTACGCTGTAGTGGGCATTCGAGGAGGGGTTTTTTATCAAAGTGGGGGAGTTGACAGTGGATAGCAACGGACGGAGCCAAGAACAAGATGCCTCTCAGGGTCCTGATCGACCTTACGTTGGTGGCGCACTATATTGGGGCTCTGATTTTCGAGTCAGTCTAGCCCTGGGAGGTGCGAAGATGTTGCGCATGCAAGCGACGACTCGCTTGTTCTAGTCAAGATTCTCCTAGTTGCCTAGTACTAATCGACGGTTTTTGCATTCCTGCCCCGCATGACTTTGAGAGCAACTGGCAAATCATATATATGGACAATGCAGATTCTTTCCTCCAGAGTTTCGCCTCAGTTGAGGGCCAGTTGCCAGGCCTGCCAGGCTGCCAGACCTTGCATGTTTTGTCTTTTGCTCTCTCTTATTTGACGAGTTGAGACATGATTCTTCGTTTCGAATGCAGCGGAACTACACCCGCTTGGAGTCCAAACCTGCAAGTACTTTTACAGAACAAGGTGTGCACCCTTTTGACCGTCAACTCTGATTCGTGCTAAAAGTCGGTGAGAGAGACATGTCCCAGTCCTAGCAGCGCTTTAAGCGTAGATGATTCTCGTCATGTAGGTGTGTATGTATTGCCACCGCAATTATGCAGAAAAAAGCTCCTAGGTTAAGGTAGCATTCATCATTGTTCCTCACATCGCATCGACTGCAGGTACTAGGTTGGTGGAGTCACGGCAATGATCCATATTCTAGTTACCAAGTTACACACTGACCCAACCGCCAGATCCACAATACCATGCCACAACTGGTCTCCGGGAGACTTGAAACGAGTATGATCACTATGAGTTATATAGTTGGTCGGATTCAAGGCTTTGGTTTCCATTCAATGACTTGCTCTCGTGCAATATCCCGTGGAGAGGATATCCTTCCCACTACGAATACCTTCAAGTCATATATTGATGATCTTCATGCTGGGGTACTCCGTGTTAGCAGGCGGTTATGCCAGCAAAAACATCCAAGGTCAAGAAGCCGCGCTAGCCTGGTGTTCACCTTGGTCGTTTCAATGCTACTAATTAGAGGTAACGTATCGATTGGGCTGTATTGACAGCCCTCAGCTTAGGGCAAAGGGCCCTGAGCTCAAACTCACCCAGCCTCCTTCGCAGTGTATGTAGCAATGTAGTATGCAGAACATCATGCGTGCGTGACCATGAAGTTATTGCACTAATCACCTAGCCCAACGAAGCAGTACACTACGGGTAGCAAGTGCCCCGCTGAGCCCGTTCTGCCTTAGAATCGATCGATGTCCCGGCGGCGCCGCTTTCCCATTAAATAGATAGCGAGTAGTATACACAATCATAGCCTCCATAGCCGCCCGGCATTGCGAAAGTAGCACGCCTTTGATGGAGGAGTTACAGTGTTTACTGATGACGTTGCGTCATACCGCAAAAGACATCGGATGGAATCTATCAAGTGGCACCATGGATGCCGAACAGGCGGAGTTCCAACCCCAGCTCGTTGATCAGCTACGATCGGAACTTATGTATCTTGATGGGCCCCTTGGGCCTTGCCCGGGATGGCCGCAGCCGGCTGCGCTACAGACATGCGTGGGGTTGTTATGATATGAATGTTAAGGAACAGATACTGACTCACACCCGACCTTTTTGTGCCCGAGGCCAACTAATTTGGCTTCTTGTGTCCTACTGCAAGAATATTTCTCTCGCATACATAGTCTTTCTCATTCAAGTATCCATTGCATGTGGGTTGGACTGCATAGATCGAACATGAAAATCAAGCGTGTTGAAGGTATAATGGCGTGTTATACAGCACTAGCTATGCAACGAAGCTGTGGCGGACGGGTGAGTCTCAGTGTATGTCGGCAGCCTATCTGAGCCAGTCCTGCACAAGTGCTGCAAGAGGATACGCAGACGCCGAAATGACACGCAATATGCATTTCGTTGGGATGCCTGGCTTTGATGTATCAGATTTCTGGCCGAGCGGACATAAGATGCAGAGGGGAGGGAGGGGAAAAAAAACCGTTGTTGGGTTATTTCAATCGTCCGCTGCGTGTTGGTCAAGGTTCCCCCGCACTTCTACCACGATGTATATGAGTGTTTCTGGGAACCCGGTCCGCTATTCGGCCAAGGCGCTCGGCTGCTGCCAGAGTTTCCCAGTCAGGCATCGTCCTCACCGCCCCCCTTAGGTCCCTCGTGGCATATATTTTCTTCTTCTTCTTCTTTTCTTTTGGAGGGGCTGGCTTTTTGAGCCGGCGTATCGTACAATGTGGAGTCACCGTAGAGAGCCTGAAGCGAAAGACGGACGAATCTGAATCAGGTATGTAGTATACGTACCAGTCTAGCGGGCCGGCATCAACCAAGATGGAGGAGATTCTCTGAAATATGACCGAGTGAATGCGAGACTGGCCGGATAGAGCAAGGAGGATGCTGGCGTATCTGAGCAAGGTGGGAGGAATTAGGTGAGAAGAGCAACATGTACCACACGAAGCCATTGATCAAGGACATGTATCCCAGGAAACCGAATTTGCGGTATCCATCTCAGGAAACAACAGGCACCCGCGGTCCCCTGGATCGGTTCACCTTTTAGAGTAAGGTTGAAGTGACAAGCCGTTCACAGAGGCTACCTCTAAGTTATTAACATGCGGCAAGTACCTGTCTTTCCTCAAAGTGTGTGCCTCGCCCGACCTGAACCACCAATTCTTCTGTGGACGGGCTACCAAGTGTGTCCTGCCTTTCGGGAGCAGCAGAGCGAGGCGGCCAATAGACTTTGGTAGCGCCAGATCCGGGAGTAGATGTACCTAGTACAATTTATAGGTTTGTGTCTGCTGAAACCGCCTGCCAGAGGGCAAACTTTTTCCTTTGAGATTTGAATATACGTCAGGCAGATCCACAGGCGTCTAAGTTTTTGCGCTTCCGTTGTCAATACTAGGTCTGGCACATCTGTACCTACTGCTTATCACTACTCGTGCTCGTGGCAACAATCAACTCGTCGTTCTGACCAGCCCAGTAAAAAAGGATCGGCCAGTGCGTCCCCTCTGCTCGTGGTAGCGGCCGATGCTCGACCGGGGCTACTATATGTATGTGCAGGGACCAGTTACAAGGTCGGCCTACAAGGAGAACGGAAGAAACCAGCCTCTGCTAAAATCAATGCACGCACGGCAGCACGCACGCCGCCTCAGCGCCAGCGCTACTGACCTCTATCGCCCATCTTGCCCACACCCCCAGGCCACCACCACTACATCTAGAGTGGACAGACGCAACGCAACGCACAAGACGAGAGCCCGCAGCAGTGAGGACACACACTGGGACTGACTGGGACTGCCAGAACCGACAGGGGTCTCCAACTGGCGCCGCCTCTCTCGACCTCCTCTGCCTCAAACCCCAAAGCATCAATTGATCTTCTTCTTTTTCTGTGTCTTGCTCTCCGCTCCACACTCTTTTTTGTAGCGATATTGCAATTCCGTCGTGTGCTGCCGCTTCCTGGCTCTCCAGGGCAGCATATTGTGCTACTACTTGCTTCCTCCACAAGGTGAGCATTTCCTGTCCTCTTAACCCGCTCGTCCCAAACATCTACCCCCCAAAAGAGAGGCGATAGAAAGAGAGAGTGTGAGAGGCAAACCCCCCTCCTGGGGAAAAGAAAGGTTGTCGGGAGTCAATCGATCCGCGCGCGAAATCACCGCTATCCATATACTTGTCGAGCCTGACATTCGGAGGCGGGCGACACGACGGTGTTACAGGCTGTAATTCTGCCCGCTTTGCGACCCCGCCGTACCTTGATGCGAACCGATCGTCGCCAGACACGAAAACCTGCTCTCACCTCTTGCGCTGCTATCTCCTTGGTGTGCAACAGCCCCCCGCTGACCAGATTTTCGTTTCCGTATAGTCCTATAGAAACAGCGACAACCTCTTCTGTACGAAAGCTTTGTCGGTGTTGTAACAACAGTAAGAGTAGGGGAAAATGGATAACTTTCAATACCGTGCGCAGCAGTCGCCTGTAACCGACGCGCCGATGAACTCGCTTGTCTCACCACCAAGAAATGGCAACCGAATGCCCCAACCAGACCTTCGGACCACCCTGCCTCGTCGCTTCACCACCGACTCGGGGCGTGTACCAACATTATCGACGCTGAACTCCCTTCAACGTCCTGTCGAGCCTCAGGAGTATACCACGGCTGTGAGTGCATAGAAAATCTTGGGATGTCCCTCTTTTGCGCAGGTGGATCGAGTTTCCAACCATGTCTCGGAATTCCCACTCGTCGACTTGCATTCCTAGAATTTGCCGCTGACTAGTTCATACTCTTTCCAGACCGAATATAAAGCCCAATTGGTAAGCCATACTTTGCAGTCTTCTGCTCAGTCTACGCTTGGCTCGGTGAGCAAGGCGAGCTATTGTGTTGCACATGCGCCATGGAATTGTTCATGTTGGAAATAATGGCTGACATTGTCTGCAGTTGAACAAGAAGAAGCAGGAGTACGAGACTCTTCTGGAGCAGAAACGGCGCTTCGAGGCCGAGATGAGGAAATTCGAGCTTCAGCAGCGTCAGGACGAGGCCGAGTTGCGGCAGATGGAAATAGACCTGACCAAGAACAACTTGTTTGGTTTGACAGGTCATCAGTCTGAGCCCACAACGCCGCCCGAGTATCGAGAGTCGTCGAATGGTTTCCCGACCATGTTCTCGAGGCCGAATCGATATTCACTTTCAAGCTTGACATCTCCCCCGGGCCTGTTCAATCGATCCGCAAGATCGGGTTCTCAGTTACAATCGCCCCAATCAGGCATCATGCCCTCTCAATCGCGCCCATTTGCCTTTGACGATCACCTGCCTTCTCGGTCAGTACCAGGAACCCGGAGAAACAGCGACGAGGACGAAAAGGAAGAAGCGCTTCGCCAGGATCCTACCAGCCACCGCTCAACCAACGCGTAAGTCCCGATTTGCTAATGCATTACTTGGTTTTCTTTTCTTTGCGAATTGGTCGTTTGTTCCCCCTCTGCGAGCAACCTATCCTACTGGTTTGTTGCGCCGTCGAAAGAGAGGTCTGAGTATAGCATTTGCGCACAGACCATATCACCAGACCCATCTCACTATGTATGATCTTTGTCCGATACCTGGAATCAGGGCATGGATGAGAGAATTCGTCGGATACTTTTCGGGTCAATACTTTCGTCTCATGCTTTTCCCTTTTCCTCTGCTACTGCAGAAAATTCAAGATTCCATTCGCCGAGCTGTCGAACACCTCACATTTTCATTCGCAATACAGAATATCTTTCCCCGTGGCGGCATCACGTCCAGATATTTGGTCGGGATTCAATGCGGGCTCAAAGTTTGAACTGCTTGAATTTGCTAAAAGCGGAATGAAAATTGTGGAAGGTACGCCAAATCATGAGATTGTATTTCAACTACAATCATTGCGATGCTCCAACAAGGCCCAAGTGGACTATCAGCACATACACAACAATCACAGTAAAGTTACAGTGCCCTAGAACGAATCGGAAGGCCTCTCTCTCATCTGCATCCTACTCTTCTCAGGAGAGGTCCATGATCCCTGAATTATTCCCATTGCAACAATCAATCAACCCCTAGACTATTCACAATAGGGACAATCCACAAAGTCGGTCAGCCGCTCTTGTGTGCCTTCCCTGCACGAACTCGATTGTTCCCACGTCACCCCAACGGTATAAGAAGACTTCTTGCCCAAGGTGAAGTCGAACTTGGACTTGACCATCACCACCAACCTCTTTTCCATCATTGGTCAATTGTCTTTTTGACTTTTGCCCTTCCTTCCTGCTGGTTCCTGCCTTTCTTGTTTCTTGTTTCTTGCCATTCGGCTTCCTTGCATTCAGCACTTGACCCAACTCCAACATTGGTGCAAGAAGTGCACAACACACATCCTCGACCTTCATTCCCATTTGTTTTCTCATCTGACTTCTCACTTCTACTTGTCCCAACCAAGACACGGACAACTGACTTGGGTATCTACCTAGCCTCAACCGATACTCTATGCCTGTCACTCGCAGAGGCAACCCGCTGTACGACAACATTGACCAGACCAACGCCGCTGGATTCTTGTTCCGCGACGACGATTCCAACTTGGAGGGCAATTACACTGCCCTAGATACCAGTGAAGACGGTTTCCCTAAATTGGTCAAGGGCAATCCCAACCGAGTAAGTCCATCTCATGTGATTGCAGTCATTTCTACAGATACCCCCAAACATCTGCAACTGGAAACTTTCACAATTGCAGTCTTGCTTGTTCTGGTCAAAGCTGTTGTGAAGTCGGTCTGCTGGTGTTACCCCTCCATGCAGACAACCCGTTCGTTACCCCTCCAAAATTTTCAACTTCAAGAAAAAACCTGCCCATTGTCCTTGGTCACAAGACAAACGAGCAAACGAGGACAATACCCAACAGTCTTGCACACTCAATCCTTGGAAACAACCGCACCTTCATCTGCACTTCACGCTGTTGCCTTTCTGTTGTGCAGTTACTTGTTGGAACATTCTTGTTCTTGACGTGCTAATAATTCTTCCCATTCACAGCTCTCTACGTCTTCTGTCGCTGTTGATCTCAGTTCTCTCAGCACTGCTAATCCCGAAGCCTCCAACGGCTGGAACAAGATGGCATCCCTCCACCGTGCTCAGCAAAGCCTGTCAAACATTGACACGGTCCAAATGACGCCTGCCGAGTCGGTGGCATCGGGCTATGGCAGCTCGTCCTCGGATGCTAACAGCATCAGTGGACGTGCTGGTTTCCGACACTCGCTGGATCTCGCCAAGCAGCAAGGTCTCGATTTCAGCTATCTCAAGGATGCTACAAACGACAGTGTCAATGTCATCAAGTCACCCCCGGCATCTCAAGCCATGCCCCCGAAGCTGCAGACCTCTTTCTCTGCTAATGATATTCACACTGTCAAGCCCGGCAATTCTGTCAATGGTTCAAACGCCAATGCTCATGCACAGCAGCATTTCCACAACCACAATGCTAGCATTGGTCGCATCCCCCCAGGTGCTATTCCCAAGCAACACAATCGCGAGCTTTCCAATGACGGCCATGTTCCCAGCCTCCCGCAGGCCTCCACCTATCCATCCATTGGCAGTGCTCTACATGCCAACGCGCCCGCATTTGGACCAACTGGACTGAATTCTCAAGGCCCTACATCTGGTGCCGCACCCGTCACCTCGCCTTCCGGTTCTGCTGTCAACAACTACCCTCCCTATTACGGCAATGGCGGCTACAACCCCCCAGGCAACCCCAATGGCTCCAACTATAACATGGGTATGCTGATGCAGGGCATGGGTAACATGAACATCAATGGATACCCTCACCAAAACTACCCTGGTTACAACCCCATGTACCAGTCCGCACAGCCACGTGACTCTCAGCAGCGCGTCATCCAAGCACGCCGTGCTCAAGACAATGAAGGTAAAGTCTCAGTGTTCGTCGCACAGACTGTGTGCCCTTTGCTAACTTCGTTTACAGCAATGAGCCGTTTCAATGGAGCACCTCTCAGCAACTTCCAGGGTGGCATCCTGGAGCTCTGCAAAGATCAGCACGGCTGCCGATATCTTCAGAAGCAGTTGGAGAACCGCCTTCCCCATGAAATTCATATGATTTGGCTGGAGACGAACGCTCACGTTGTTGATCTCATGATGGACCCATTCGGCAACTATCTTTGCCAGAAACTGCTCGAGTACTGCACTGATGATGAGCGTACTGTTCTCATTCGTAATGCTGCCGAATCAATGACTCGGATTGCATTCAACCAGCATGGCACTCGAGCTCTTCAGAAGATGATCGAGTATGTAACTCTACCGGAGCATGTTCAGATCATCATCGAGGCTCTGCGCTTCCAGGTGGTTGAGCTCATCAAGGATCTCAATGGCAATCATGTTATTCAGAAGTGTCTCAACAAATTGTCTTCTGAAGACAACCAGTTCATCTTCGAAGCTGTCGGCAATCATTGTATTGAGGTTGGAACTCATCGTCACGGCTGCTGTGTTCTGCAGCGCTGCATTGACCATGCAGCGGGCGATCAAAAGATTACCCTGATCAACCAAATCACTGAGAATGCTGCTCGCCTTGTGCAGGATCCGTTTGGCAACTACGTTGTGCAGTACATCATCGATCTCAATGAACCCAGCTTCACACAGCCATTGGTGCTCAAGTTTCTCGGCAGCATAGGAAGACTGTCGCGTCACAAGTTCAGCTCCAACGTTATGGAGAAGTGTCTTCGCTGTGCTTCAGACCAGTCCAAGGAGTTGATGGTCTCTGAAATCCTCAACTCTGGCGAGATCGAGCGTCTGCTTCGCGATAACTACGGCAACTACGTTGTTCAGACTGCCTTGGAGCATGCTCCTCTCCAGGCCAAGATGCAGTTGATCGAAGTCATTCGTCCCATCATTCCAACTGTTCGCGGTACACCTTATGCCCGTCGTATTTCGGCCAAGATCATGGCTTTCGACAACAACCGTGGCTCTGCCAATACCAGCGGACAGACGACTCCTTCTGATGCAACCAACGGCCAGATCCCGCTGCGAAACTCTGGATACACTCCTGGCAACGGTGCCGGTGGCTTGAGAGGCACTGGCGAGTACGGAAACGGCACTCGCAGCCGCGGTCAGTCCAACTACCAGCCCAACGCAACTGGCAATGTTGCACCCCCTCAGCCACCCCGCTTGAACCAAGGCTACACCTATCCGGGCGGTACTGTGCAGCCTGGCAATGCCGAAGGCCAGTTCTTCTAGGACCATCTTGTTTACGATATGCCACCGCGCTTGTAATGGTATGATAAATGCATTGGCGGCAGCTGCTGGTGGTTTCTCCACCAAGCATGCGGGTTTGCTATTTGACTTTGGCGACATACGACCGAAATGGCTTCTACGACCCTGACGACTTTCCTATCAGTAGTCACCTCGAACATGAGAATCCGCGCATCATTTCTTTGATCAACGAGCAAACAACTCACGACAACCTTCGTTCTCTGGACCACTTATGTACACTACCATGCTCGTTGAGGACCACTCTCCATCTTTCTGGGTCTCTACTGGGCATTTTATGGTCGTCTGTCTCTTGGTACAGATCGAGAACATTCCCAGATACCTGAGGCTGTGTACTCATGTACTTGGACCCTCTTGCAAACATAGACTGTTCTCTTTTCATCCTTTCCCCTTTTTTTTCATGGAGACAGCATTGTATTTCGACCTGCTATCATTTTTCTCTTCTTTCGAGAGTCGACGACCAAATTCCGCTATACACCGTATAGGCACCGTTGATTTCTCTACTTTATTTTTTCTTGTTCAATTCGCGCGGCTTCACTTCATACGGAGCAACTCGAGATGTCATTTACCTCCAGCATCATCAGCCACACACATCGTGTCGAAGCACGCAGAGGTGGCTGGCATGAGAACATGGCGTGGGATTTGGAGATCTCGCTGGATATCTACACCGTCTGGAAATCAGAGGTAGACGAGAGTTGTTTTGGTGGCTCGGGTCATGGAGAGACAATGGCAAAGGTCACGTCGCGGCGGATCTTGCTCATTTCTCTCTCATTTTTTCGTGTGTTTTAGTGGTGTTCACGATCTGGTTTTTCATTTCCTTTTGTTTTGACTGCAATGTCCCTGGGCAATTCCGGTCGCCTAATGGGTCATCATCTGGGAAAATGGGCCTCGCCAAATGTAACTGCAAAGAAAAGCAGCGCGCGGGCATCTAGATAGATCTGTGCCATAGCAGATAGTCTCAATCCTCAAGGCACATATAGACGAAGCTCAAGCCTTTCTGCGATCGTGACGTGTACACAAATTCACAGATTTTCTAACACGAGAGGTGTACTGTTTTGAGCTGCTTACTGGATAGTACAATCATACTTGTCCGTGTGCGCTCACGACTCATGTGAGACTGGTCACGTCCACGACGAGACCACCCAATCCATGTTCAAGCAGTCATAGGGTCGGTACATCCACTTTACTGGTTTTGACCTCCTTTGTCGACTTGTTGTAGATGACTGATCATGCAGCCACTGGTCAACATATCGCATACTGCTGGGGAATTCCCCAAGCCAAAGTGATTTTACTAGAGCCAAACAAGACAGTCGGTCATCTCATATTGAGTTGTTCCTGGAATCATGGAAAGCTATCGATAGATTCACAGTAGGACCTCTGAGCAGCAGAGTACCATAGATGACAAAACGGCAATCTTTTTCTGTCGAAAGCTTTTGCTTTGTATAGAAGACGAGGCATTCATTAATCACGATAGGGTAGAAAGCCAGAGACTTGGTATGGAAACTTCTGTAGAGCGTAGACGCGAATAGGCGGTGGCGAGAAGGAAATGTCACATGAATGATTGAAGCTTTCAAAATTGAAACACCAGATATTTAATAAAACAAGAGTCTATCAACGTCGACACAGGTTGGTCCTTTTCGAGAATCTGCTCCAGGAAGCGCGACTCACAACCCTTATGCTTTCAGATAATATGGATAAGTGACCAAGTTGCATTTATGCTCTTGACTCCTTCAGACGCCTGCATACTCGGTCTGAGAAAGGTGGAGGAAGCAATAATGAATTATATCCAGAGTTGTCATTTGTTTTTTATACACTGTACCTGACTGTTTGTGGCTACGAGAGATCGCCTCTTAGATTCCACGGCTCTGTTTGGGCTTTGCCAAGAAGTCGAAATAACGTGTTTGATGACTTTGCCGGAAATTATATTGGAATGGCAGACATGCCATGGGCCTTATTCGGCTTTGGTAACGTAGAATGTCCCAGCTCAAAATCTCCTCCTTTGCTGGACGGATGACAACTACGTACTCGTTCTCCGGAAATTCAGCTTGACGTGCTTCGATCGATTACTGTCAAGGCCTAGAAAGCACCATTTTCTCTCCCCCCATGACACCCCTTCCTTTTTCCAGCTCAACTGAATAATTCTCTGGTCACGATTCTCCAGTTCTCAAAATCATGGCTATTGTCTCAACCAGGTTTCACAAACATGTATGATCTAGCTGGTCGTGAGAAAGAAAATATTACATCTTTCCGTGGTAGTCCCTTTCGGGCATCATCTCGAGATCAAGTCATGGGGCTGAAGAATTCTCAAACTAGCAGGACTGTTGGCCACGACGATACATTCTTGACAAGGGATTCTGTTCCTAGGTGATGGGCAGGAAAGAAAGAAAAAGGTTTGTCTACGGTATCGTGTGCCATGGTGTGAGGAGGGGCACATGGACTGCCTCAACGCTGTCTCTCATGGCTCTTTGTTATCTCAAGGTAGAAAACCCTGTTTGACAGCGATGAATGGGCTTGGCGAAGGGATATTTAATACATACAGATGTACTGATGTCAATGTTGCTCCTCACACAAGACTTCTCTTGACATATAACCATTAGTAACACTTCAAGTCTGCCAAGGAGATGAGTTTCGCGCAGTGACAAATCAGTATCGAGGCTGCAAAGGGCAAACACGGTCACTGTAGAGGAATGTAGGAAAAAGAGACAAGGCGGGGCAAACTTGTTCATGTGTTGTCGGTATTTATTTTAAACCCATTCTCAAGTACGTAACGTTACTCCGGCCGATTTTCCTCAGCGCGTGAACCAGACCACGAAGCAGGACCTTACTCCATCGTAAATTGACCATGCCAAATGCCCAAACTTTCTCATTTTCATCAATCGCCCCCTCAACAGATCCCTCACCGGCGATCCGTCTATCGGTATCTCCAGAGGGACAGGGTGTTGTGGCGCTTCCAGGTCTTTCTGCGGCCAGCCTTGGTCTTGTTGTAGCGGTGGCCCTTGTTGAGACCACGGGACTTCTTGCCAGTAGCAGTAAGGCCGCGGGACTCGCGGTGCTTGTGGACGGGGGCGACGATCCAGTTGATGCGGGGGTCCTGGCGGATAGCCTTGTGCTGGGGGTCGACGAGGATGACCTCGTAGTACTTGTAGGTGGAGTCCTGGTTGATCCAGTAGGAGTTCAGGACGCGCAAGTTGGCGCAGCGGCGGCCGACACGCTCCTCAGCGGTCGACTTGAGGGAGCGCTGGTACTTGAGCTGGTTCACACCCTGGTTGGTGGGCTTGCCTGTGGTCGTGTGTCAGTAGATGTCTTTTGATGATATGGGCTGGCACCTCAAGGTGCTGCCAGGCCCGGTGATCAAAATTTTCGAGACGTACCATAGGTGGCACCCTTGGGCACGGGTCGCTTGCGACCACCACGGCGGACACGGACACGGTAGATAACGTAGCCCTGCTTGGCCTTGTAACCAAGACGACGAGCCTTGTCGGGGCGCGAAGGGCGGGAAGCGCGGTGGATGACGTTCAACTGACGAAGCTATATTGATGCAGTCTCAGCAAATGTTCAACGACTGTATAGCAAAGACACGGGGTTCTTCATCGCCCGACTGAGGTACCTGTAAATGGCCTGGCTCGCATGATACTCTAGGTGATCCAAGAGGAGCGAGATGCCGCTCACAAGACCTCAACCGAGGAGAGAAAACACAAGAGCGTCCACATGGTCATCCATTGATTGCAATTGAATGCATATGATCGTTCGTATGTGTGCGTAATTGCGCGTCGGCAGGATCGAAAACTCGAGGAATTTTTTTTTTCAACATACCTCCCAGCAGCGGACGCGGAGGAGGAATCGCAGGACATCCGACTGCTTCTTCTTTTGAAGCTCTTCGACGTACTTGAGGGCACCCATCTTGACTGTTTGGCGGGGGAGAACTAGGTTAGTAAGAAAACAAAAGAGAGGAAAGGAAGGAAAAGTTCGACTTCTGGGGACTCGGGTACGCACCAGGTTGGAATTTGAGGCCTGCAAAAACGGAGTGGTCGTTTGTCGGTTGGTGGGAGTTGGCAGATCTGAAAGTTCGAAACCTCCAATTTTCCAAGTGAATTTGGGTGGGTTTGGAAAAATTGAAAGTGTGCGCTGGGTGGGGCGGGCAGGTGCCGGGCCATGGCGGGCTTCAGAACTGTGGACTAATCCTAATAAGGTCTAGCTCAAAGGTCTCTTCAAGTCCCACTTATTTCGTTCACCGCGGTTCCCACTGTGAGGTTCTCATTTGGGAGGAGAGACACCAGGGATTGAGCTTGGTTGGAGTTTTGGGAGAGCAGGAAACAGAAAAACACGACACAGGGTTGGGGCACGTCACGTATTGTTGAATTATTAATATTTTTGGGTGATGATGTTTTCTTCATGTATATTCTATCTGCATTAACAAAGATGTACCGTACAATTTGCAAGTCTCAGCAATTGGCATGCATCGATGAAATGCTCTTGGCACATCAAAAATTCCAAAATGTCCTATCATACATCCTTGACCAAGCCTGCTGTCGATCGTCGCGCCTTAGTTTATACACTTGGTTTCTTACCCCTCCAAAATGTTGCCACTGTATGGACTGGTCTGCTCATTGAGAGTGATTGCAGAGATCAAACTTGGTTCTGGGCTGCTGATAGTGTGCTAATGAGTTGCCGCAGGCCATCCTTCTGCTGTTCAATCACGCTGCCAACACTGTCTCGTACAGTCTTGCGGCTGGCCTGGAACATGTTTGCTCCAGTCTGCTCATGGCCACTGATTTCCGACGTATCCTTGACCGGTGATGAATAGGTATAAGGCGCCAAATGGCCCCTTGCAAGCTTTTCACCATCATCGCGGGCATGTTGCATGATCTGCTGAATGTCGTGCTTGTCTTTTTCGATGGTGGAAGTGGGTACCTCGATTGGAGCCTTTTGCTGCAATGTCTCGTTCATGCCCCGGAAACACTTGATCATGTCTCGATATCGAGCGATGGCGTCGTGTGCTTGATCCTGGAGAGTCCCGCTGCTGTCCAGCGGCTCTTCTGGCTGTGTACTTTCCATGTAGAGCTGATTGACAATGTTGTTGACCTTTTGGCGGTGTCCTTTCCTGAGTTCATTGTCAGTACAAATGGTTGGCCAGGGCGTTGGAGGCAGGACTCGTACAGTGTATCCTCTCCCTGTTTCATTAGCATTTTCAGCTGTTCAGTCTGCTTGTCGACATTTTCCTCCGAAGCGCTCATGAACTCCTTGGAAAACTTCTCCTCGTTTTTACTGATGTCATCAATCCACTTGCCCCAGCTCTGCAAACTTCCGTATTTTCTTCAGTTGGTATGATGCATTGGTCGAGAGTGGGAAAACTTAACCTACCGACTATCATCTCTGAGAGCGTCATTGTCCCCGGAACCCGCGAGACGAGACAGGCTTTCGCCTTTTGCCCGTTTCACAGATTGCTTTTGCCTGGTTCTGCCTCGACCAACATCGTCGTCTGACGGATCTGGGTTCACGTGCTCTTCATTGCTCTTGCGCTTGGCGTTTCGCTTGGGTGCCATGGTACCAAATTACGTCTTGGGATGCCGATGCTGCAACGACAACAGTCAGGTGTACGGTGGTCTTGGGTTCGTGGATTTTCCAACAAAATATCTTGGTCTCAAATGGTCTTTAATCTAGGTGACGTGTCGCTCCAAGAGAAAACAAAATTTCAGTACATGCAAATTTGGTGGGGAGATGCCGGTGGTCGTTCTTTCCTTCCCGACAAGAGTTTTATTGCATTGAGCAGGCAGGAGCCGTCTCACGACTGTCAACTGCTGCCTCCAATAAAAATACTACATGAAGTAGGTCTGGTACCTAACCCTCGAGGACCTATGTGGCGATAAGAGACACTCATGCTTCCATGTTTCTTCACTCCTCGCTGTTTGCCAATTCAGCCAGACGTTCAACCCCCTGCTTATGCATATACACCCAGTTCATATTCAACATATTTTCCATCACATTATTGAGTTCTGGGTCATCTTCTTTGTCGCCTTCGTTGTTGATATCAAAAAGTTGATTGTTGAAAGTCTGCCAAGCCTTGAGAACAAGCTTGGCTTTTGATTGCCGGACGGCTTGCTGTGGAGAAGTTTCTTGAAATCTGACTCTCTTTGAGCTTCCATTACTCTTTTTTGTCGTGACTGACTGTTCTTCTTTGGTCATCTGCTTCTGTGTCTCCTGGAGAGTCTTGGGCATCTTCAGGAAAGGATGACTCTGTGGCGTAAGCGATCTTCGAGGCGCTGTCTCTGGCGCTGGCCGAGCTCGAGCGAACAAGTCCGTCATATTGGAGTCTCGACCTGGATTGCTGGCGGAACCTGGATTGAGCGATGGCCATCCTGACCTCCGGGTCGTTTCTGGCTGGTTGATAGTTGAACTGTCGACATTCTTTCGGAGAATGCCTTCTCTGGGTCTGGTCATTGTGGGCGACTTATTCTTCCTCGCAACTCTACCCCGGACTTTACATGTAATAAGTTCTCAGGTCCTAGGATTCGGGCTTCAGTAGGATCAAGACGAGTTTATAAGATGATGATTTCCAGGTTCGAACTTTGATATCAACTAGAAAAGTGGAGCGAGACAATTTGTATAGACTTCCTTGTCTTGTGTGGTTCAGACAATAGAACGGGGCGCTCACAAGCCTTTTATTCCAAAGAAGTGTCTAGCATTTCTTTGTACACCTAAGCAATACTTTGGAATCACCCCAATACTCGGGATCATTTTTTGCGGACCCCCGAATGATGCTTAAGGTTTTCATTATCCTGATTCTTAGGTGCTGCTGACAGGCATTCGAAAGTCCACCAAAAGCAACCCACCAATGTCGCTAACCACCTATCTAATATGGGTGACTTGTTGCCTACCTGTGCCTGACTATGCATATATGCCTAATGAATCAAGATACCAATTTTTTTGATCTCTAGAAGTATTGTTCAGTGGCAGGCAGTGATGATGCCGAAATAACAAGGTTGCCTGTGATCATAGATTGGGTTCGGATATAAGCCACAAACAAGTCCTGATACGGAAATCCTAAACTCCGTGGGTGCTTACGAAAACCACTAATAGACTACTCGAAGTCCGAACTTGTGAGTCGTGACTTCATACTGCAAAGTTTCAGCGGTACGGAACAATCTTTGATTTCACAGACATCTCAACGTCGCGGAAGTCTCATTGTCCGAGATATCACAGGCGCCACGAGTGATTACCTAGAACGGTGAACCTGGGCAGTTGTGTGGCGAAACCCTCCGTAAGGGTTCACTATGGTGTATTTAGGTCCATCTAAAGGCTGCGGCTCCTGCCGAATGCGGCGGAAGAAGGTGCGCAAGAGCAGCGACATTGAGGATATCTACTCGAAAATTCCCTGATAAGACGCTTGAGAGCTAACGTGCAGTTTGTATCAACAGTGCGACGAGACACGACCGGTACGCTCTTATCTCTTATGTATCACGCAGAATCAACCGCCACTATTCATAATTCGTCGCAACAGGGGTTTAGAGAAGATGACAAGGAGACCTAATTGACCTTCAATCTGTAGTCATGCATGAGATGTCTCAAGGCGAATCGCTGCTGTAGCGGCTATGAAGTCCATGGCACTGCAGACTTTCGCTCATACGAACCTCGAGACCAGAGCCAGATCGCTACTTTCTCGTCCATGGCCCGAAAGTGCACCTTACCTAAGCGGACACCTATCCCGGGCACCAGAAATGACCTCCCGGATGACAGCATACCACCAGAGACCACCGATGCACAGAGCAATGCATTCTGTCTTCGGGCCTTTTACTACGACTTTTGCGTGGTATCCACTAATGAGCATATATCTCAAGGCTTCCTGCCCGGTATCGAGAAAAAGGTTCGGCGCCTCGGACCCAAATCAGACCTGGCTAGAGCCTGTCAGGCAGTGGGGTTCGTGAGCCATGCCAAGCCTCTCAATAGGCCTGCCATCATGCGCAAAAGCGAGGCCTTTTACCAAGAATTACTTGGATCTCTGGCTAGGGCCATTGACGACCCAGTCACTGAACCAACCAAAGAAGCCAAGTCAATTGCAATGCTATTGGGACTTTACCAGGTATACCGAGAAGCATCTCAATAATGTGAAAAAGATAATTAGTCAATGGTCAGAAGCTGACACTTTCCATTTGCAACACGCAGATGATGATTGCGAGTTCTGACAACCACGGTGCGCACGAGATACATGCCAAAGGCCTCTCGGCACTGATGAAAGTTAAACACCTGCCCGGAAACGATTTCAACGGAGAGGGTTCTAGCTTTTTCAAGCAGTTTCATGTAAGAGAGTTTATTTTGACAGCTGCCTCAAAAGCTAGTACTAAGTATAATCTTTTATAGTTGGACACGATATTCTGTATCCCGAGCCTGCGTGGGCCAACCGGTAGTCTTGGGGATCTACTATCTGGGGTCGAGAAGCTCTACTCAAGAAATGAGCACTCTATTGGCACAAACGATGTGGCAGAAATAAAGAAAGACGCTATGGCTTTGAGTCAGCTATTCTCCGAATGGCAGAACACGAGGCCACTGGACTTTCGACCCACCACAGCTGGAGTAACATATCAAAGAGATGTGACGCAACATGTACCAGCAGGACTGTGGCCTGGAAACCTCGATACGTATTTTGACCTTTACGTCGCGGGTATATGGAACATCTTTCGCACAGCTCAGTTATTGCTCCTGGCCCTCATACTGAGACTACCACAAGACCCCAGGACCGCTTGCCACGATGATCATTATTTAGAAGAGACTCAAACAATCTTTCAAGAAATCGCTGCGTCGATACCCTATCATTTGACTGACAGTCTGCCGGCATTCATCAATGATTTGGCGAAAACATCCGAAATTACGGATACGGGCAAACACCTTGGCGGCTTGCTTCTTCTGCATCCGCTCTACGTTCTCACACAAATGCCATACTTGCACGAACCAGAGAGACAGTATGCAAGAGAATGCTTATTGTGGATCGGATCGAATATGGGGCTAGGACAGGCAACTGTTCTTGCTCATGTACGTGATGAACAGATTTTCTGTGTACGCCATCAAGTGCTAACCTCCCGATTTCCAGGAACCGAATCTAGACAAAGAATACGTACTCAGCGGATGTATGATCATCTGGTCGGGGTTCCTTAGCTAGCTGGTGGGTAGTAGAAATCATGTCAAGGACATGTCTAATGCATAGATCGATCCCTAGTTCTCATTATCATCCGTGTTGTCCCGGCTCACCTTGAAATTGTGGACGTCCAGATATAGTGACGGTCATATTTCACTCGGGGAAAGAAACATGAACTTCGCAAATAACGCTGCTCCGATCATTATGTCCGACCATTCTGTTTTTCTCTCCATATTGTCTTTCGGGTTTCGCAGGTTCGAAGGCCGATCAGATTATTCAGCCCATCCGAAGCGCAACGCTAGCCAGATTGAGAATCGTATAGACCTTCAGGGTCGCCTCTTGGCCTGTCTTGGTTAGCGTTGCGCTCTCTATAAGGAGGGAGACATTGAAGGCCGCCAGATTGCTCACTAATTCAATCTCCCAAGCAGAACGATACAATTCATCTTGCTTAGAAACAGTTTTGTTTCCATATCGGAATTCCGCGCCTCGTGGCATTGACTCACAAGTATTAAAGGAGTGATGTCTCCAATTGAGAAAGAAGAAGAAAAGACCATATGAAAACCCCAAGAATCCTTAGCAGTCGCTTATATCAACTTCACTACAGTATATTCGTCTTTTCAAGTCGCCAAACATTCACATGTCAATTTACAAATCGACCTAGGATCAGTGATCGGACCATCTCCTCTATACTCATACGCAGATACACAATGGCTTCTAACACAGCCGCCTGGCTCCCCGAGAAGCAAGCACGGCCTTTCCAGGTCAAGCCCGCACCCATGGGCGTCCCCCTGGAGGGTCAGATCCTCATCAAGAACCATGTTATTGGAATCAACCCAATAGACGTCAAGAATCAGCTCTGGGCCGTCCACAACCTGACCTACCCCGTTGTGATGGGCGGCGATGTGGCTGGCGAGGTTGTCTCGGTCGGCCCCAGTGTCACCAGTTTTAGTAAAGGCAACCGCGTCATTGGAACTGCGTCTTGGCTGGCCCATGGCAGAAACGACATGGGCGGCTTTCAGGAGTACACCGTCTTGGAAGCGGTACTAAGCTGCAAAATTCCCGACACGCTCTCATATGAGACGGCTGGCGTGGTGCCGCTGTGTTTCTCCACCGCGGCCGCCGGGCTCTTTCAGCAGGATTATCTCAACTTGCAGCTCCCCACGGAGCCAGCCCGGGCGTCCAATGGCCAGACGGTCCTGATTTGGGGCGGCACGTCCAGTGTTGGCTGCAACGCCATCCAGCTGGCCGTGGCCGCCGGCTACGAAGTCATCACCACGGCGTCGGCCAAGAACTTTGGCTTGGTCGAGAAGCTGGGCGCCAGCCGGGCTCTCGACTACCAGAGCCCGAGCGTCGTGGCGGACCTGGTGCGCGTCTTTGAGGGCAAGACCCTCGCCGGCGTGCTTGATTGTGTCGGCGGACCGCGCGCCGGTACTCCCATCCTCGAGTTGCTAGCTCAGATCAATGGCGGGAATAAATTCGTAGCGACCGTGACCCCGGGCTTTCCCGAGACTCCCGAGGGCACCCTCTCCAAGCACATTTATTCCCTCTCCATCCGGGGCAATAACGTCGGCCCGGCGGTCTGGAAGGACTTTCTCCCCCACGCATTGGCGAGCGGTTCCTTTGTACCGGCTCCGGAACCATTTGTCGTCGGCAAGGGTTTGGAGAGTATACAGGCCGGTTTGGATCATCTGTCAAAGGGTGTTTCAGCTCAAAAGGTTATCGTAACTCTGTGAGTGAATAGGGGTTTTTTGTTCGTAGAGTATAAGAAGTATGAACATCAGATACATGTCCTCATCATGGCTTTCGACAGATCATTACAATTCATGTGAAAATGACGAAAGCATTTCCGCATGCACCAGTACTCATATAGAAGCTGGTAGTAGGTAGTACTGGATGAAGGTGCGAAAGTGCCCGTGACAACTTCCACGCAGATATCGTGGCAAGCACATATTTATGCACCCAAATTATCACATTCACGTTTCTCCAGAAACAGACCAAACACAACACTTAGAGAAAGAACCCTGGAATACCAAGTAAGCTTGATTCGTGCCATCATTATTTCATACGTTGCTAGTATACAAGCCCTGCAGAAACACACAGATTTTCCGCCTCATTTCGTCAAATGATTAGCTATTACAGCCGTCCGCGAATCCAACCCGGTCTTTGTCCACAGCGGCCTCTGCGCCGCCGTCATGAGCGGCCAAGACGTCTCGGACATGAGAAAGGGCGTCAGGGACGACTTCCAAATGAGCTGCTTTTCGCGGTGCGTCACGAGCACGACAACCATGAGGAGCAGCACCGACGCGAGCACGAGCAGGGCCGGCAGTATGAGCCACAGCCAGTAGACCTCCATAAAGGTGGCCTCCTCGTACGCCGGGAACAGCGTCTCGGTGCTGTTGGGCCCGTACATCATGCGGTACGACATGGCCGACGACACATTGGCCATGAGCTGCGGGATGTCGTCGGCCACGTATAGAGAGTTGATTACGTTCAAGGTCGATGTCCCGGCGGGCTCGAATGCGTCGGCGAGGATGGTGTGCATGTTGGCCAGGTCTTGGTACCAAATGGAGAAGGAGCCGTTGAAGGGGTAGTTCTCTTCGTCCAGGACGGTATAGCCAATGTCAGGGCCCTGCGTGGTAAGATTCACGGTGTAGGCCTGTTCTTGCCCTGCGATCACGGAGCCATTGACTACGCTCCAGTCCGTGTATTGCTTGGCGCAGTATCTGAATACGCACTCGTACGCCTCCATGCCGTCCTTCCACGTTTCATCGGTTTGGGACCCTTGAAAGCGTACCAGGCCCACGGTAAAGATATCGTCTGCCCTGGAATCACTGGCAGTACCCAGCGCGTCTTCGGTGGTGTTGATCTTGGTATACGTGAAGCCCGTATGCGCCGAGAAGCTGGTGTGAGCGGAGATGTTGTACCCAGACGGCGTCGTAAAGGTGCATGACTCCCCGTACGACGAGTTGCTAGTCTTGCAGTCTGAAGTCGTGGTCGAGCTGACATCGTCGCACTGGCTAGTGACTGCAAAAGACCCATAGGGCTCATAGTCACAGCTGCCCGTGGGACAAGTCAGACCTGGAAGTCGTATATCCGAATACAGTGCGACTGCCACTGCGGCGTGCATCTGGCCGTCTCGTGTCGTTTCTGCCAGATGTGGTCATTAGTACAAAAAAGCTCTCGACTGGGCACACAAGGAAGTAAACGTACGAAAGGTCATGCCGTCCATGGTCGAGTCCCACTGACTACCATAGTCGTAAACCTGCGAGGTGCGTACTGTAGCGAAAGCCCCGTCGATCTGAGTCCTCTTTGACTCGAACTGAAGAATCTGTTGAATCATGGGACTGATTGCAATGGCGGCCACAGTCACGATACACCCAATGTACGGCAGCATAGACTTGGTTGGGAGGCGCCAGAAGAACTTCACAGATCCAAGCGGTCCTCGACTAGCATTATCAAAGAGTTGGAGGTCTTCGAGCCTATATCACGATTAACCCCATGCCATATGCATCACAAAGAAAAAAGTAAGTGTTGCTTATTGTACCTGTTGGTTCTTTTGGATCTTAATAAATGCCACCATTTGAGTTGACTGATGCATTCCGAGACGGGAAGAATAAGAAATGCGTTTGATGCCGTTGACAGGACGGATATAAATGCATTAGGTGACACAGCCAATGTCCAAGACGACAGTCGCCGTCCTTGAATGTATGAGAGAAGGATCGCTATGCCGATGAGACAGAGTACAGAGAAGATGGAGCTCAGGATCTCCAGAGCCCAGTCAGTCTTGTGAAAGATGGTGCAGTGCCTCGGCGCCGTCTTATTCTCGACCTCGGTGGACTTTCGTGATGATCGGCTCGTGCGCGACTCTGGCTGAGGATTCGAAGGTATAAAGGGCTCGTTGGAGAGCTCTTCTCGAAACCCGGGCCTCACCATTTTGAGAGATCACTAGAAGATGAGCGTGCCTCGATCTGTTGTTGCGAGTCTCTATAATAGTGAGATGTCGGCGTGGCTCGGATCATCCAGATCTCTCCAAGCTAACAACTTGTGGTATAAACGTTCATGAAGACGGAAACTACCTAGACATGGAAGAGATGGGACTTTTTCCCTATTTTTCAATATAAAAATATCACCTCAGCTCGCGCGACTTTGAGCCACATCAAGTGCTTGCTTTGCAGCAGAGCCAGGGTCACATCTCCACTCAAATGGCAGCGTGTTTCAACGATGCCCCTGCTTTCTTTGGCTGAAGAAGCTATGCCAGGGTATGGAATATGGAGAAGAGTGGATTAGACACTCGAGCCATGCTCAATACTCATGGCAGGCCCTGGGCCAACCAAATGACCAAGGATACAGTTTAGTGCTTCGGATTTCGTGATAATCCGAATGATAATCTATTTATGTTTGTCGACACTGGCGCAGTGCCCCTTAACCATGTCTATTGGACCCTGCAGGTTGCTTCCTTCGGCTCCATGTTGCTGTGGGTTCCGCTCATCGCGCTTACACAGTTCCAGTCAGTCATCGGCGGTCTTTAAGATGATTTGACTCTTTACTTCTTGTCTGGTTTCACATCCTTGTCCAATGCTGTTCGCGACCGAGAAAAATATCTGCATAATATGGCTCGTAGGATGCTCATCCTGGTAGCCCAAAGAAAATAGCCACGGCCAGCATTACTGCAAACAGTATTTGTCGTTCAAGCACAATAAAAGTCCACATAATATGTCAGGATAAACATGTGGATCAGAGGCGGAGCCTTATCCGAACCATATATGCTTAGACGCGGAAATAAAGACGTTTTATTAGAGTCCATCCAAACTCCAGACACTTGAACTCCCTAGGTATTTGCGATATGAGCCGGGCCGTCATCCTCGATTGGGATTACAACTCTTTTGCAAGTGAAGAAGCTATTACAACGATATGGGTTTATGATCGCCAACATTTGATTGTCTTTCATATCACGACATTGCAATATGTATAGCGAATTGCTTAGTCCAGCGAGCAGATATCAGCTCTATGGTTTGAGCCACGCGGAAGACTCTCAGAGCCAATAGGGACTTACGATAGCAATCAGCTCCCCCCCCTAAAAAAAAAAAAGTGACCTGGTGGCGCAGCAGCAACACAATATCCATATCTAAGTCGGAAACGTCGCATGCAAGAGTCCAACATAGGATTATGATAAGACAGCATGATCTGATAACATAGCATCATTTGATAGTATAAAACGTGGCATCATACTAATCTGCGAACATATTACTTGAGAACTATTGATCTATTCAATGTTGTCCATCTTGGGAATGACTTCTTCCATTAAAGCTGTACAGATATGATTCAGGGCTTTCAGGGCTGTCTGGTCGCATTCATCTCTTCCTCTCTTCCTCTCTCTTGTTTCGTTTTTGGCATCTCGGCCGGTCTTTCCATTACTAGGAATGCAGTACCTTCAATCCGGAGCAGAAAGCAGGACTTGGGGAGATGAATAGCTGGGGCCGAGCTGGCTTGGGCCTTAGCAGCCTTATTCAACGGGCAATGGCAAGGCATTGACATACTCTATAAAACGATGCAGTTCTCATCTTCCGCATTATGTTATCCTCGATGCGGATTTGCGGCAGTGCTTGTTTTCAAAACATAGCTTTCACTGTTGCATAATCCTTCGCATTTCTTACCCTCCAATTCTGTTGTTTCGTTCTCAACTCATCTAACCCCCCTCCTCATCAACCCAATCCCGCGCGCGTTATGGCGGCATAGACGGCAATATGTCTGAATTCGAGGAATATATCACCATAGTGAGGGTACGTGAAATCCAGACCTGGGGCTTTGCCATCTATAGAACCGCCTACGACACGACCACTGACGTACCCTGGCAGTCACTCTTGATGCTAGACGTACTAACGTCTGGAAGGAAATGCTCAGTCTTCGGATGCGCGGGGAAATCCGCCAAACTTCTCTAACGAGGAGACTCAGAGATGCGAAGAATTCTTGTTATCATTTAAATTTAATGTCAAGGAGGACCAGAGCGTTCTGGAAGGCCTGTCCATGGACCGTGTACAAGAACCATTAAGCAAACCAGCCCGCGGCCGACCAAACATGAGCCACTCAGCGGCACCACGACAACACTGGAAGGCGTCTTCCTCCACGCCGACATCGAGGTGCTGGAAGCAACTCACTCTCGTACGTCGTGGGTGAAAATGGTGGAGCTCAAAAACCAGAGCAGCATAAAGGAGACGAACGATTCAGTCCTCTAAACTACTTTGGGTGGATGAAGCTATCTACTTGTAGCTTTTTTTCAATTGTGGCAGAGCCTGGAAGGCCAGTATTTGTGGAAACTTGCACCACGGAATTCAAATGAGAGACTACTTATGATATGGGATGGGGCTTTGAATGACCAAATGTAAAATAAAGAGCGCGGCGCCGGGAGACGGTGATTGTAGTTATGCGAATATAGATGATTGTCTGGGGCAAGATCTCCACGTACGCAAAATACATTCATCATCGTGTAATTATGACTTTATGGAATCCCTTGCTATTGATGAGGATAAGGCTGAGAAAGTCTTGCGAAATCTTGAATCTCCGAATTTATCACGAGCTGATTCTCGTGAAGATGGTTGAAAGAATAATATATGCGTGAATAGAGGCACAATTTCATGCTTAAATAAACGACTTCTGCTGAGCAAAAACCCTCTGAACGAGGCGGCCTGTTTCTACTCAGCGAGGATGCGGTGTAATTGGATGTGCTCACAGTTGAAGACTTACTGGTCAGCCGTGGGGGGCCCGAAAGTCAGCAGCTAACACCTCTTCCACAAAGCACTGGCGAATGGGGGTCACGCTACTCGTCTAAAGATTGCAGCACAGATGAGACAATGGAACATATAGTCAATGTAAGCCGCATAGACCAAGGTCATGCTTAGCTAGGCGTGCGACTCTGAGCAGGCTACACTCGTCGTCTGTGGGTAGGCTGTTTCCCCCCCATCTCCAAGCCTTGTTGACTTCTCCAAGTCTTTTGAGAAGAACGAATTTAAATGACCACGACAACCAATCAGCACATGTGTGCTCAATTCTACTGGGGTCGTGAAGAATGAAGTTCTCAAGAAGCTGCAGTCAGTGCAGCACAGCCACGGTCTCTTCCTTTGCTCCTGGGATCATCGATGCGTAAGTTATACTTCTAATCATATTAAGTCCAAAGGTATGGCGATAAATTGTCTATAAAGACTCGTACACATTGATACTGGTGGCATTATAGGTGAGAACTGCCTCGCACCTCGGCTTTTTTTTTTTCAACGGATATTAAGTTCTGTACAAGCCCTCACCATGAGAACTCAATCGCCCGTATAATTTTTCTCTCTTACAACAGCGTCTCGAGACCCTCCGTCGGCCGTGGACCGCCCTTGGACTTTCTCTCCTCCTCGGCACCGCTGGCCTTCCACGCGCTGATAATCAGGTTGACAATGTGGTCGACGGCGACGCCCTTCTTGACCTGGGCAAAGACGGTCGGGCCGCCCTCGCGCATCTTGCGGGCGTCGCGCTCCATGACGTCGAGGTCGGCTCCGACGGCCTCGGCCAGGTCCGTCTTGTTGACGACGAGCAGGTCGCTCTGGGTGATGCCGGGACCGCCCTTGCGGGGGACCTTGTCGCCGCCGCTGACGTCAATCACGTAGATGATGTAGTCGGCGAGCTCGCGCGAGTAGTTGGCGGCCAGGTTGTCGCCGCCTGACTCAATGAGCAGTATGTCGGAGCCAAACTCGCGGTGCAGGTCCTCGAGCGCGGCCAGGTTGGCCGAGATGTCCTCGCGCACCGCGGCGTGCGGGCATCCGCCCGTCTCAATGGCCCGGATACGCGGCGCCGGCAGCGCCTTGTTCTTGGTCAGGAATTCGGCGTCCTCGCGGGTGAAGATGTCGTTGGTCACGGCGGCGATGGAGTACTTTTCCCGTAGTGCAAGACAGAGGGCGAGCATCAGCGCCGTCTTGCCGGAACCGACCGGTCTGTTTTCGGGGCACAGAGCCACATGTTAGCGGGTTGATGGCATATGACAATACAACTGCATGACTCGAGATGGGGTATAGCAACTGGGAGTAAGAGGGACAGACAGACGCACCCTCCAATGCCCACAGTGAAAGCACGCTCAGACCATTCTCTGCCCTCAACGATGGGCATCTCACGGCCAATGTAGCTGCCAGGACCATCGAGAATCTCGTGGGAGTGGCCGTGATCGGCGGCACTGAAGCCGTCATGGGAGTGGCCGCCAATGCCGTCGTGCGAGTGAGTATGCGCCATGGTGGTGTGTGATTATATATAAATTGAGTGGTTGAGTATTTCTTAGTCAGGGGAGAGCTTGTTGCTCCTTGTTTGCTTATCCCTACCTCAGTTACCTACCTACCTACATAACATTTTACATATGCGCGCGCGCGCGGGGGAACCAGCTCAAAGCTTCTTTTTTCCCCTGTTGCCCTCAGCCCTCATGAGAGCTCCAGTTTGCCAGTCCCGTCTTTTTGCTGCGAGTACAGGAGGGGCACTGCGGGGTGAAAAGTCCAGGGTCTTTTTCTCTGATGGAGCAAAGAAAGCACGGTTCTCGGCGTCGACCGCGTCTCATCAGTTTATCAAGTACATATGAGTTACCATCACTCAGAATACCAAATAATCTTAGAATGGAGGGGTTTCGATACTCTAGAGCCTATAACTAACAGTACACATATATACGTCAAATATGGAGCGAACATTGTAAAGACATAGCCCCGAAAAGGAAAAAAAAAAAGAAAAAAAAGGAAAGGATCACATGAACTATGATTCTGAGAATAAGTGTTAAAGACCAAAAATATAACAAAAGAATCTCTCGATCGGGGAATTGAACCCCGGTCTCCAGCGAGTTGAATTGGTATTCATTGACAAGCTGGCATACTGACCACTATACTAATCGAGATTAGATATTGATGGTGCCGTTAGGTCAGTATATGTCAGCTTGAGATTTGGGCTTACTGCTTCGATCGGGGACGACACTAAGAAATGGCAGCAAGTATCTGGAGCTGGCGCTCTTTGCATGGCAACGGTTTATTGCAGCCATTGCGTTCCCGACATTTATGATATGGAGGAGATGAATTATTGTTTCTCTGATTGAAGGGGTGCATTACCCGATGGTCTGTCTGTAAAGCAGCATGAGAAGGGGATTTTCCCAATTGCCAAGGTAAAAGACCTAGCTAACAATTGAACCAACCCAGATTTGGGCGTTTCGAACATGTGGCACGATCGATTTCGATAGATCCATCTCGTGGCTTTTGTTCTCCTCTGTCAAGCCTATTTTCTGTGTATATCGCGCATAATTCAAGGGCCGCACAGACAGATGTTTTTACTCGGTCATCGAGAATTTCATCATATCCGGGCGCCAGAAATATCGTCCAAGGCTAGAAGTTAGAACAAAGCCCCGAGGCGTTGAACCAAGTGGGCAAAATTACCACTGTTCAACCAGTGGTGTCTACGCTGCCTGCTCAGATCAAGCGTGTTCCCACCCATTAAGGTAAGGCAATCGGGTAGAGAATACCGACATCACGCACTACAGACAAGCTATTCCACAGACCATGGCCATGGGCTTGGAGCCTTGGAAATATGAGAATCCACCATATTACGTATGCGTCGCCGGGAAACCTTTTCTTTATGATCTCTACTCCGTCTTGATCAAATCTCGGAACGATCCGGCTACGCACGACTCGGACACTCGAGGGGATCCACAGGGGACGCGGAATTACGTGCGTAGATAAATCTGTAGAAAATGACGAGTATGAATTCTTTGTCTGGCTTTCCTGATTGTTACTGATCAGAATTGACAGATCAATGGTCTGAGCTGCCCGAATTATTACTACACTATTTGGAGTTTGCATATTACAATTGCCTTGTGAGCACTGGCACTAGAAGAAGTACGTACAGACACATGACAGGATGCTCTAGTCGAAACCATCCGTCGCACGTCACATGTCGACGATTCCCTATCGGGCTCATATGGATCTAACCCACGGTGCCCGAAGGAGGAGGAGCAGCACCTCCAAGGAAGGATCGCTCGCCCTGTCAGATCAAGAGATCGGCAGCGGCTCCAAGGGTACGACGCTCGCCTTTTGCGGGGTCCCCAGCTGTGCACGCTTGCGAATCGTCACGAACCAACGTGCCACTGGGGAGAGGGGGACCAACCCAACGGGCCATGGGTTGTTTATCGTCGTTGTCGTCGTCGTCGTCGTCGACATTTTGAATCGATCGACTTTCATCTAACTGAGTGTGGAAAGAGGAGAGCGGTCAAGCATCATTTTTCCCATGGTTTCGGGCAATCGAATTCATGCAGTTTTGAGAAGAAAGGCATCACCTGCCATCATAGCGTGCGTCTCAAAGGACCATCTTCTAACCTCGAAGTTATCTAGTTTAGCAACCCACGATCCGGAGCGCATCCGAGGGGGAGGGAGACATCATTGTTGTCATTGTCTGTGCCTAGGTACTATGTAAAAAAAGGATTTGTGTTGCCCCTTGCGCGTGACCCGAGCCCAGCCCGGCCTTCAACTTATATCAAGCTAGCACCCGAGCGGCAGCGTTTGATTGATTTGCCAGCCCATCAAGCCCATGCTTTTTTCAGGCTCACCGCAGAACCGTTGTGAGGCGTTCCCTGGACGCCGCTAACCAAGACGTTCAATGTTTTCCTTGGTTCCCTCGAAAGAGCGCGGTGATTTCATAGGTCATTAGTTCATCTAGTCATGCAAACAATCTGCGCTGAATATCCCAAGTTTGCGTCACAGGGGAAAGAGGATGAGAGGGGGCATTCACATCCACCCGCTTGGTTGTTTCGCGCGGCCGCTATAATAAGTGAAGTAAGCAACAATAGTAAGGCTACACGACATACGTACACTACACAATTAGGGTCTTCCCCCTCCCCTAAAAAGTCTGTCAAACTGTCTGTAGTGTACAGGTCCTGCATGCGGGAGAGCCCCCTTTGTGATATTGTCCTGCGCACCGCGCCGCATTGCATCCTTGGTCGCACCGAAAAGGGCCTTGGACGCAAGATCGATCGGTGAGATGACGGAGCACAGAGAAGGAAAAGAGGCGCTGCGCCCGTCAACCGTCGGCCCATTCTGGTTTCTCATCATGTGAACTGGCTTGCAAGCCACAAAAAAGTGTTTTTGGGAGGGAGAAGGGGGAGAAAAAAAAAAAAAAGGGTCCATTTCAATCAATACTGGGAATTCTCAGCCATGGTCTAGTTTGGGCGTTTACTTGTACCGTCCTAGCAAAGGGTAATGGTATGCCACCAATACGAGGCAATAAAAAGTTCAATGTGCCATCGACCAATTGTGTGCCGTCTTGAATACCTCTCGGCCATGTCGTTCAGCAGTCAAAAGGGTCGTAGTGCATATGTCCCCAGGACCCAATGCAAAAGAATACGGCATTCTCATTGCTCCACGCTCGACCGGCACCTGATGTGACCACGACTACAGATGGGGTAAAGAGGTCTAGATGACTAGGTTAGTGCTGCTGCTGCTAGGTGTGTACTGTAGGTAGCCACACAGACACACACTGCCTATACTATGTAATGTAAGTAATGTACCTAATAATTGGATGTACACATATCAGTATGTAGGTAGAAATGGTAGATAGTAGACACTGAGAAGCATTCAGAACGGCATAACGAGAGGGGCACGGCATCCGTATTCCTCGGAGTGCAATGCAAGACAGGCAGGGCGACCGATAAAGTCTGTATGAACAGAGGAGCGCAATAGTCCCCGGAATTCAAACTTTCGCATCATGCTTTTCAACGGAGAGTATATTGATATATGGGCAATCGTGCGACAGACTGAGAATGGCTGGGGAAGCTAAAGATCTACAGCGTACAAAGGCTATCTTGTAGCACTAGTCAAGAACGTCAGGTACCTGAATTAATATAAGCACAGCTTGCTAGGTCCATGCCCATTCCAAAGAGAACTCTCATTCTAATGACAAGATAGAGAAGAAGAAAAAAAAAACACAAGAGCCGGATCACACTGAATTGGTGGGTTCAACAGTCATTGTGTGTGTGTGTGTGTGGATGGATGTCAATCTCTTACCTGGGCTACGGGTACATTCCATTTAACCTACATTACCAGACCTCCTCTACCTGACCCTCAGGCATTGATTATTAGACTATTTATCCCTCCACCCGCCAAGAAGAGCTAGCAGAACGCCTCTATGCAAATGCAGGTCTGTATGCACCCCTGTTGAGCCTAGACCCGAAAGAAAAAAACAACCGAAGCGCAGTTTCCACTGTCCAGTCCACCCCCGATGCAAAGAATTGTCGTGCGATATGAGGCCGAGCTCGCGAGCACCGACATTCATTCACACCTGAGAAGAAAGGGCCACAGAACAGAGCAGACAGAGGGAAGGGAAAAGACAAGCAAGGAGGAGGAATGGAGAAAAGCAGAAGGAGATACCTCTTACTATGATACATTAATTCTCCACCCATCCATCCAATTATTCACCAACAAACAAACCGCCTTTGCGCCTCACGCACGTAACCCTCCCTCTAATTCTGCCATTTGTAGAATGGTTAACCCCAGACCGGGACAAGCATCGTGCGTTTTTTCGGTAACCCCCCCTGCAGCAGAAAAAAAAAGGTCGAAAGGCCCGCACCCGATCCCAGAAAAGGTATTCGATCTGCCTATGCAATAGGAAAAGAAGCAGGACCACCACCGAGTCGTGTGACCGTCTCCCCATCTTTCAACGCCATTTTGCGCCCCAATCAAACCAACCTTGTGACCAGGGAAAACCAGAAAGAAAGAAGGGGGAAAAAATCGATCTATTCCCTATTCTACTTCTTTCTAGTATATGTCGGGTCTTCCCTTCCCCTGGTTACGTACCCATGAATCTAACATTGTGTGTTTGTATGGTCAGTCAATCTACCGACTTACTTTAAAGTAGCGGGAACGCCCGCGGCACAAACAAGAAATATCGACCTCCTACTTTTTTCTCTTCCTCATTGACTCTCCTGAAAAACTTTATTCGTCTTTTTCACCCCAAGAATAAGTTTTTACTCAGACCTATTATAATTCGTTTTCCTCTTTTGCTCTCTTGCGAACGAGTAAAGAAACCAAAAAAAGGAAGAGGTTGTCGTTGCTTATTTGCAAAACACGGCTCGCGGAATTACTTGCATAACACTGACTCGTCACGGCCTCCCGTGTTTGGGCGAAATCGTTTTTGTCTCGGAAAAGAAAGAAAGACTACAGGCACTACGTACAACATAAATACCCGCCGAGACAGCCAGTGCGGCATTCCTCACGGATCAACGCGGTTATTTTGTTTGTTGTTACCGGCAACGGAGACGAGACGAGACACTATAGCATTCTTGTTTACCCGAGAGTGTGACGGTTGCTGTGTAGACTATCAATTTTGCGACCAACCAACAAGAGATATATGTCTATGCTCTCATGTCAAGAGATTCGTTTATCTAACTAGAGAAACTCTTGATACAAGAATCCGCAAATACTCAAGAAAAAAAAAAAAGAACACCCCCCACATACACACAAGACAACTTTACGCCAAAATGCAGCTCGGAATGGCTATTCCGCCAGAGGAGATGGCACGGCGACAAGCCGCGGGGCCCGGCATCAAGGACGTCCTATGGGCCGTGGGCCAAAAGGCGACGGGCAAGCGGCCGCGCCAACAATGCTCCCAGCCCGTCGACGCTGATGAGCTGCGGAAACGGCTCTACATGGTGCTGTCGCAGCAGGAGCGCCAAAAGGAGAGGAAGCTGCTGGCCATGATTGAGGAGGCGACTCAGCGCGCCGCCGAGGAGGAGGAGGAAGAAGCTGCTGCTGCCGCTGCCGCCGCGGCGGCCAGACGTCAATCTGCCAGCAGGAGTTGGAAGCCGACGGTTGTGCGTGGCACATCAGTCAAGGCGCCAGAGTCCCTCGGTATGATTAGAGACTCGATGAGGAAAAGCTCAGAAGATCCCTCGACCTCGTCGTCAAGGAGGACGACGCAGGAGACACAGCGGACAAGGGCCGGTTCAAACAACAGCAATAACAGGACGGTGGCAGGTGTAGGAAGCGAGCAGAAGCAACAATCGCCGGCGCCATATGTACCTCAAGAGGCCGCGCTGCAGTTTGCGCGCACAGCGACACCAATGCAAGCCAAAGTAGGCAAGGACCGCAAAATTCACGAGCTCTCGCACGAGGCATTACGGGTACACACCGAGGGGCCGGCGCTCGACAGTAGCAAGACGCTTGCGGGCGCGCGGGCACTGCGCAAGGTCCAGAGCGAGCGCGAAAAGCTGCGCTCGCGAAACCAATTCCAAAACAGCGGCGCCATTGAAGAGACGCGGGCCGACGACACAATATCGTCGCGGCAGCAGCCGCCTGCCACCCAGAGATACACGATACCAAACGAGAGCACTGCCAACAAGCGCTTTAGCCTGCGCTGGTCACTGCAACACCACGACCTGCTGCACCCGGTCAAGACGGGCGAGTCGGACGAGCTCGCGCGCCAGGACTCCCAGGCCGCCGCCGCCGCCCACGAGCACCGCATGGTCGACTGGACGCAGAGCGACGAGACCGACGACAAGAGGCGCGGTCTGCGCAGCCCGCTGCTCAAGCGGGCCGACTCCCTCTGGGGCCTCAAGGACAAGCTGGGCAAGCTCGGCCACGAGCAGCCGCGGGAGCATCACCACCACAACACATCGAGCGACCTGGCCGAAAGGGTCGACGCCATTGTGCCAAAACCTGTAAAACGAGGCATCTGGACAAAGTTTCGGAGGCACGCGGCTGCCATCCATGCTGCTTAAAAATGTTATATGTATACGTAGTCACGAGATAATGTTAATCAAACAAGACGAACAATTTTTTTTTGTGTGTCCAATGATCCACCATTATTCTTTTCATTGTCTCTGTGTACTTTCCGTGTCTCCATCAATTCTGACACATGGTTGGCTTGAGACACCAAGTCCAACGCCCGAACACCAGTCGTAATATTGTTGCAAGGCCATGGCAAATCAACACATTGGGGTGAGCGTGCTACACTTGGAAGCAATTAGTCAATTTACCACTCCATGTTTTAGGTATGCAAGCAATACTCACGTGGATTGTGCCCCTTATGATGGTGAATCATGGCAATCAATGCAATCCAAAGGCCGTCGTAAAGGAATTATGCGCAAGGCCAATATGGTACATCCATCATCCAATGGGAGTTCCAACTCCAACTCACAAACATTCCCAGTTTCTTTATGCAAATGCAGCAGCCCGTTTCTTTCAGTATACAAACCCCCTCCAAGCGTCAAAAAGTCGGGGGTTTTCAGTCGAAAAAGCGAGAGAATCGCTTGTCCTAGTCGCGCTCCTCGCGAATCAACTGACCGATGAGCTCGGCATCTCTCTGAGCCTCGACCTTGCGGGCTTCCTCCTGGGCCTTTTGGGCGTTGATCATGAGCACGAGCTCGCCAAACTCCTTGAGCGCGCCCGTGGTGTCCTGGTCGCGCAGCTGGCGCAGCTTGTGCAGGCCATTCTGCAAGCCGACCTCGCGGGTCCAGGGCTTGTTGTGGCGCGGCTTCTTGCGCGGGTGACTACTAAACTTGCTGCCGCCGCCACCACCGCCAGCATCGCCGTTGTCGCCCCCCTCGGGGTCGTTGGACGGCGGCTCGGTCGAGTCGGCAATCTGGTTGAGGTAGCTGGCCAGCGCTGGATACTTTGCAAAGAGCTTGTTAAATTCGTCGGGCTGTTGTTCTCCACTGGATGAGCTGTCTCCCGTGGCTGAATCGGCAGGGGTAGGCTTTGGCTTGTCCTCCTCGGCCGGGTGTTCCTCCTTGTGCTTTTTGCTGCAAGCGAGAGAGCATCTACACACGGCCGCTGATGAGCATCAAAAATGTCATGGAGATCTGTGACCAGGAATACTTACGTGTATTTCATGCAGCGGGGACATTTGTATTTTCCATCCTCTGTCTGGCAGCTAATGCACACTCGATCTGCAGGTGCTATGGGAGCCATGTTGTGTGTAAAAATTCCCGTCCCGCGGCAATGGAGAATGAATGAATCAAAGGAACGCGTTGGCCAATAGAAGTTTGTTGCCTCTTGGACGATGGGGTATCCTATGTCGCCAAAGAAGGGTTCTGTCAAAGGATGCAGGTTTTGAGGTTTGCTGCCCTGGATGTCGGATGGTTTCGAAACAGGGAGGCTCGTTGCTGTGCGAGTTCCTTAAATATCGAAACCTGTCTAGTACGCGTCTACCTCCGCGTAACAGCTCGAACAGTGGATGCCCAACTCAGGCAAATGCTGAAGAGGGATGCCAGAGGGTGATGATTCACAAGAGCTCAACCTCAATGAGATGATGCTGAGATGTGTCGGGAAATGACCGAGGTGTTTAGCAACAGTCGTCCCAGAGTTGATGTGGTTGGCTAATGGACCGAATAAGTGAATGCACCGTAGATGTGATTTCTTCCCAGAAGTTTGACAAAGTTCCTCCAAATGTTTTGAACCCAACGCAAACGTGCAAACAAACGATTGTAAATTGGTGTTTCTCTCTCCAGATCTCTAACATGACATCAGACTTGTACTCGAGGGGGCGCAACAGCAAGCGGATTCGAAACATGAGTATATACATTGTCTGGCTATAGAATACGTGGCTGCACACTTATGTTGAACACTACTTGTGTTTTTGTTCCAGCAATGCCAGGCTATACATAGGTCTACTTGACTTATTTGTTGGTGATTTGATTTTTGAAGCGATATATCCTTGTAGACGGAGCTGCAAACTTACGTTGGTCAGTTTATGTTGGTTTTGGATGAATGAGTGAATGAATGTCCGTATGTCTGTCTGATCCTTCCTTTGGTGGATTCGATCTTATATTCCAGGACTCGACCTGTTGGCAAAGTTGATATGGTAAAAATAAAAGGTCCCGCAAATATCTTTCTTTGCTGCTAGGAGGGAAAAATTATTGTTGCCGACTCTGGGTGGAGCAACTGAAAACGGGCATCAGGCATCTGACGAATAAAGTTGCAGGCGATGGAATTTGCGCCTTGCTGTTGGGCGGAATCGCGGATTGCTAAGCAGCGGCAACTTTTTTTCACGCCTTATCGATATCGGCCCCCCATAAGGAAAGACGTCAGTCATACATAACCGGGGGCGGCCAAAGCTCTAACAAATAATACCACTGTTGGAAAGCACTCGAACTCTTTTTCTTTGACGAATCGCAAACCAACTACCAACAACCAACAACCGTACTACCCGTCGTAACCATATCGACTGTTGCATTCCTATTCAAAAAGGGCGCTCACCGATTGAACCTTTTCGTTTCTCTTCGTCTGTATCCTCACCACATAGCACAATGCCTGCGTCCAGTCGGTTAATCCGGCCCGCCGCCACCTTCCTCTCCTCCACAGCTCGCCAAGCACGGCCGACGGCATGCCGAGGATATCAAATCGCCGCGCGCAAAGCACACACAAGCTCAAGGGCAGCTGGCATTGCTTCGGCGACGTCGCGGCCTGCCCTTCTCAGCGCAACATCTACGACGCCATCGTCCTTTAGAGCGCCGCGCGGCGCCCGCAGCATCTTTATTCAGACCGAGGGCACGCCGAACCCGGATGCGCTCAAGTTCCTGCCGAACCACCGGGTGCTCCCCGAGGACATTACGACGCCCTTTGTCGAGTATATGAACCCGCGGAGCACGATCGCGCCACCGCACCCATCGCCCCTCGCCGCCCAGCTGATGAACATTGACGGCGTCACCTCTGTCTTTTACGGTACCGACTTCATCACCGTTACCAAGTCCGCCGACGCCAACTGGGCTCACATTCGCCCCGAAATCTTTAGCCACATTACCGAAGCCATCACCTCGGGCCAGCCCATTGTCACGATTAGCAAGAAGGAAGCTTCCGCGGACGGCCAGGAGGTTGCAGAGGAGCTCGACAGTCTGGCTTATGACGAGAACGACTCGGAAGTCGTGGGCATGATCAAGGAGCTCCTCGAGACACGGATACGACCTGCCATTCAGGAAGATGGCGGTGATATTGAATTCAAAGGCTTTACCGATGACGGCTATGTGAATCTGAAGCTGAGGGGTGCTTGCCGGACGTGCGATTCGAGCACTGTTACACTAAAGAATGGTATTGAAGGCATGTTGATGCATTATGTAAGTTCCAGCCTCATCAAGATACACCTGTCGTAACCGTCGCTGACCTGATCTACAGATTGAGGAAGTCAAGGGCGTGAACCAGGTCACCGATCCAGAAGAAGAAATTGCCTTGGCCGAGTTTGAAAAGTTTGAGGAAAAGCTCCGGGCTCAAAAAGGTCCTGATGCTGCGCCATCAGCCATGGGCAAGGGGCAAATTGACTCTGCAGTCGCATGAGCTATGTCGACCGCGCCTTTACTAGTATAATATTTGGTGCAGCACCTTCGTGTACGACTATAGAACATATCAACAGTGTGTATTGTTCAGCGATTTCAGGACGACTTTCTACCTCGTATCTTTTTGTATAATAGACATTCATGACCTTCAACGAGCCCTGAGCCTCCGCCGCGTGTGTGCTGCTCGTGGGCGCGACTAGAAGCAATGCGACTGATACAGTTGGGAGATGTTTTGCTTCCAGGATGCAACACGATAGTCCAAAATGACTATGGATAATAGATTCAATAATCCCAAAAGACCCCTGATCCCCGGATGAAGCCAGTCTATTATCAGCTGAACCTTGTATCACTCCGTTGGTGGGTGGGATGCAAGACCCTGTCTCTCCGTCTCCGTCGGATTGTGAAAAAGCCCGGTCTCGCCAACTCCACACTTCAGCTGGTGTCTTTCCGGGACGGAAGGCAAAACGACACTGCTCTTCTGCACGCGCATATATGCTTGCTTCTTGGCACAAATGGGTTTCTCGTAGGTCTTCTGGAGCATTGGTCTCAATTTTGCAGACACCATGCCTATCAACATTCACATTATCGAGACGGGTACTATTCGTATTCGTCAAAACGGTTGGACTCAACCTCCGGGCAATGTCCTTCTCCGCCGTCTTCGATTCGTGACTGATCGAAAATATACCCACCCGATTCCAATTTATGCTTTTCTCATCAAGCATCCAGAGGGGAATTTCCTCTTCGACTTGGGCGAGACGCCCAGATGTCTAGATGCGGGTTATTATCCGTGGTGGCAGCTCGGCCACCGTTTCGTCTCGATGGATATCAAGCCCGAGCAAGGTCTCGGCACGCAGCTTCGGGCCCAGGGAATTGATCCGGACACGGACATCAAGGCCGCCATCATTTCTCACTTGCACAGCGACCACGCCGGCGGCCTGCCCGACGTCCACGGCAAGACCGACGTCTGCGTCAGCCACAGCCACTGGTCCGCGTTTGGCGAGAAACCGATGCACGCGGCCATGGAGGGCGCCAACCCAGCGGCGTGGCCCAAGGGCTTCCGCCCGACCCTGCTCGAGCCCACCGGCCCGGCCATTGGGCCCTGGGCGCACAGCTACCCCGTGACCCAGGACGGCACGATCCTGGCCGTCGACACGCCGGGACACGTGCCGGGCCACATTTCCCTCATCATTGTGGACGACGACGTGACGTATTTTCTCGTCGGCGACGCGGCGTACAGCCAGGCGTTTCTCGACAAGGAGCAGACGGACGGAGTCAACTCGGATCCGTACCTGGCGCTCGAGTCGCAGAGAAAGATCAAGGAGTTTTGTCGGTCGCGCAGCGTCGTTGTGCTTCCGTCGCACGAGTTTGACTCGGTACGGCGGCTACAAGTCAAGGAGGTGTATCGGCCGAGTGGCTGAACGTGTCACGCTCGCGTGATGGAAGGCGATGATCAAAGTCGCTCTAGAGCTGGAAATCCAGGTTGATGGAGAGGATAAGAATCAACTTTTTGATTATGGCTGGCTGTATTGGTTCAAAGTTGGGAACGATGGAGGACAAGTGACCTTTCAAGATTGCTCAGAGATCATTCTCTGCTTAGTATCAACCCAAGGGATTGGCTGCCTTGCTAGGTAGTCATGTAAAGGTAAACCTGAAGAAAAAAAAAAGGGGGGGGGGATTCGAAGGGACGACTCGATGCCTGGCATGCTCAGCGAATGAAACCATTGCTTTTAGCTATCACCACCTCTCCGCCAGAATGTTTCCCCAAGATTTATTTGCTTATCATCTGGTATAGGCGCAGATGGGCGTTGAGATTGCGGGCGCATACTGGGTTTGATGCACAAGTGGACTGGATGCTACTCGAAATAGTATATTGTACGGATTTCTAAGCAACATATTGATGCATTCGAGTATAATTTACAAATTTGTTTGAATATGCCACTATTGGTGTATGATCCCGACAGGGCGCCAAGTGATGTAGAATGTGATTGCCGGCAGGTAGTGATTGTCTCATGCAACTCCAAGTCATACAACACCGGTAGTGTAACAATCCGTTGGGCAAATCGCATCAAAGGGAATGGGAAGAGCCTCGCCTGCTCCATATGTCCAGGGCTCTCCCCAAGCTTGATGTATCTACCAATCCATGTCTCTCGCCTACAGGGGAATTCGGCACATTAAAAAATACATGAAGGACAAAACAGCGCATGCTCCATAGCAAAACAGTCCATTTTGAAGCGGAATGACATAATTCCCGCGCATAGAATCAAGTTTCCAGCACGACGATTGGTCATGAAGACTTATCATTCTCGGGTCCATGCCACAGGGAAAAAGATTGAGAAAAGAAAAATTACAGAAATCATACGATATGTAAGCAAGAAAAATCATCGACTCATCACAATCATCACTCCACCAAGATTACACCACTAGATGACGCACCCAATTCTTCAAAACTTCCCCCCCAACGACATAATAGCCATATTTTATTACTACTACTACCCTGCTATTCCCGGCGGGGCCGCTCGCTGTAGTATCAGGGCTCAATGCTCATCCCACCTCCTCCGGGGGAACCCTCATTGCACAGCCGATCCCTGCTTCTGGAGGTGGATGGTGATCCACTTATCACAACTGACCATCCCCAAGAGTGTGCGGGTAGATCCGTCGTCTAACTGATGTACATACATACACTCACGTATACACTACCATATAGGTACAAACTAAGGTTGTCGGCATGCAAATCTTGGCCCACAACGTTGAGATCGAGCTGCTATCTCGCACGCTCGCCATATCCCATGAGGGTCTCGAGTCATTCCACTTGACCCGACAGAGTGATGGATCATCTCTGACCCACGCAACACTACTTCTCCCGGTTCGCCTGCAGAGCACGAATCATATCTGGTCGCATCATCACACAGTGCATGATTTAAATACATATCATTGAATAGCAGATCCTATGTCATGAATGCTATAAGCCAACAAGAAGTAGTTTCTGCTATGACTACCAGCCACAAACTTTTTCTTTCCCCATGCCTCTTTTTCTCAAAACGCATCCATAGGGTCGTGAAAAACAGAATAGATCATCTCAGCACCATGTGGTGACTCTCATGAAAGAAGTGAACAAGGAGAAAAAGGCCAATGAGCCTTGATGGTACAAGTAGAAACTCTCCAATACCCAAGCGATGGTGGGCCAATCCCCCTTTCCACCTCAACTATCGAATTACACCCCAATGCTTTGTGTCAAATTTGTCTGTCTATGTCGATCTCGTGAGCCGAAAGAAATGTCTCCGATTTTTTGTCTTGAGTCCTCTCGATGCCGTCATAAATCAGCTGATCTCATGCTTAAACTGGAAGGCCCAGTTTGTCTTCCAATCCAGGCCAGTCTTGTTTCCGTAAAATTTGCAAAGTCTCGCCATGTCATGCCACGGCAGCAAAAAAAAAAAACAAAAATATATGAAAAAAAGAAAACGCCTTGGGGCCTGTCAAACACAGGCCAATGAGTCCCCCGAGGACGTGCAAGCGCTTGGTGCAACCTGTTGCATACAAGCTACAGGGCATAATCGCCGTTCGTGTCTCGAGATGTATAAATTGAGAGGAAAATGGAGAACAACAAACCAAACGCAAAGTCATGAAGCACATCGTTGCGCAATTCATGATTAACGGGAATTCAGGGACAGGCTCTGAAATGCTCCCGCCCAGTCGTGTTGACCGGCTATAGCCGGAACGTTGGAGTCTGATGAGGCAGATGTATCGTGTGGGCTAGGGAATCGGCCTCGAAAGTCTGTGCCCTGAGAGAAACCACCTCCATAGCTTTCAACACCGGGAATCATGCCCGTGACATACGGCACACCACCTGCGCGGGGGCCAAGGCCGAATGCGCCGTAAGCGGATGGCGGAAATCCACTTGACGGGTATGCGCTGCTAGAAACAACAGAGCGATCGCCACCGAATCCCTGTCCAAAAGTAGGTTGGAACGATCGACCGACGGCAGAACCCGCGCCGCCAAAAGGAGACTGAGTATCCTGAGGCTGGTTTTGGCGTCTTTCCGTGCCGCCTGCTGCATTATTTGAGCCTCTTAGTCCAATGCCAACGGCGCCGGGTCCGATGCCACTTGGAGCTTGCAGGCCCAGAGTTGGGCTGGCGAAGGATGCCGGGTTGATGGCGGACATCCAGATCCTGGTCTTGTATATCTTGAAAAGATCAGTGACCAGTGAATTGAAATTGATGTAAGCGTCAGCGAAATAGTAAAATGTCAATTTCTTCCAGTCCCTGTAACTTGTTAGTCATCAAGGTGCCATGATTCAGTTCAGAAAGGCACTTACATTTGGAATTCGGCGTCCAGAATCTCCATGCTGAGTCCGTGTTCCTTGACCTTTTGCATGCAGACGCGTTTAGCCTTGGCCTCATTACCCTCTTTATCCCTGAGACCCAGGATCTCGTGTTGCTGGGCAAGCCGCTTGATAAGCTTGGGCTTGAGCTCGCCGGCATTGGGCTCCGGTAGGTGATGCTGGCTTGGAGGTCCCATTCCTCCAATGGCGCCGCCCTGCAATCCGTTGGCCGCTGCCATCAAACCAGCGCCAGAGCCTTCTTGGGCGGCCGCAGCGTTTTGAGAGTACATCATGAGCCACTTGTAATGCTCTTCAGCGTAGTGCTCTTTCATTTCCTTTGCAGTCTGCCAATCGACATTGCTCTTGTCGACAGTTCCGAGATCGGTACCGCGGTCAGCCTCGACAATGACCAGATCACCAGGCTTGACGGTGAGACCGGTACCCTCCTGGATATAGAACACGTCTGCACGTGAACACTTGAAGAGAACAATATGGAGCAATTGGTTGTGGCGGGGTTGGCCCATGCCGTACATGCCTCGGTGCGGCGACGGAGGGCGATTAGCCAAGGCAGGTGGAATTCCGTACGACGCGTAGGGATTAGCGTACGCGGACGAAGCGATTGCTTGATGGGGGCCTCCAATGCTGCCTCCGCCAGTAAAGTAAGACACTACTACATTAGCTAGGTGTTCACTGGATATGATGTCGCGTAGAGAACTTACGGTGATTGTTTACGCCAAAGCCGACATTGTCGCTGTAGCCGTTGAAATCCTGCGGGTGTGCCGTCTCGGGTGAGTTGACCTCTTGCAAAGGTGCCGCATCACCACCGATCGAAGTGATTGAGCCCTGTCGAGTAGGCACGTCTGCAAAGGAGTGTCGTCGACTCTGAGGAATATCGCCAAGGCCACCGAAACCCAGAGAACTGGTCCAAAAAGCCTTCTTAACATTCTCCAGCTTTCTGTTCTCGACAGGATACAGTAGAGGTGAACGGTCAAAACCGCCTGCACCAAACTCGCTCATACGTCTTCCCAGGGCGGCACGTTTGGCTGTTGCCTCATGTCCATTGCCAGTCTCGTCCAGTTCATCAACGGCATAATCAGATGATTCCTCAGGCACGGGATCGCGCATATTGTAGCCATTTCCAATACCATAGGAGGAGGTTGATGCTCGAGGGCGGAGGCGGGAGTTTTGATACTGCTGCTGTCGCAACATTGCATTCTCGCGCGCCAACATCTCAATAGTCTTTGACTGGTCTGTCTGCTGAGCCTGGGCGCCATGTCCCGAGCTGTGGGAGCTCTGATTATCGTCATCATCAACTTCGTGAACCTTGCCCAGCATTCCGTCGTTGGACATTTCACTGAGCATGCTTGGTCGCGAAGGACGGTGCTGGAGTCCTGAAGGACCAATTGGACGGCCTCGGCTAGCTGGAGGGGCTGGCGGTGGTAAGCCCTGGTTGGGTGCATCGGGCTCGAGCTGCCCAACTGAGTACGACTGGGAGCGATAAGTCTTGGGTGTGGGGTGCAGCGGAATGGCAAAGGGGATTTGGGGGTTTGGACCGACATCCCTGGGTCCTGGGGATGTTTGCATGAACGAGCCCTCTCCACCAAATGAGCCAGAGGTGCTTAGACCGGGAGGTGCAATCGAGGTTGGCGAATGCAGGACCTCTGTCAGTCTGGAGGGAGGCTCTTTGGATCGCTCGGTATTCCAGATTCCAGTACCCCAAGCGAAGGTAGAAGGTGCTTGGTGAGAGCGGCCCATAGCACCCGTATGCGTCGGATGTGTGCCCCAAGTGTTGGAGCTGGTCTCAGCTGCCGGAGTGCTTGGGTGCGAAGCCGTGGGAGACATGGTGCTGCTTGCAAAGGACGATTTTCTAGCCTGTGGAATGCTTGGCTGTGAAGTGTCGTTCAACCAGGATGCGCGGCGTACGGGCTTCTGCTGCTGAATGGGCGTATTAGAAGCTTCCTGGCGGTGTTCGGGTTCGTCGTCTGAGCTGGCAAGCGCTTCAGAGTCAGGTGTTGATCTTCGTACATTCAGTTTGTCCAAAAGTAGGGACTGATTGTTCGGTGCAATGCCGGGGGGAAAGCCACCTTGGCTGGCTTTCGGCAGCCCGCCGGACTTGATGCCGCTCATCTTGTGCTGATCACGATGATGATGGAATCTGATGATCAGCTTGATCAGATTCGGATTGGATGCCTGAATTGAGTTGTGGTTGCAGTTTCTGAGTACTGGCCTACAAAAAAGGCCGTTTGCGTTTTGAACAGGTTAGACAAGCCCAGCGACCTAAGCCAGCTCCAGTCCCCAAGAAATACGGGGATTATTTTGCTTAGAAGATTGGTTGAGTTGGCTGCTGGGAATTTTCTGAGTCTTGTGACACGATTCTGGACGAGGGTTAGTCGCGTGACCTCCGAAACGATCGTAACATGCCGACTACTGCTTGGCAAGAGCTTCAAATTTGATATGTACAAAGACGCCGAGGAGCACATTGGCGGCAGTGTACAAAGCATATTGCTCATGTCTGTATGGCCTGGGTGTGGAGGCGGCATGTTCTCTCTTGAACAGCGCACCTTGAGGGCAAGCATGCCTGCGAGTGCGCCTTTATAACGTTTGTGGTGGCGTCTTGACAGTCGCCGACAGAAAAAGGGTAATAAGAAATGCACAAACTTACCACCTATCATATAAAGAAAGTATTAAATCTAAGGTCGGGGTATCGAAAAAATACGTCTAACGGCAGTAGAAAAAACAAGATAAATCGAGTGAAGGATGACAGATGAAGAATAACTCCGTGGTATTCGGTGGAACTAAAATGTTGTACGTTGAAAGTCGTATGAAAGTTCCGAAAGAGGTCGCGTCGATGGGACCGACTGCTGGTGACAGCAAATGTCTGTAACGCGAAGGGCCAGATGGTTTTGCCGGCCGGACGGGAGACAGAGCGAGCGACAGGACAGGACAGGACTCCAAGTATATATGTGTGAACCTCTAATCGAAACCGGTCTAACAATCTGAATCTTGCTCTTTGCAAAAAAAGATCTGCGGGAGCCGCACGTCCAGGAACTTTTCTTCTTTCTTGTTTCCCCCGTTTTATTTGCTGCTCCTCTCTTCGGCTTCCTCACGCTCTCGAAGATGGTCCACAGCGGAAGTGCGACAAGCTCCACGCTGTTACATGCCCATTGTTGAAAGGCGGGCGGGTCGTGGAGTTCCTGTCGCAAACTGGTGCGCAAGCTGTTAGGAGGTCGAGAGTCTCTAGAAAAATTGCCGAGCTAGCTGCGCTCTCGTCCTTCGAGACTTGAAGGCGTAAAAGGTATGAAAGAAAAGGAAAAGGGGAGTTAAGACGGCGGCAAGAAGAGGGCGTGCTTTGTAGGTAGTGTAGGAGAGAGAGAGAAGTATGGAAGCGGGGAAGCAGAGGCAGGCTGGCAGGATGTTGCGACACGAGACTTGCTCGATGAAAGTGGCTGGTGGAGCTTAGCGGCGTCTGCGGGCTCTGGCTCTGCACGGGTGGTGGAGGCGACCTGGGATTTTGGCGTCAAGGGGCCCCTCTCACTGGACATAAGGGGATGCTTTCCGTAAATGTACTATGTACCCAGCTATCCCGGGCCGGTTTAGGGCGTGCGAGCCCACTGTAATGTATCCTGTTCAGGGTGTTGTCGTCAGGTAGGAGGCAACGTTATAGACTCAGTGTCATGTAATAGTCGGCAACCGAGCAAAGAGAGGCACGAATTCACAGGAGCCTTCTTCGAGACCAAAATGTCCTGCCAGGTATGCAAACTATTCCTAGGATGGAGATGGCTTTCGACAAATAGAAGAGCAAGGACAAAAAGATAATCAAGGAGCCTCTCGGGAGATTACAGAGTGAGAATAATACTTTATATGTAGGCAATGTAGGTAGGCGCAGATACTGTGCGCACCCTCATTCGGCCTGACAGCAGAACCTAGGGTAGTGCAAACTACCTTGGAGTAGCTAAGCAGAACATATGAGAGAAATGGAAGAGCTGCCAAGCAAACGTCTGTACGTATGTGGTACCGTGCGACAAGCAGCAGTCGAGTCAAATGGGGTTTATTACAAGGTTCCGGTCATATGTAGGTAGTAATAGTAAGTCTGGACGATGATGGGTATTCCTTCATCAGGGGAACATGGATTCAGGCGAGGAGGAGGGGACCTAGCCGAGCGATCTAGCCCACCATCACCTGGTTTGCCGGAGCGGAGACTTTAGAGACATAGGGATCGCGTAGTACGTAAGAGCTCTGAGATGGTGTGAATGTCCGATCCATACTGGCCATACTCTACCCTTCTCTACTTCTTTTAGTTCTTTGGCTCGGCGGAGCATGGCAGAGTCGGCGCGTTTAGCTTTGGGGCAAGATGCTACCTGGGAGATGGTGTGAACTACTAATGTGAGATGATCCAACTAGGTTGCCGCTGAGCAGGCAAGGGCTTGGTGTTGCCCTAGCAGTTTGGTTTGGTTGAATTGATTCGGTTTGCTTAAATTATACCACCACGGTGTCCCATGTAGGTTTTCGTCACAGCAGCCTAACTGAAAAATACTGTGACCAGAAAGAGAGGGCTATGGCGGATATGTGTGAACCGAACTCCCCAGGCTACCTAACCTAGGTGTATGTAACGTCCTCGATCCCTGCTGTATCGAATCGGGCAAGCAGTACGACACCTACATATCTATATAGAATCGGGAAGATTATACTATCTCGATCAATACCAACCGTTGGCCAATATTATTACCAAGATGTTCTCATGTTTGTTCTCCGCTTGTCTGGAGTTTGAAGCAAATGTACCTGTCTTGAACCTCATCAGATCAACCCGAGATCAATCTTCGAATGATTCTGTAGGTATGATGTATTGACCGTTCTGAAGAGCAGTTAGTTCACTACATGTCCCCTTAACTATCTGCCCTAGGTTCAGGTGGTAGTACCTTCATTGTTAGTTGCCATTTTTAAATGCAGTGAGATGTGGGGAAGGAACTGAGGCGGCGTACAAGCATTGATGAGGGCAAGCATGGAATGGCTGGCTGGCGGCTTTCGGGTCCAATAAGCAGCTTTCCAACTGCCCACCAAAATATTACCGATTGTTGACTTGACAATCCGTACACTCTCTAAATCTCCATTCGCTTGGCATTCGTTCAGAGTCACATCTCAATACAAAGGTGGTCTTTTCGTAGAGTCACCAGAATTTTGAATTTTTGAATGCAAACCAGGTCGATTCAGTCCGCTCTCAATCGACGCCGCTCCTGGGTGGGTGACTGGTGGCTTTGACCAGCCGGTAAAAGATCCGGGGTAAGGTAGGTATTGCGGTCCATTCAGAGCCTAGACGCTATCGAGGGTTGATCCACACAGGTTAAGTATTTCACTAATACGTATCGAAATCCCTTGAGGCGAGCGTTGGGTATGTACTCAACAGAGCAGTATATCTAGTTTTTCCTAGGGAGTTTTAACTATAACAGGAATCGAAAATACTCTACTGGATCGAGGTTCGACTTTGACCAGCTGGAACTCCAAAATCAGTCTGCAAAAAAAATATGAAATCTATGTGGCAGGCATGTTGGCACGGAGTTGGACTTGCCGCCTCCAAAGAATGCCGAGAGCAGCAACTCGCAAGGACCATGAGATGATTGAAGTCGCTCAGTTCAATATTCATGGCCTGGTCCTGGCAAGGAGCTACATAGCTACTCGTCGCAAAGGTGCATGGCTATATTGCACTCGTATGTAGGTAGTTGTTGGATGCGACATTACCACCGCTGCTCAACCTCGAAACCTAGTTTGTCCACCGGTCCCACAACTTTCCAAGAGTCAACCCAACAACCAAATCAGGCAGGACAGCTCCAAGCTTCACAGGCTGGTACTGCACTGCACTACACTGCAACGGCTGAGAGGCGTCCTGACGAGGCACAAGGACAAGTGGGATTCGTTGCTCTCGCGCTTGGCATTGTATTTACAATGGAGGGTAATGTCATTGGCTGCCGTCATCCTCAAGCCACTCGGAGCCTTTCTCCAGCACAGCACTTGAGTGCCTAGCAGATGTAAGGCATGCTGACTTCACTCCACTGGGAGAAGCCACCCAAGCACGCCTCAATCCCATTCCCCAGACTTGTTCTTTTTAGGGGGGTTGGATGGATGTATGGATGTATGGATGGATAGATGGATGGATGGATGGATGGACCATCAATGTCAGGGCACTTCACTCTCTTCTTTTGGGCTGTGCGTCTACAGTAGAGAAGATAGTAGGTATGTATGGACGGCAACTGAAGCAAAGGCTCTCACACCCTCTCCGTGCTGACCGAGATGTGCTGCATGATGCCCAGGCCGTCTTAGCAGCCCGGAAGTTTGCTGATGTTGTTCGAGGTCATGAAAAGAGCGACGATGCAGCCTGCAGCTTGTGTTCAATGCACGCAATAAATTACTACGGAACCCCAGGGGCCTCATTCTCCGCAATACCAGGCACACTACCTTTTAAGCTTCCCAATGGCACATCACCAAATCCCCCTCATTACATAGCTGGCATACATTACCAGTACGCATGTATTGGCCCAATCAAGCTAAACCTCGCTTCGGAGCAACACAACGGCTGGGTTGGCTCGACGAGGATTTCACGACACTTGAGGGGTCAAAGAGAAAGAATACCCTTTGGCAAGAACGGTCGGCACGAACGGCTTGCACAACACAACGACTTTGAGGGTACCAGCTATGTACATATCCGACCTTTCCTAGTTGCAACCCCTTTGTACATACTGCGCTCTCATTCGGAACAGCCAACAGCACAAGCCGGGATGCTAGCAATCACTGTACCGCCCAAAGCAACGCACACTTATCCACTCTCAAACCACAACTACACAGTAGTAATTCAGAGTATGCATCAATCCTCTGCTCCTGGCCTGTTGAAGGGGGAAACATTTCTCTTCTCGGAGGTAGAATCGTACAATACTTCGTATATACGTGCATAGGTGTAGCAACGACGATGGGCCCCCGGCGGCGACGAGACGACGTACGGGGCATGCCGCCGATCCCAGGTACATAAGCGTGCCTAGTAACCTGCAGCGCAGCAATTGCTGTGCATAGCTACCGCGGTAGCAATGCAGCAGCAGTGTGGAGGTTCATCAGACTTGGACGACTAAGACGCACCTTCAGGGATCATAGCTGCAACTTCTAGCCCAAATGGCATAGTCGATTTACTTGCTTGTCTCTGGAGTCCTGGCTCGCTCCAAGTTCTCAGGCATGACATGGAGAACAACATGACTGAAACTCTGTCCTCATTGCTGCATGTTCGCAGATTCGTCATTCATGCTGGCTTGATGCCTGGTCACGTCGGTCGAGTATTTCTGCTCGGCAGTCATGAATTGGTCCCCTCTTTTCAATTGCCAGCAATCTTGTCCTTCTCCCTTTTGTGGAGGGAGACTGGGCCGATAGTAATGTAGCCAACCAGCGTGCGACTACTACAAGATACTACTAATGATCTCCAACTGGGTAGGCCCTTGTGCGCGACGAGCCGCCAGCCAGTCCAGACGGCCAGTCCTGTGCTGGGATGTGTGGGTGTGGGCAAGTCTCCTCTTGCTTGGTTCCCCGGCAAGGTCTGGTCTTTACCCCAGATTCTTCTCTGCTCGCCCATCTCGCCATTCCGCGAACCGCGCATCCGCCCGGCCCTAAACGCTTGGCTTCAAGCTCAGTCCTGGTCTAAATTCGCCATCCGTGCACCCAGCGTAACCTCAACTTAGGGGACTCTGGCTTCCTGCGCTTCCGAATACCTATCACGCTCGCCCTATTGCTATTGCGAAGTTGCAAAGCCCATCAGAACCATCTTTCCCCAGCGAGCCATTCTGACAAGGTTAGGACTTCAGCAGAAGAACTCGGCCGACTAAATCACGACGCATGCTTCTTCCCTGTCAATCAAATAGCATATCTTCCGTTGCAGACTTCCACATGCAGTACTACATGGCTTGTACAGCAGAATGACCGGGCCCCACTTTGCCCAGCAAGAGCTGCACAACAGTACAGTGTTCGTTCAGGCCTCCTGATTCAAAGCTCCCAATTAGACAGTTGGTCACAAGAATCACCACCTTCCGTAACACTTCTGCTATACTCATACCTCTTCGAATAGTGCAGGCGTTACGTGCTTGCCTGATCTCTGGGCGACGAGAGCTACGTACAAGTGACGTTGCGCAGAGTACATTAGGGAGAGTGGCCAGGTCCGCAACCAGTTTCCGTCAAACTCCTTGTGTCAAAGGGAAGTTTGAATTGCAACCCTTCTTCGTTGCCCACACTGACTGACTTCGTATGAGAAAGGAACCATTGCAGCCGGTATTGACATTCAAGCTCGAAACCGACGTCATTTCAATAGTTCTCTAAGCCCACAACACGGCCCTGCCCTTGGAATATATCATCCTGGCTGGGCCAAAGTCCACCAAGATCAGAAGTCGACCGAGAATCAAGATATACACTAGCAAATGTCCAAGGCCATGCAACTTGACGTCTTTTCTTCTGGGATTTAAGCCGTTTTCGAACTTGTAGTGGTGGCATAATAGCCATTGCAAGCCATGTGACTTCAGCCCCTCTCAACTTCAACCCCTCTCGACGTCTACAGGCCAGACGGATATCCTTGCCCAGACTTCGGGGGGCGCCTCCAGGATCGCGTGCAAGCTTTAATTGATGCGGACTAATGACACACGGCCGTTGCAAAGTCACATTTCAAGGGTCCAACCTATCGAAGGCACCAGCAGACTCAAAATCACTTGGCCTGCTTTAAGGCCAGCCGCTCAAGTCCCGAAGTCCAGGCCTGCCTGCAACGGCAGTCTTCAGACATGATCGACGATGGATTGGCCTTGTCTTGCCACTGGTTTGGAGAAACATCTGGGGAAATCCAATAGTCCCTTGGTGAACCCTCAGCCCAGGAGTCGCCCGAAGAACTGCTTTCCTGGCGCTCCTCCTCCATGCCTTGTCAGACCCGAACTCTTATTCCTCTGCCCATTGTCATGCCACGTCCCCGGCAACTCTCGACAGCCCTGTTCCATCAATTAGACTTTGACGCCAGACAGCGTCACGTGTCCTGGGTCACCCAAAGTAAGTTCCCGAAACTGGTTTTTATGCAAGTCAACGATCATCTCCATAGAAGGGAACCCTCGGTCAACTGCAGAAAGATCAGCAGTGAAGGAAAAAAAAAAAAAAAGACGGGTCCCAGAGCGGCGAACTCTAAATTTTTCTTTTCTTTCTTGGCCTGGAATCGGTCGACTAGCCAGTGAGAAGAGAGCATCTCCCAGTTGCTTCCCGTGCCGAGGGGCCCGACAGGATGAAAATCTGCAACGGTAGGCCTCATTGGCAGGGGGAGCTTGATCGCAGTATCGGCAAATGTCTAAATCATAAAGGCCCCTCCCATTCAGCACTGCAGACTATAGTAATGGCAAGTCTAACCATAAGACAAGAGGCGGAGGTCTAGTCATGCTTTCTACCATGGGACCAATCGGATTCTGGTGCTTTTTGTGAGCATCTAGAATGTGTATTCCCAGTACTCTGTAGTCGTTAGGGTTCTTGGATGCCCGAATTTTTTTTTTTAAACCAAATTCATGGATTCTCTATTGGCTCTTTGACAACGAGCAATATAATCCACGCCCTATTGTGCTACCTTGTATGTTTCTTGATTCCACGTCGCATCGCTCCTGGGCCGAAGAGGGAGTTCAGATGTTGGTCCAATTGCGAAATTCCAAATGGCATTGTGTGCATTTCACCTATTAGGTAATGTCGAATTCAGCCAATTCGCATCGGTAAGCATTTTATATACCACAGATTTTGGGAAATGCGAATCTGGGGCCAAATATTTGTATCGGAAAGAGAATGTATAAACTTTTTTTCATTGAAGTGATATCTCGTGAAATGTCATTGCCCCCCATATTGACGCCGAACCATCTAGACCTGCGCTTGGTTCTTCCCAAAACCTATTGAATGTCCTCGTCCATCTTCTCATCGTCCTCTTGCACAAGCTCGCCCTCACCCTCGGCCAGCAGAGGACCCGCAAAGGGTGCAGCGGCTCTGGGCCATACGCGCTTGTACAGACTGACGCCGACACTGTCCTGGGGGTTGATGCGGCCGTCAAAATTGGCCTTGAAGTATCCGTGCGTACCCAAGGCTTCCTTGACGTAGCCTGACCTTCCGCGCTTGGTCCACAGCGGCAAGGCCTTGAACCACTCGACATCCTCGCGGTTGAAGAACATGTAGCGGATGGTGACGACCTTCTTGTGGATGTGGTAAGGGTGGCCGGTGAGAATGACGCGCTTGGCGACGACTCGGGAAGTCGATGGAGCACGAGCGGTGCCGGTAGCAACAAGCTGCAGAGGGAAATCCGATTGCTCGCCCTCGGCGTCACCTTCTTCGGGAACGATCCGCTTGAAGAAGAGGGTCGGCACAGAGCCCCAAGTGATGGGACCCGTGAAAGTTGCCGTGGCAGATTGGCCTGGATGTAAGAATCTGCAGTACTTGTGGACATCGTTCTCTGTCCGGCCGCTGAGCGAGAACAGCGGGTTGATCACAAAGCGGCGCGGGCCGCACTGGACGATGAGCTCCTCCTTAGCCTTGATGGACTTTTCATAGTCCTCTTTGTGGGTGATGTCAAAGTTGACAGCTGCTCTCTTGTTCTCGTGGCGCAGCAGAGAGAAGAGTGTGACGGGGTGAGACGGCTTGTAGCTCTCCTTGAGCTCAGCCGGTACGCCCTTGAGGTAGACATGTACTCGAGTGCCGGGCGCAACTCCACCTACCAATGCTTCGCGGATAGCCTTATTCCTCGATGACTGGTAGTCAGAGACCTGCAACAACCTCGACCACTCCTCGGGCTCATATGGCCTGTCCTCCTCATTATTCCACGGGCTCGTTGAGATGCTCTTCAAGCCGCGGTACTTTGCAAGTCTTTCCCTAGCCAGGACATTTGGGTGCAACTCAATCTCGTCTGGAAATTCCATATCTTCTTGTGCCTCATCATGCTTCTTAGCTCTGTAAGCAGCGAGCTGCTCGGCATCCTCTGCCTCATCCAGTTCTTCAAACTTCTCCGACTGAGGATACTCGGACATCGCGGCTTCTGTCGGTTCGGCGCCAGCGAGACCCTCCATTCCATCCTCGGGAGCGGCAGCTGGAGCTTCAGCATCGGCATCCTCCATATCATCGTCATCCATATCAGACTCTGAATCCGAGACATCCTCCAGATACCATGCAGCCTGGTAGTTTGAGGTTCCCTTGGGCAGTTTCTTGGGGGCGGTCGGCTTTTGCATTTCGTCTTCCGAGAAGTAGTGGTGATCGTCGAGTAACACGCCCTTCTTGGCAGTTGTGTCAAGCGGCTCGGCATCCATGTCGTCCATCCTGGCCTCTTCAGGTGCCAATTCGGCAGTATCTTCCTGATCCTCGCCGGGTAGCTCCAACACCTCTTCGGCGTTGGCCTCGTCCATGGCCATATCGCCATCTCGCTTCTTCTTGGTAGCTAATGGTGCAGCTGTGATCTTCTCGATTTGGAATGTTCCCCAATCTCCAACGTGGACCAAGCGGTCAGCCTTCAGCCCCTTGCCTCGGACAACACCAGTGATCACAGTCGACTCTGATGGTGAGCTTGGCCATTGGATCTCGTCTGCCAGCATCCAACTCCGCTGATCCCTCCAGTGTACTCCCTTGGGCGTTGTGCTGCAAAGCGACCTCATCAGGTTCGAACACTCCTGCCTTGAGTCCAGGCTGTAAACCTTGTCTTGATCGGGATGGAAATGCGTCATGAAAGACACCAATGACTTGACCACGTCTGGTCTTGCTTTAGCGGGTTGGATCTGGTCCAGTTTCTGAACGACGGAAAAGCATGTCGAGATGCCTTGGGATTCGATGCTTCGGATAATGAGTTCTCCGAGAGGGTCGACCTCCACTTCCGATGAGAGGAGGAACACTACAAAGTCTGCTACTCGCGCGGCATCCATGCAAGCTGTGAGGTCTCGCCTGAGGGGGACATATTGCAGTTTCTGCTTGAACCTGTCGACAGGCACTCGGAAGCTGGTCTCCAGTACGTCGGATTCGATATCGAGACTGCCGTTCAGCTTCTGAATAGCAGCAGGGACATCTGCGTCAGGGCACAGAGGCACGACAGCGACAATTCTTGGTGCTCCATCTCTTCCGTTGAACAATGCAGTCTCCTTGCTGTGCTCTCTGGCCTTCTGCGCCTGCCGTTGCTTGGCCTGGTTTCTTCGGTCGAGTTTCGACATGACTTGCTGATGCGGTGTCTTGCGCTGTCCTCTTTCACTCGAAAGTTTGCCTGGATCAGATTAGTAATAGATCTCTTGTGAGGATTCGCGACATTGCGCACCCTTTGCTTGCTCTCTTAGTTGACCCTTGGTAGCCTTCTTGGATTTGAAGCCCTTGTGCGAGACATTGGTGGTGGGCCGATGGGAATGTCCCACGGCGGAAGGCATCTTTCCTTCGCCTCCGGCTTTAAATCTAAATGGAAGAGAAGCCAGATTGAACCTTTGGTCCCCGAATGACACCTTCGACTGAGTGAGTCACCTAGGTATGATTCAGAATGATTTGGGGGCGTCGTTCTCGTGCAACGACTGCCTTGGTTGCAATTATCGACAATCGCGGGGTGGTTTATCGAGAAAGTGATGGAGGGGCAATGCTGAATATTTTTTTGTGGTTATCGTTATCGGTAACTCTCAGCGGCGGTTAGCGCTTTGAGTTCCCTGTCAAGACCCAATTTTCCGCAAAGACCCCGCTAAAAAGTTCAATGACTGGCCCAGAAAATTTCATGGTCGCATCGCATCCATCAATGCGAACGTTTGGCACTGCTCAGCAAAAGGCACTACACAACATAACAAAATGGAGCGCGACGACCTCGAGCTCACGGAGCGCCCATTCGCCAAGGGACACGACAATGGTGCCGTCACTGTAAAGAAGGCCAGAACAGAGCTTCTCCCAAAGCACGAGCGCGACAGAATACGACGGCACAAGGAAGCCCGCAGAGACTATGGCCGTGGCAGCAGGATTGACATCAAGGGTATCAAGGACAAGAAACTACGGCGCAACTTGAAAGGGTTGGAGAGCAAGTACAAGGATGCTGCTATTGCTGCCAAGGACGCCGAAATCCTGCTTGAAAACGATGCCGGTTTCCTGGAGCCAGAGACTGAGCTTGAGCGAACATACCGAGTGCGCCAGGAGGAAATCCAAGAGGGCGTCTCTGCCGGAACGGCCAAGAAGAGATTCGAGCTCACACTGAACGAATTGGGACCATATTGCTTCGAGTACGATCGCCCTGGCCGGAATATACTGCTCGGTGGCCGCAAGGGCCATGTAGCGTTGATGGATTGGCGTGCTGGCAAGCTCAAGTGTGAGCTGCAGCTGGGAGAGACGGTTCGCGACGTTCAGTTCCTGGCCGACCAGTTCTTTGCTGTCTCACAGAGGAAATATGTTTACATCTACGACAGCAATGGTGTAGAAATACACTGCATGCGGAAGCTGCAAGAAGTTTCCCACATGGAATTTCTCCCTTACCACTACTTGCTAGCCACAGCCGGTTTGTCGGGTTATCTCAAGTGGCAAGACGTTTCGACTGGGCAACTCGTAACAGAGATTCCCACCAAGCTTGGTCCGCCTACGGCCATGTCCCAGAACCCATACAATGCCGTAATGCACGTAGGTCACCAAAACGGAACAGTAACACTCTGGTCCCCCAATTCAACCGAGCCATTGGTGAAGTTGCTTGCACACAAGGGTCCTGTCAGATCTTTGGCCATGGACAGAGAGGGCAGGTACATGGTGTCAACTGGCCAAGATCGGAAAATGGCTGTCTGGTATGTCCTTGTGTTTGATGAGACATAGATCAGAGACGGTTGCTAACAATTATACCAGGGACATCCGTATGTTCAAGGAAGTCAATAACTATTTCACACGCACACCTGCTGCATCTGTGAGCATATCAGACCGAAATCTTGTAAGTCAAACGAAATCTTAGAAACACCCTGCAAAGGCGAAATCTCAAACATGTGCTAACTGTTAAACTAGACGGCTGTTGGCTGGAGTACATCGACAACCATTTGGAAGGATTTGTTTGTCAAGCATAAAGCCGACCAAGAAAAGGTCCAATCACCATACATGGCTTGGGGTGGAGAGGGCAAGGCCGTAGAAAGGGTCAGGTGGTGCCCATTTGAGGATACACTTGGTGTATCCCACGATGAGGGATTCTCGGTGAGTTTTCTTCATTTTGTCTTGATCCCTGGTCCACTGACTTTTGGCCCTAGTCGATCATCGTTCCTGGTGCTGGTGAAGCCAACTTTGATGCTTTGGAAGTCAATCCGTTCGAGACCGCCAAGCAGCGACAAGAATCCCAGGTGAAGGGTCTGCTCAACAAGTTGCAGCCCGAGATGATTGCGCTCGACCCCAACTTCATCGGAAATTTGGATCTCCGCAGTGAGAAGCAACGACAAGCCGAGCGGGACTTGGATGCCAAGCCCGTCGATATCGAGACAGAGATGAAGAACCGTGCTCGCGGAAAGAACTCTGCCATGAAGAAGTACATGAGAAAGCAGCGGTCCAAGAACATCATCGATGAAAAGAGAATGAAGATAGATCAAATCTGGGAGGAGCAGAAGCAAAAGAATCAGCAAAAGCATCAAGAGCAGGCCACGGAGCTCGGTCCCGCTCTTGGTAGATTTGCCAGGAAGGAATAAATCTTTTAGCAACCATGTTAGTTGCTTGAAATCAAGGTCGATGAACATGAGGATCGGAATACTGCTGAAAGGGCAGTTCCTCAAAAGCCTGCACGACAGATTTCTTTGGGCCAAGCCTGGAGTTTTAGTCTAGGAGCAGCACAGACGGCGTGGCCGGGAGGCGTTTTCCATTAAAACAGATTCTTGCATGGGGCAGTACTTGGTGCTCGTCCTGGCCATCTCTTTGGGTCTCTTTATTGCCTATTTGAGGCAATATTGGGCGCTTGAGTGGCTGCAGATCATTGTTGCAGTCCTTCAAGCACTGATCCCGAAGGCCGCAAAGCAAATCGAAGGTCAAGGTGAGGTTGCAACCTCACTCCAATCAGCGTAGTCGAATTTCACCAAATATATATTCCCTCTTCTTACGGGGATCGTCATATTGCTAAATTGTTGGCCATAAATTACCATGAACGGAGATGATTGTGTCGAGGTAGCGACTGCAAAGACAGTAGTTGGCTGAGCCAATAATGAAGTATCATGTATTTATTCAGCGCATGCCCCACGAGACCTGATTTAGACTTGCTAGTTGATCTGACGATGAGATGAAATTGTTGTTCTGAGCCCATTTGATCTATTCCACTCCAAACGCCTTCCTTTGATCGTGTTCAATGGAATGTTACTTTCATATCACGTTTGCGATAGTTGATGCTTGCTGTTACTAGAAAGATTTCATGCCGTTGAACTACTCGGACATGGAAAGTTAATCAACTAGCTACCTCTCTAAGAAACCCCATACAGTACATAGTAAGAGTGTTACACCTCTGCATTCTGGTCGCTCAGCTTTTCAGCCACGTCAAGCTGCCATTGGACGATTTTCATCCGCTCCTCAGCTTCCTCCAGTTTGAGCTGCACGTCAGCAGAGATATCTTCAACTACTCTATGCCTTCGTGCATCGTAAGCACTTCGGAGATGTGGCCAAAAGACTGTACCGAAGCCGAGGTAGGTCGCAATGTACGTTGCCATATCGCGTACCAAGATATGACAGACTGAACCACATCGTTGAGCCACAATGGCTATGAAGAGATTTCGATCCAAATAAGTTGGGAGTGATTCGATGCTTCTCAGGAGATGAAAGATCATATTGCCGGCAGCTTGTTGCGGCTCGTCCCAGTAGAGGTACTTCACGAGCTTGTGCGTCACGAATTTGTTGATTTCGGCAATTTGCTGCTCTGACTTGCGGGCAAACATGGACCGGTGTAGACTCTGCTCCTCGCAGTTTTCGACCTGGGCTTCTATCATGTCCCAAGCTGGTGACTCGCTGCTGCTCTGTGTGGGTCTTCTCGTCTTCTGTGGTGCCGCTGCGTCGTCGTCGAGTCTTAAATTCTCAAAGTCAGCAAACCAGTAGCAGTCCGGGCACGTACCTTGCCTCCCCGATGCTTGCCAGAAGAGGTTTTGGCCAAATGTCTGTTGGTCAGAGTCAGTGTGCGCATCCCAGAGGAAGCGATGATGGCGCACGAAACCCAAATCGTCGGCGTACTTGCGGAGGAGATCGAAAGGGTCGTAGCCATGGACTTGGCGTTTCGTACACCCGCATGTGTACTCGTGCACGGCAATCACGATACTAGGCATTATGTCTTCCAGGTCCGATCTGCGGCTGTGGAGTACTGACTATATCGAGGTTCCGTTGTCCGGAGTTTTAATATAGCAAACCAATCTCGATGCTTGCGAGTTAAGCCATGTCTGCTTTATATTTATTTACTTATATATTGATTCTCTGTCACGAAAGAAAATACCATGTCCTGGATTTAGTAATATGTATCAGGCTAACAAAGCAGAAAGTCGCTGACTGCAGAGCCTTCTCTCATTGTCCTCTAGAACAATGCTTTGTTTTGTTTTGCGGACAAACCTCAAATCATTGTCTTACATTTTGACTTGATTGATAAATTAACACTCATTTGAATCATGTGGTCAACTAGACTGCATGGTGCCAGCTTGCGATTTTGGTTGATGTGATTCTACTCGAATTATCATCTCTATAAACCATAGGAATGCCATTTAAACGTCAGAAATTAGTATATGCATCCACGAGTCTTCCTTCAGCAGAGTAGCTTGGTGACATCGAGTGGAATGGAGCGCATTAGCTAATATCAGTTATCAATGATGGTTATTCTTTTTAGACTGGCTTTGTATATATGATAGTACGCCAGTCATACAATGACACAGTATACCCACCGCTTTCCAGTAGCTCAACTCCAATGTCCCAAAATTACCAAGGCAACTCGTAACCCTCACGATGCCAGAAGCGCCCTGTATTCTCCAGACCCTTGCCACGCATCACACGCCAGAGCTTTTCAGCGGCCTCATCAGGCTCGACAGCCTCACCACTAGCATGGTGCGCCGAGGGGTCAAGTCCGGTCCTGACAATGCCCGGGTGCAGAATAACGACAACAACGCCGCGGCCGCCGAGATCGACGCTCAGGTTCTTGAACACGGCATTGACCGCCGCCTTGCTGCCCCGGTAGGCATACAGTCCGCCGGTGGAATTGTCGGCGATGCTGCCCACACGGCTGGATACGACGCCAACTTTGGGCGGCCCCGAGGACCGTAGGAGAGCTGGTAGGACTGTTTGGTAGATGATCAAAAAGTCAGTAATGCTGATACTTCATTGAAAGATGCATTGGTATCCTCAAAAGTTTGAGAGGAAATTCAAAGAGAATCGACTGTCATGTAAAGCAAATTAAACCAAACGCGGCAAAGACAGCCAAAAGAGCCGCTTACGGGCCTGGGTTAGCAACAAAGGTCCAAAAGTATTGACGGCAAAGACGCGATGCAGCGTCTCCATGTCCACAGTCTCGAGCGCATCCGCCTCGTGAGGCGCCATGATGCCGGCCACGTTGAGCAACAAGTCGAGCGGGCGCTCGTCGCCGAAAGACGCTGCAAAGGCGGCAATCGACTCGGGCGACGATACGTCGAGCTGAGAAGTCTGGCATGAGAGGGATTGTAACTTGGTACCATTGTTCACGTCCACGGCGTGTACGTCGTAGCCCTGTGGGGGTTTGGAGTATCAATGTCAAATGGTTCTTGAACTTATGTTTTGATGTCGGCGTTTTCATGGGTTGATATTCATTTACCTCTTTTATGAGAAGCTTTGCAAATTCATGGCCAATACCCGAGTTTGCTCCAGTTACTACTGCTGTCGGCATTGTATTTTTTCTTCTTCCTTCTTCAAGTAGAGATGTGGATATCGGCGTGTATAAGGCCAGGTAGGCATTGTTATAGTCGTGCAAATCCGGAAGCGCGGGGAGGTACTGAGCTACTTTAGGATTCATGACGTTTTGCTTACATATTCGAGTACCGAGCACCACTCTGCAGAGTATATTCCATTGGTTGGAGCGTCGCAGTATGTAGTATTTGTAAAGCAGCATTTTGAGCCGAGAACCTTGCCGGCACTGATGTGGAGCGTGTGGCACCATGGACAGATACTACCTTGATGGACATGTAACATTCATCTAAGAATATATGAAAATCGGGGTTTCCGTCATCAATCATAAAATGGTATTCGTTACTTGCGCTGACCTAAACTTTTGCCTTTTTTACTTTTCTTGTCCCTCCCAGGGAGCTTTTTCATGTCCATTTCAGATCTCCAATACCCTCTATAGATTTGAACATGCCATCTATTGGGTCCTCCTCTCTAAACATCAAGCCCCACATGCTTAGTCAAAGACAATGGCGGCCTTGATGGCGGACTTGTTGCGGATGCTCTCCAGAGCCTCACCCCACTGCTCGAGCTTGAAGGTCTTGTTCACGATACCCTTGGTCTTCACCTTGCCGCTGTCAAGGTAGTCAACGGTGGCGGGGAACATGAAGGTCTCGGAGAAGGAACCAATGATGGTGATTTCTGAAATACGGATTAGAATGTGCGCAGAATACTTCAAACCGACTCGGTACATACCATCACCAAAGATCTTGGCAGGAGGCCACGAGACGCGGGCAGAGTTGGGGTAGACACCGTAGCAGACGAGCTTGCCTCCACGGCGGACGTAGTTGATGGCGTCCTCCAGGACCTTGGAGCTTCCGGAAGCCTCAACGACTGTATTTGTGGTTAGCAAAGCGCAACGAAATTGTACGGATCCCGACAATACGAACCGATATCGAAGCCGTATGGGTTGTCCTTCTTGAGCTGCTCCCACTGAGGGGTGGCATCCTTGCGGGAGAGAGGGATGTAGGTATCGGCGGCATCGAGGCTCTTGGCGAGCTCAATCTTGGGACCCTCGGGGGCGGCAATGGTCAATTGGGAGACACCAGAGTTCTTCCTGTTGGTGGCTGTCAGCAATCGTCTCTGTATTTGTGTCTATTTTGAGTTCTTACAAGAACTGAGCCATCATAAGACCGGTAGGACCAGCACCGATGAGGAGAGCGTGAGATCCGGCCTTGGGGGCGATCTTCTCCAGACCGTGCATGGCGCAAGAAGCGGGCTCAATGAGAGTGGCGTCGACATCGCTGATGTTGTTGATCTTGAAGAGCTTGCCCTGGGGGTAGTTGCACTGCCGACGAGATGTGAGTATATGACCAACAGCTGAGATATATCACGGAGCGACTAACGTATTCAGCGAAACCGCCGTCCAAGTTCAGGACACCGTGGGCGGAGAAGTCCTCGCAGAGGAGGGCCTCGCCTCTTCGGCAGTAGAAGCTGAAGTAGAGAGGTCAGTATACTGGCCCAAAGTCAAAGTATGGCTTGGACCACTTACCAGTGACCACAAAGCTCTGAGTTGTCAGCGGCGACGCGGTCACCGACCTTGAAGCCCTTGACATCAGGGGCCATGTCTACAATGTTCTTAGCCTGCGAAACCACCAGAAATCGAACAATTGCCTTCTCTTACCGACAACAACACCGATGGTCTCGTGTCCGGGAATCAGGGGGAACTTGGCGATGAACTCTCCCTCGTGAATGTGCAAATCGGTACCGCAAACACCACAAGCCTGGGAATCGATCAATGTTAGACATTTGAAGCTATGAAGGATTACGCAAAGGGCAAAGGAAACGAGATTGTCGTGGAGACGTACCTTGACCTTGATCAGAACATCACCAGCTCGGATCTTGGGCAGGGGCACCTCGACGATGCTCCAGTCCTCGGGCTTCTCATATCTGCGCGTGGACAATGGATCAGTATTCTGGCATTATGATTCGGGTCTTCAGAACAGTCGTTGGAGAGTCAATGCTCGTACACACGGGAGCAAGCAGAACTCTGATCCATACGCCAAGATCACATAACGCGGGAGCGGTGGGGGAGGGGACAAACCTGAGAGCCTTCATGGTCTTGGGCAATTGAGCGGCCATCTTGATTATGTGTGTTGGGTAGAGGAGGGTACGTGTTGTTGGTATGTATGGCTGTGAATGGGAAGCGGGGGTATCACAAAAGACAAAAAAAGTTGAACAGCACAAGACCAACTGGAGCGAGGAGAATGGGAAATGTGAATGGGAGATTTCAAGTAAGGTTTCGATCGGTCGACGCGGGAGGTAGGGAAGGACTATATATGGTGATTGGATTTGGGGCTGCGAGTAGGGCAGACTTGAGCTCTCGGGAAACAAACGACCATTGATGCTGATGGGCTTATGATCAGGTACGTAGCTATCGTATCTAGTGACACACGAAAAACCTCTCACAAACTGCAAGCCCCATCTGTTCCCCTACCCATCTCATCTCAATAATGCCATGTATCCCCAGTATCGGAAACTCAGGCACGCTTGCAGTAGCAACAATCAAGGAGCTGTTTTCCCATGGCCTTGCTCCTGGGCATCAGAGAGGGGCAATTAACGGACTGAAATGCACGACTTACACAGCTTCAATTCAGTTCCCCGCTGTGGGGGTGCAACCAGGTTTCCATGGGCGGTCACCAGCAACCAATCATGACAGAAGCCGGTCGGTCCATAGAAGGACAACGAGCCATAGAATGCCTCGAGAGGACGGCAGCCACCCCACTAGAAGGGCGGCTCTAGGGGGAGAGCTGCAGTGCTTCGAGTGCCTGGCCGACTTTTTTCTGCACGCGAGATTTCCCAGCTCTTCAGACGCAGACGTCATCGGTCTTTTGGCAGCACCATCTGGCCCCATATTCGGCCTAAAGCTCGGGGGGTATAATCCTCTAGCGGCGCCATACGGTCTAGAATACATGGACTTGGATCGCGATCTCGTCGCTGTCTCTTTCGTGTCAATGCTCTTTTTTTTTCTTCTCTCTCTCTCGTACGCGCGCGTTGCTGCTGCCTTTGTAAACAATTATCCTTTTTCAGTATCGCCGGGGGCAAGGTCTGCCTCATATCACAACGATTCTGTCTTAGACGCAGCTATATATATACCTATGTACAATACAAGTATCGTAACCAAAACCTTCATTGCTGAGTATCCAAGTGGTTGAACACTCCCGAGACATGAACACACACACACCCATGCTATTTTTCCCCAACCAGAACTGCCGTTTGTCGTTAGAGCCTTACTCGTAATCAACGCATGGCTTGACTTGGCTTGAATCTGGAGAATCATTCGGTGAGACCCTCGGATGTCAATCCCCGGTTCGTTTCATTCGCCTTGCGCATGTTGCATACATCTATGTGGCATCTGCAAACGCTCGACGAGAAGAGGAGCAACACGAACCAAATGTGACAACTCATAGTCTTTGACTATAACCATGAGACCTGATTAAAATGATTCTCAATGTTGTAGAAGCACGATACTTTCAAGTCTGGTGAAAGTTGCACGCCTGCTCATTACGATTTTACCCGATGTTGATACTTTTCAAATGGAGCCAACTTCTGTTCCCATCAGACACCCATCGTGTGGAGTGGAGCAACTCACGATACCGCCCAAAGTGATCCCGCGATTTTCGTTACTCATTTCATTTCTGCCATCGAAACTCATGGATAGCCACAGTTGTTCAGATCAGCGCAATGATGCAAGTATAAATCTGGCCATGTACGTATCTTCAAAGCAGAAATTCAAGCCAGCAATATTTTCATCTGCCATGATTTCATGATTGGATTCTGTTAATACTGTTGTTTCGAGTACAGAAACAGTTTGATCAAGAAATGCTAGTCATGACGGAACAAAGCTCCGGATTCCTGAAGAAATGATTCGCTGCTTTAGTCTCTATGATAGGCAAGAACTGCAAAAATAAAAAGATCAATGCGCTGGTAATAGTATTTAGAGTCATGCCTTGCCCAAGTATGTAGAGAGAAAGAGAGAGATCACATCTCATACTGATGGGTTCACAGCTGACAAACACTCCGTCTTTGAGAACTTGGCACCGTCAAAGGCGGAACCAAGTTACCTACGTACTAGTATACGTATTTAGTAACAGTTTTGTAAGTCGTCTTGGGCGTCGCAATTGGTCAATTCGCAAGCATTTGATGAACGGTTCAGTCATTTCACATATTATTCGTGAGACGAAGTCAATTCTTGATGACATCAAAAGCAATGACCCTTATTCGCAGTAGACGGTTCCGAGGGTTTCATGATCCCTAATAACTCCCACCAGTGCATCCGAGTTTTTCCCCCTTGAGTTCTATCATGCGAGCAGAAGATTGACCATGTAGGTGCCCTCCAGTCCATTGTGTACATGTCGGTTGTTCCACCCCATGCCTACTGCCTTATGCGTCGAAGGAGTTGTCCATTGAGTAATTGGCACGTGTGCTCTCTTACGAGGGAGGAGCAGCACCGCGGCCACGGCCGAATCCACCACGGCTAGAAAATCAACATGTTAGCATACGTTTTCGTTTTTTTATCGTAACAATTTGGCGCCTTCTCCTCCTGAATGACCAAAAAAACACCAAATCTCTGCGGGCCACTCACAATTGAGGGTTGAATTCACCAGGGGCACCGCCCTCCTTGCCCTCACCAGCGTCACGTCGTCTGTAGCCACCCTCACGGTCGCCACGGTCACCGCCACGGCCACGGCCGAAGGGGCGGCGCTCGCGCTCGCCCTCACCCAGCATGCCTCGGGGAGGAACGTGGGACTTCTGCTGCTTGATGTGGGTAGCAGGCACGATCTCGGCGGGCAGGTGAAGCCACTCTCGGAGGTAGTCGAGACCCTCGGGGGTCAGGGTGTAGTAGTACCACTGCCACGAGAACTGAGTCTTGACGTAGCCGCGGCTGGTCAAGGACTGCAGAGCCTTGATGACATAGAGGTTCTTGACATCGAGCTCGGGGTGCTTCGGGAGGTTGTAGTCCTTGGGAGCGACGAGGACGCCCTCGCGGAACAGAGCCTCGTGGATGGTCTTCCTGTCAGCCTTCGGGATAAGCATCTTGGGCGAGTCGGCGATGATCAAGATGTCGTCGAGGGTTGTTGGGTGGTTGAGGATTGGCGATCCGCTTTGCACTTGGACGGGCTTTTTCGAAAGTTGCAATCGCGAGGGGGATTTTGCGAAGCTTGTGTGCGCAAAAATTAGCGGTCCAATCAACCGATAGGGCCTGGGAAAAAAGTGGCTTAGCACCTTGATGGGGATCCAGCTTTGGTCTGGGGCCAAGGGTTCTTTGTGGCTGGTGAGAAAGGTGGGGCCCGGACTCCTGCCGCCTGCGGATCTCAAAGTGCTTGCCGCCTTTTTGGCCTTATCGGAGCGTCTGGCTTTCCAATGCGCGTGATTGCGCGCATACCTTGTAGTCCCGACCTACATGCAAGCTTGAGTAATCTGTACCTACCTATTTTTCAGTATTCTGCCAGAGGCTTTTGCGCTTTTGCAGCAATACACACAATTCGTTCAAACGATTCGGTCAAACGGAACTCCTAAATCAGGAGAGAAGTGCATAAACCTTACTGTTTCACTGCACTCAAATCACTAGTGGTACGGAGAAGCAAAGATATAAGAAGACACCCAAGATCGCCACTTTGGGATCGTCTGGCTGCTTCGACTGCACCTCTCCAAGACGACTTTTTCATCATATACCATCGCAACAGTCGCTTCGGCGCACCACTCATCGCCATGGAGGTGGAGCGGATAATCAATGTACTTGTCAGCAGTATTGCTGGGCTTGGCCCGTCCACGCTGTCTTTCCCGGTATCCTCATGTGCCACTCTCGAGGACGTCGCACTCTGCCTCATGCAACGCATACCAGCAAACCCAGAAACGCACCGCCTCATTTTGACCACGACTTCGAACAAGCAGCTCATACCATCCAAAATTCCTTTAAGTACGCGGCTTGTCTCTGCATGCGGACTATCGGGACAGGATAAGTTTGTCTCGCTGCGACTCTCGGCGCCACTATGTGGTGGAAAGGGAGGTTTCGGATCCCAGTTGCGTGCTGCAGGTGGTCGCATGTCATCTAGAAAGAAGAAGAATGGCGACGAGAACGGCTCGAGCAGAAATCTGGACGGCAGACGACTGCGAACCGTCAACGAGGCCAAAGCTCTGGCCGAATACTTGGCCATCAAGCCGGAGATGGAACAAAAGGAGAAACAGAAGCGCCGAGAACGATGGCAGGCTGTTGTGGATGCTGCGGATCAGAAGGAGCACGAGATCAAGCACAACACCAAAGGCAGACTGGATGGCAAGTGGGTCGAGGACAAGGAGGAGGCTGGCGAGAGGACGCGAGATGCCGTGCTGGCTGCGATCAAGTCGGGCAAATACGCGGACAATGTCGTGACCAAGGGCAGTTCGTCATCGGAGGAAGATGACGAGCAAGAGGCCTCTGGCTCGAGTTCAAAGTCTGTCTCGCCACCAATCATTTCGAAAGGCAAACAACCAGCCACACGAACCTTTGCTGGATTCGATGAAGATGACGAATTCATGAGCTCCAGCGACGAAGAGTAGTTGTGCATTATGGGTTGGATTGTTTTTATGCATTGGTCATTGGCGTGTTTGGCGTGCTTGGCGTTAATATTTAATGGTGGCTTGTCGCTGGATTCGACGAAGACGACGAATTTAGAATTCTAGCGACGAAGAGGAATTCATGATGGATTGGATTGTTTCTATGCATTATCTATTGGCGAGTTGGGCGCTCACCTTTTAGGGTGGTTTGACAGATCAAAGCCCATGATTCCTCAGCGTATCACTTTGCAGTTTCTCGTCATAATAAGATAGCCATTCAGGGCGATCGTTTCTGGCTTTACACAATATTCCGTCACGCAGAACTATATGCTTTAGTGTAATGATAGGGCATTTGATATATATCTCAATAATACCCTGCAGGCTAAAGATTGGTGCCCGTCCGACCTGCATGGCCAGCTCAAAAGAAACGTCATCGATCCCTGACTGTGACTTGCCACGCCTAAGATAATACTACCAGCTGATTGAGGGCTTTCAAATTGGCAATTTGAACATCTCATGTAGAAAACGTGGCTTTTGTTCCGTGGAAAGCAAGAAGTTGTCATGCGTCTGACAGTTCGTACAAATTGCAGATAAGCAGGTCGATGCTCTGTATTGGTCTGGCCGAAAGGAATCTATGATACAGCCTTCCAGTCTCTGAAATGCGCCTCCGTCCACTTTATACAAGTATCACCCGTCTCGACCCCGTCGTGTACATTTATGCGTCCAGCTTGGCAGGGAAGTTACCGGCCTCACGCTGGTCGTCCCATCGCTGGTACCAACCGCTGGGGCACAGGGATCGGTAGGCAAGGAAGAACTATTCATCATGTTAAAATCGCAAGGTCCTCGTGAAGAAACCGGGCATCCGGGCTGAGTCGTACCTGGCGGCAGGGGGCAAAGTCCTCGCCCTTGGCGTTGATGCACTTGTGGTAGTCGACGTAGTTCTGCCAGCAGTGCTTGGTCTGGTTCATGTTGGGGAATCGAGCATCGACACCTATTTACACATTACTTGTTAGAGAATCCGGCATTGAAGTTATTGACACCACAATCGCATATCGGATGGAGTCGCATCGGTATCGGGCGGAGTGGCGGGACAGCGTTTTCTTACCAGCTAGAGAATCGCGAATTAGCACAATTGGCCGAGTGAGCCTTTTACGGGGGCGCCGCAGCAGGGTCTACTTACCGGTGACGAACTTGAAGGGCTTGGTTTCGCGATCGTCGTCGGACATTTTGGCGGTTTCTAAGCTTGGTAGAGAGTGGAGAGGTGACGGTGGTGCTCAATGGCAGAAAGACAGATAGATTTGGGATGAGGTCTATGATTCTTCGAGTAGCTTGGTAGTCGGAATCGTTCGATTGGCGGAAGGGCAAAAGCGGCTGGAGTGCCTGAGGCGCAGAATTGTTAGTGAGCTCTGAGAGGTAAGGTGGGCCGCATTGCCCGGCCCGTCATTGGCCAGTCGCCCGAGACTGAGCTTCTTTTGTCCAAAAATGGGTCCATTGCTTCCATTTTCGCTGTGTTCGGGACACTAGAAACACATCCAAAGTCGCTCCAAGCACGACAAGAACAACGTTCGCATATCGACGAGACCAATCTCCCCTCCACCCCCCTCAGACAACCCGCCCAATATGTATCCCACTCAGATTATGAGAATGCAGCCTACGAGACGCATGATGCGTGCTCCTCCTGTGGGTTCCCTTTTCCCCAGGCTGCTGAGCTTGGAAATGACGTACTAACTTCTTGTGACAGGCCGAGGACCAAGCTGGTATGTTGTCGAGCCATTGTCATCCGACACCAACATGAATGCCTTCGGAACCGCTTCGAGATACATCGCCATGGGCCACGACATGTTATTAGAGTGCTGACCAGGTCTGCGATAGGCCACACTGTCTCCCAGCGTCTGCGCAAGCTCCGAAAGATCCCGGCCGAGCTGTGGCCTCTCGGTGAGCACACGACTTTCTATACCTTGGCCAGGGGTTCGCCAGCTTATCATTTATAAACAGGTATCGTCGTCGGTTTCGCCGTCTTCGCCGCCGGCTACTCGAGCGCCCGCAAGTTCTGGGTTGACAAGAACCTGCGCCTGCAGCGACAAAACCGCGCAGCTGATGCTGCCGCTTCGGGAGAGCACCACTAAGCGTCAACTACTCGAAAGAGAGGAGACGGTAGGCAAGGTGTTTTGTTGCTTAGGAAAAAGACCGCAGCATTGTACATTCTAGTCCTCGGAAAGGTTGAAATTGGAAGGCAGTGAAATATAGCAGAGATCAAGCATGATATAGAGAATTGTCGGCGCCTGCCGCCTGCGTCCAACCTATATTCCCGTCCAATTCTGACAGTAACCAACGCCATCGCTATGTGAGAGAAAATCAAACAAGGACAAAAGACAGCTGCTTCGGTCTCCTTACTCCGGTCGTGGACCGGCAACATCCAACCCTTCGAGGCCCTGCATAGGATCTTCTGGCCGATCATCAACAGCTCCTTGCGCCCCATCTGCAGCGGCCCTGTCCTCCTCGCTCACTGCGTGCTCCGCCAGCCAGCTCTCCTAAAAGTTGCGTCAGTAAGAAATCTATGCTTGCGCAAGAGTGGAGCAATCGTACCTGTTGCCAAACTGCTGTCTTGCTTCCCAATCCTTCTTCAGCGCTCTTGGGCGCCTTGGCTGCGGAAACTTTGAGAATCCTGCCAAAGAATTCCGACTGATCCATGTTGTCGATTGCTTCTTTGGCGTCCTGCTCGTCCTCATACTCGACATAGGCGAAACCCCGATGCGGCTCTGTAGCATCTGGCTTGTCGTTTTTAGGCAGTGATATATCGGCAATCTCGCCGAATGGAATAAATGCATCGTGCAGACTGGCAGGGTTGACTAGACCGGCCAGACCTCCGACGAAGACGGTTGCTTTCCACCTCTTCGCGTCCGTCATTTTGCCTTGTCTCGTTCCAGCTGAACGTGAAATCAAAAGCTGGGATTCGTCGTTGTGGAATAATTGCGGCACCCACGTGCAAAGGAAGAATAAAGTAATACCTACCAAAAGCTCTCCCACCATAGCACCGCCTCACAGAATTCCTTTGTTCCCCTCTGCCTAGTGTGGGGGAGATCTCAAATGTGGGGCACGGGCCCCCCTTTACGGTCGTCAGCCACAGCTCCTTTGGGGACAGCGATGTGTCGTCTTCGACCGATGAGCGCACCCAACTCGCCGCCTGCCCTGGCCTAGATTGATTATGAGACTTGAGTGAGCTGGCATTTTCCCAATTCACTTAAAGTTCCGGTTCTGCAGAACAAAATAGACGCCCTCTCGCAGTTATACCGGATACTCCTAGCAGGTCTAGAGGGACCAATGTCTATGCCTGCTTGAATTATACAACCCATTGTCCATTGCCACCCCTTATACGTAACTCGACCCAACATACCCCTCCAGACGAGACCCAGCAGCTTGATCTGACCTGGTCACCCAACTTGGCTGCACCATTTTGAGCAGTCACCATGGTCCGTTTGAGGGAGATCTCGCGCACGGCGGCCTTTGCCTGGTCGCCTGGTGCTGCAAAGCCTCTTATTGTCACCGGAACCCGAGCTGGCGCTGTCGACGCCGACTTCTCGGACGAGACGAAGCTCGAGCTGTGGGACTTGAGCCTGGACAACCAGGAACAAGGACTGGAGCTCCAACCTATCGCGAGCATTGCTGCAGACTCGAGGTAAATCCAACGCCACAACGCACGCTGTCAGGGACCACTCTAGCTGACATGGTGCTGCTGCCAGATTCTACGATATCGCATGGGGCCCGGCGACAGAAGACCACCCTCGAGGTATCATTGCCGGTGCGCTCGAGAATGGGGCTCTCGACCTCTGGGATGCCCAGAAGCTGATCGACGGAGCCTCCGATGCTCTCATTGCTCGAACCACCAAGCACACCGGTGCTATCAAGTCGCTGCAGTTCAACCCACTGCGACCCCAGATCCTCGCCACCGCTGGAGCCAAGGGAGAGCTCTTCATCTACGATGTAAACGATCCCTCGAACGCCTTCCGGCTCGGAAACACGGCCGCTCGGTCGGATGACCTCGAATGCGTCGCATGGAATCGCAAAGTTGCACACATTCTTGCCACTGGTGGTACTGGTGGTTTTGTCACAGTGTGGGATCTGAAGACCAAGAAGGCATCCTTGACCCTCAACAACAACAGAAAGGCTGTTAGCGCTATCGCGTGGGACCCAAACAACTCTACAAAGCTCTTGACTGCGACGCCCGACGACAATGCGCCGTTGATTCTGCTCTGGGACCTTCGCAACTCCAATGCGCCTGAGAGAACACTGCAAGGTCACGAGCAAGGCATCCTGTCGCTTTCGTGGTGCGAGCAAGATGCGGATATCCTGCTGTCATGCGGCAAGGACAACCGTACATTGATCTGGAACCCCCAGACTGGTGAGCGTTTCGGAGAGTTCCCCGAGGTTACAAACTGGACCTTCCTCACTCGCTTCAACCCCGAAAACCCCAACCTCTCCGCAACCGCTGGTTTTGATGGCAAGATCACCATTCAGACTCTTCAAAATACCAACCCTTCTGCTGTCCAGTCCAACACCCAGAGCAACTTGGACGGCGAAGACTTTTTCACGCAGGCTCAGACTCAGCCCCAAGAAGCCACCTTTTCCTTGGTGGAAGCACCCAAGTGGTTTAAGAGACCAGTTGGCGTCTCCTTTGGATTTGGAGGCAAACTCATAATTCTCAAGGCCAATCCTGCTCAGCCTGGACAAAAGCGCTCCTCCAGAATAGAGATTTCGCAATTTACAGTGGACTCTGACATTGGTTCAAGCACGGAGAAATTTGAGGAGTCTATGAAGTCGGGCGATCTTGTCGCTATCTGTGATTCGCACAAGGAGAACGCCAAGACGGATGAAGAGAAGGAAGAGTGGCGTGTCATGGAGACTCTCCTGGCGGAAAACCCTCGAAAGCAGATCGTCGACTACCTTGGTTTCTCTCAAGTGGAAGAGGAAGCTACGAATGGTACTACCGAGGAGCCCGAGTCTAAGGAGCCCGAGGCTGTCCCAGAAGCAGATAAGCTTGCCCCGAAGAAGGGACACAAGAAGAACCGTCTCTCCATGTTCTTTTCCGAAGGCGCTGAGGGAGAAGGCGATGACTTTTTGGCCAACCTTTCGGCCACCAAGGGTGCCAAGACTGATAATCCCTTCCATCTATTCGCAGACAGCGATTCTGCCGTGGAAAAGTCCATCACTCGGGCTTTGATGGTTGGCGAGTTTGAAAAGGCTACTGCCATCTGCTTGAAGGAAGAAAGAATGGCTGATGCCTTCATGATTGCTCACTGTGGCGGAAAGGAGTTGGTCGACAAGGTTCAATCCGCTTACCTTACTCAAAAGGTTGGCATGCCCAACTACCTCCGTCTGCTCAGCTCTGTCATTGTGAAGAACCTGTGGGATGTTGTGTACAATGCCGACCTGTCCAACTGGAAGGAGACCATGGTCACTCTGTGCACGTATGCTAGCCCAGAAGAGTTTTCGGATCTTTGCGAGGCTCTGGGTGATCGCATCTATGAATCGGGCTCGAGGCAAGACGCTTCTTTCTGCTACTTGGTTGGTCACAAGCTCGAGAAGGTTGTCAATATTTGGATATCTGAACTCGACGAAGCTGAGAAGGCCGGTCTTGCAGAGGGTAATGATTCGTCTTACTCAATTCACGCCAGAACTCTACAACATTTCATCGAGAAGGTTTCCATTTTCCGAGAGGTCACCAAGTTCCAAGACACGGAGCTTCAGGAGACTTCGGGGTGGAAACTGAGCTCCTTGTACGACAAGTACGTTGAGTACTCAGATATCGTGGCTGGGCACGGACAACTGTCTGTCGCTCAGAAGTACCTCAGTCTGCTGCCTACCACATATCCTGCTGCCGACATTGCCCGCAACCGGTTGAACTTGGCCACTCAGAGGAAGGCACAGCAGCCGGCCGTCACTATCCCAAAGACATCGAGACAGGCAACTTCCTTCGGCTACCCCAGTGCACAAGCAACCCAGAGCCCACTGAACCCATACAGTGCCTCTACCGCTCAGGTTCCTGCGGCGAGCCCATTCCCACCTCAGCCTTCTAATGCGTACGCCCCTCCGGCAACCAGTGGTTACCCAACACCACAGGCTTCCAGAGCCTATGCTCCTCCACAGGTTGCAGCCAACCCGTACGCACCTAGTGGATTTCAGGCTACTCCAGCTCCTCAGGCATCTACCTACACGCCACTGGGCTACGCTCCTCCAGTTCAGAACTATAATGCACCCCCACCACCCCTAGCTGGACCACCAAGGGCTGGCACTCCCTCCTCGACGCCGCCCATCAAAAAGGATGAAGGTCAGTGGAATGACGTGCCGTTGGTGACAAAGGTTCAACCAGCACGACGAACGCCTGCCCCGGCCCCGATCACCTCGCCCTTTGGTGCTCAGGGAACTGTACCGGGTCCACCGCACACTCCTCTAGGCCCGCCCCGAGGAACTGCTACTCCACCTCCGCCTCCCCCGAAAGCAGGCCAGATGGGACCACCCCAAGCGCGTGTCATGTCGCCACTCGGAGGGCCTCCTCAAGCCGGACAGCTGCCTCCGCCTCCTCGGCCTGACTCTGCCGCCGCCAACGCGTACGCACCTCCTCCTTCCGCTCAGGCCCCAGCTGGCTACGGCGCTCCGCCACCGATGGGGAACATTGTAGCACGAAGCGCTTCTCCTTACAACCAGCCTCCTGCTGCGGGCCCTCCAAGCAACCGCTATGCTCCTGCACCATCGGCGCAAGTCGGTCAGCCTCCCCAGCAACCCGGTGTAGCACCTCCTCCAGGTAACCGACCACCGCCATCGAGCGCCTACGCACCGTCGCCTCAAGCGGCGCCTGCTCAGGCCGCGTACCCTGGAACAGCATATGGGGGATTTCCTCCACAGCAGGCACCTCCATCAGCAGGTCCTCCGCCAATGGCTGGTCCTCCCAAGGCTGGCCCACCACGAGCTGCGGCTTCTCCCGCACCCACTCCCCCACCTGCAGCCGCGCCGGGAAAGCCTCGACACCCTGCAGGTGATAGGTCGCACATTCCTGCAAACGCCCAGCAACTTGTGGATATCTTGAATCGTGATATGCAGCGTGTGGCTGGGAAAGCACCCCAGTCCTTCCAGATGCAAGTCAAGGATACCCAGAAGCGCCTAAATCTTCTCTTCGACCACCTTAACAATGAAGAACTTGTCAAGCCAGACACTATTGAGCAGCTGACACAACTTGCACAAGCTCTGGAGGGCAAGAACTTCCCCGAGGCTTCGAGACTGCAAGTCGAGATCCAGACAGCCAAGACCGATGAATGCGGTAACTGGATGGTAAGTCACACCCCATGCAGAAAAATCAAGAAATCTCAACTAATATCAATGCAGGTCGGTGTTAAGCGCTTGATCTCGATGAGCAAGGCAACCTCATAAAGAATGAGATGACGAGGGATAGATTTAGAGATGGTATTAAACACGAGCTACGAAGCACGAAAATCAGCGAGGAGCGCTTGTGATCACCGCTGCGTTTCTGGCACACATGGTTAAAAGCATTGCGCCTCGTGAAAACTTTTGAGGTTAGGTGATGAAGATACGTAATAACAGGTGTTTGATTCGCAATCATGTCCCACAAAACTTGATGAATATTGAAGACATTGTCATAAAATTTTGTACCCCGACTTGACCAGAAACTATAGACGATTGTTTTACTGATCAACTGTGAACGCAGTGACGGCTAGTTGATTTTGTCTATAGCAGAACTGGCTAAGCCAGGCTGTGACAGGAAGATTGCATCGAATGGCTGACGTCTTTTTTCATGTCGTCGCATCGATTTTCTTACTCTCGTCTAGCAATTCGTTGAATATGTTCATGGAATTTGACGTATCATTGAAATGCAGCCGTGCACTGTTCAAGTAAAAGCAACAAGAGCCATGCTGATACGAACCACGTACATTAACCTAGATCTGTTTCCCGGACATAGTCGGACTTAAGCGATATAGTATAGGGACTTAACTGGCGTAATACCCAGTAACTCCCGTTTGGTGAAAGAAATGGAGCTTTGAGTATATCCACAACCCCACAGGAGTCTTACATTTGTTGCAAGATTGACCAATAATGACTATTTGCTATTCTCGACATGGACGAATGCGGATGATGGGTCTGCGGCGGGTTCACGGGAGTGGACTTGGTAGTCCCACGGACCATAGGGTCTAATTCCCATCAGCATTGTGGCCGATCGCATCAAGCTGATATAAGATCGATACCGCAGCGCTGATTCCAAGTGAAATTGACAGAAGTAAATTTGTACATTCATCTATCATCTCAACAGTATCACAGAAATGGACGAAGCAAATACGAGGCCATATCACATGCCGAGTGATGCCGTTTGGTTTAGTAAGACTCTCTAAACTTATAGAAGTGATTCTCGGGTAAGGTACTGATACTTTGACAGTCACTGGATGCTCCTCGGGTATAGGCCTTGCCCTGGCTCAGCATATTGCGGCCACATCGAGCCGGGTAGTAGCCACGGCCAGGAACCCGTCGTCCCTGTCGGCCATCCGAGACGGGCCCAATGTGCTCAAGCTGGCGCTGGACGTGACGTCCATCCCCTCGATCCACGCCGCGCTCGACGCCACCGTGGACCGGTTTGGCCGCGTGGATGTGGTCGTCAACAATGCCGGGTATGCCCTGGTGGGGGACGCAGAGGCGGCGGGCGATGCCGAGTCGCGCGCTCTTGTCGATACCAATTTCTGGGGCATGGTCGATGTGTCGAAGCGGGCTCTCGGCATCATGCGGGATACAAACCAGAACCCACGCGGCGGTGTCATTCTCAATGTCAGCTCCATGGGTGGTTGGATGGCGTATCCCGCCAGCGCTTTTTACCATGCTAGCAAGTTTGCCATGGAGGGTTGGACTGAGGCCGTGGCCAAAGAGCTGCCGGTCGAGTGGAATAGTGAGTTGAATCTCTTTTCGAGTTGGGTGGAGAGTCATTATCGATGCTGATTATTGACTCGTTGTAGTTCACCTCTGCAACATAGAGCCCGGTGGGTTCAAGACAAAGTTTACATCTTCGTCTCTCAAATACATGGCAGAGCGACATCCAGCATACACGGACCCGTCATTCCCCAATAATACCGTGATTGCATACATGGAAGACCCAAAGAGCCGGGAGGATTGGGCCGAACCGGAAGCTGCCGCTGCAGCCATGTACAAGCTGGTCAGTCGCGGGCAGCGAATCCCGATCCGGGTCCCGCTCGGGGCCGACTCGTGGAATGCTGTCGTGGCTGATCTGAAAAAGTGCGAAAGGGACCTTGAGGAACTTAGAGAATTCAGCTCTAATCTGAAATAAGTGGCTAGCTGTGGGCATACCAAGAAGGCGGTAGCTTATGGACGTGTCTCAAAGGCAAGTACACCTGCGGTATGTAGCTTGAGGCCATTCCGAGTGCAACACCAATCGAAATGTCCATTCATGCTCCTTGCTCACTGGGGCTTAATTATATGATGTAGATTGACAGTTGTGATTTTCATTGGTACAGGCACAACTCATTGGGAGCGCACAGTCCCTGGCGTTTTGGACTTTTGATGCGAATCCTTTGGCAATGGCGGCACTCGATGCAGGTGATGCTCAGCCTCTACCAGAGTACACGCCATGTTCCCGAGCTACACGTAGGTGTTATTCCACCACCTCCACTCCCTCCCTCCTCGCTCTTCAAAGAGTATCATATCCGAGCAAATGCATCGTGATTGGCCCGTCTCATTCAGGTGCAAAATGGCCTCTAATCATCCCGGCCATGAAATTACGCCTTGCATGATTACATCCATGTAACGTCGTTCGCCCTATTCCAACAAAATGCAGCCACATGGACCCTCCACATCCCTGGTCTGCACGCCCGGCTGGTCGATTAATGGCCTCTCTGCTCATGTTTGCGACCCAGGCGCAGGTGCCCCTCGTCTTGCCAACATAGCAGAGCGATGCATAAAACATGGTCTTCTGCATCTTGACTCTTGATATGTTATCCAAGCTCCAGAGCTCTGCGGAGCAGTTCTAGGGGACGGTCTCCACGTCAATTAATACCAGAAACAATCCACGCGCACCTTTGCGATTCTTTCAGAGTAGTTAGCTGCGCCAGGGAAACCTGGCGTCAGTCCCATTCAACGACAACAACATGATCATCAATTAGCAGACGGACAGCAACGTTCCCGGTCGACATTCGACACTGCACATCTTTGCATCTTTTGTGATTTTTTCTTCTTTGGCAGCGAGCACACCTGTGGCTACAGCGAGGACGCCTTCATCCAACCTGGCTTCCCGCCAAGCCTGCCTCAACCAAACCAGGCTTCATTCGACCCTAAAGTTCTCTCGCGAACTGAACCTGGAGATGTGCAATTTGACAACGACGCTGCCAACACGGAAAATCTGCTTCACCATAGCCAATTTTCTCCATTATCAACAACCACCCTACGTAACGATTCTTCTCCTGCAACAAGCATAAGTGTTTCTAATATTCCCGATTCATCGCCAAACACTGAGTTTTCGCCTGACCTCGCACCGCACTCACCGGTTGCATCTTTCTACGAGGTGCTGGCTCCACTAGTCGCTAATATTCCTGAGCTGGAACCACGCACTTCACACTGGGGTTTCGATCAATCCATCGACAATGCCGAGGAAGCCCAAGCCACCACCAGGCCTCGTTTTCCTTGCCAACGAGGCTGTGATTACGTCGCCATCTCGAAGAAAGACCGTGACAGACATCACAACACCCGAAGGCACCGGTCTAAGCTGGACGGACAACCTATCGGGGTACTACGGGGCACCTTTCAATGCGCTTGCGGCCAAACGATACCTCGCCGTGACAACTACAAGCGACATGTCTCGAATTGTAACGGCCGCCACGTGGGCTCTTACCGGTGCGACAAAGGGCATACTCATGAATCAAAGGAGGAACACTTGAGACACTTGGAAGATGCGGACGAGTGTGGCAAGAAACGTGGGCGCCCGCCGACCGAGAGGCGCTCCGCTTCTGCCGCTGTTGATATGTAGACCCGACAATGAGATCTGTGGCCACCAATTCCATCACGTCTCCAGCCAATTTGGTGTGTTGAGACGGGTCGACATTGGTTGGCTAGGGTGAGGCTTCCCATCTGATTATTCGCCAATGGGAAGACTCTTTGCGCTAAGTGTGGTAACATGTGATCTGCGACGACTCAGGTGTCGATGCGACAATGCTCTATATCGACATACGTTGAGACGATCGTTGACCTCCCACCACACCAACGCACATGAAAACACCTAACATAGACCTCCTATGGTTAGCTCATTGGGTGCAATAGAATCCAGGGTTGAAAGAGACCGGAACTAGCTGAACTGAGTTATGATGATCCGGGAGGGGGGGAAATGGGACGGCAGGAGATACCTTTGTCAAGGTAGGCTGCGATGAGCATGATGTGGTAAGTAATTCATGGGTACTCACCGCATATGTCCTATAAAGATAAAAATCAACAAAAAACAGTATTGGTACCTGGTCAGCGCCGCGCCAGCGGCGACTGTAGCTGGTGATACCAATATAACATCGAACCACTTGAATAAAGACATTCATCAATATGTTGCCTTCGCATATAATGATCTCGTCAGGTTCCTTTTACCCGGGCTGACGGATGCCCCTCAGATTGTGTCTAGGCTGGAATGGGTCTGCTCTCAATGCAGAGCTATCGTTCATCGCTGAGGTTTATTGGAGTAAGTATCAGAAGTGACAAGTTGATGGACACCGATTAACTTTGCTATATCTATCTATACATATTCATTGACCGATTTGCACATTATGTGTTATGTGGCAGGAGGAAGTTCACAGGGTCGTACACATTTCGATTATATTACCTAGTACCTAGGTAAGTATGATGACCGACCAGGAGGACCTGACTTCTGACTGGAGATTTACCCGTCAGCACCGAAGTAGGGGACTCGAGGTTTTGCTTATAGTCAGCTCCACGTGCTGGTGCTCGCAATCAGTCGCAAGTAGGTACGAGTCACGGCCTCCATAGCCACACTGGCGTTCGTGTCTTCTTCTTCTTCTCCAACCTCCCTTTTTTGACACCCACACTGATACCATAGTCTGCGTATACTGTCTAGGTAACTTTTCGCTGGCCTCTGGCCTTGTAGTTAGAGAAATTGGAGAGACTGCTTCTATGCAACTAGAAGTTCATACAAATGTTTGCACTGCGTACGGAGTCTTCTTCGGAGGTATTATATCGAAGCCTCATGGAGTTTCAATACAGCCTGATAGCTTTCCTTCCTTCATGTAGATATGTAAATCATGTCGCAGAACTGAGAGCTGGCCCAGATGCCAGGTGTCAATCTTGATGCCAACTTCTTTCATGTACACCATGACGTACCCAACGTCGCTCCAGTGGTCAAGCAACCGGACAATTAATTCCGATTCTTTCTCCAAAATCCCATGTTTGCGTAGCGAGGGATAATGGGGTGAACTCCCGACTTTGGGTTGAGGCAAGGAATAAATGAATTTGTCCTTGTGCAACGCAGATCGCGGTCTCATGTCTCTCTGTTCCATGGCAGACACAAGCCAACTTTTAAGCTGGGTCATCTCCTTCTTCATCCCTCTCACGCCCTTCTGCACCTGTTTGTACTTCTTGTTCATCTTGGAATATATAGATTCCAGTTGAGTAAGTTGATGCCTTCGAGCCTCGACTGTCTTGTACAACTTTAGGTATGACTCTGCGGTGGCTAACTCTTGCCCAGTAGCGAGCCTCCGGAGCAACGCCGACTTCTCCAACAGCGCTTTCCAGAAACGTTCCAAAGAAAGGCGGAGATCTTTCAAATCGTTGCAGTGAGGTATTTTGAATTTATCTATGCCACGTTGCTTGTGCTTCTTGCCTTTGCTTGTACCCTTCTCGGTCGGCCCATTGGGAAGTCGAGGGGGTAGATCAGCCATAATGCGTTCGTAGATAGCCTCTTCTCGGCGGCCACGTTTAGCTGCCCGGGATTTGTTACCATAGAATGTACTGAAAGAGTTGTGAGTTACAGCGATCGGCTGGTCATCTGAAGTCAATACCGCATCCGCGTCGAGGATTTCGGCAGCCCGAACTGAGACTCGAGGCTCGAAATTTACGTAAGACGATGTTCCATATTCTTCGAAATCATCGTCCCAGAGGTGGTGTATTCTTTGCTTCGTATTTCCACGATGGAATTTCTGTACGTATCGATCATGCCGGTTTTTTTTGTATCCTCGTCGCTGACCATGTTGTGACGTCCCCATGGTACCCAAATTTTGCTTGACATTTTTGGCGCCATGCAGAACTTGACCTCGCCGGTGCTGGAGTCTGCTTGGGATCTTATCCTTGGGATGGACTTTCCAACTCTTTTTTCTGCCAGGGCCTAATCTCCACTCGGCCAAAGTCATTTCTTCAGTATCGCTAGCAGGATCTTCCCTAGCTTCGCTCTCACCGCTAGCTACCTCGGCGGGCACACATTCTGTATAGTTCTCCATCATGATGAAGCCATGCATAGAGCCTTCCAAATGGGCAAGGTTTGAATATTCTGACAGGCTTGTATCATCGTGTTGGAGCCGTCGCGGAGTCTTCCTCGTTGGTACTTTGAACGGAACAAGTGCCTCGTGGCCGGCAGCGCCTCGCTTATCAAGTAATGACAACAGCTGTGTCGGTACAAAGGCACGCAGACCCAAACGAGAGTAATTTGGAGCCAGAATCTCGAATACGGCATCTTGCGTAGCTCTAGCATCTCGAAACACAACTTTGAAGGCCTGCAGCATTTCTCGTCGAGTGCACCAATATAAGGCACAATATTGCAATGCTATCATCAAGTCGTTTCGGATATCCATCACTGCAATGTCCCACATAGATTGTATGCATCGTCTTTGTAGCTCGTAATCAAGTATGGAAGGGCCGTTCAGGAAATAATTCTGGAGCAACACGCGATACTTGAGAATAAGCCCTTCCCAGTGACGCTCATCTTCACCAGTGACTAACAGTCCGCTGTACTCCATAAAATCACATGCCAAGGTCCAAGCAGTCTGGTACGATCCTTGAGCTATAGAACATGTGACCGCAGATGCAGTGATAGCGTCTCTCATTTTTTGCCGTGTGCTTGAAGCCAATGGTGGATCCGAGAAGGTTGATTGTGGCTGTCTTGATCGATTGGCGCCAGCACGAGGCTCGTACCCCCGACCCCAAGAATGTCTAGAACGCCACCTTGGGATGCGAGGACGCTGGACTGTACTCAGCCTGGTGGCCCGATCATAGGCATCGGTGCGTGTTGAGAAATGCATGAGATCCCGTCAGATGCAAATTTCGATGAATGAGAGCATGAATGTTTTGGCTAAGGGACGGAGGAAGTTTGCCTACAACGTTGAGATACTCGCCCGATCAAACGCTCGTCTATTTAAACGCGAGTATGTAGGTAGTAATGACCAATCCAACAACATACCATCGTCGGGCGCCTGGTATCGACACAGCACTGCTTATAGCCTTATAATTCCTCAGGTATCAAAGTACCTGTATTGTCTGGTAGGTGCCCCGCCCCCGGTCGGTGGTCAGCGGCCAGTGGGTGTGTTCCCAGGTAGTGCTACTCATCCGTATGTGAGGCCATTTTCTCTCGCCCCTCGGACTTTGAAACCCCTGCAAATGCAGCCGAACAGATTGGTTATACGCGCCGAATGTGCATGTACTCTGTACAGAAGAAAAGTTTGTATCGCACTGTCTGCAAAGAATTGAATGTCTAAGTTGATGCTTTACAGTTCATATCTTTCTATATGGTCTAATCATTACTAACGAAACTTTAGTGCCCGAAGAATTTATTCAGTTGTTTGAATAACATGCTAAACACTATAGAGTTTTGTCTTTACAGTCTGGAATCCGATGGGATCAGGCCTCCACGGTGTCGCCAATAGTACGTAGTCTGCTGTCTTCAGCACGCCAATGGCAAGTGCAGGACGATGGTGTCGGATGATCTTTGTCCCTTTCAAATACAATCTGTTGAAGTCGAAGAAAGAGCAACGAATGCCTAAGTATAGTACCTGTGTATCAGTAGACGCTGACTCCAACCACCTGCAGCGCTTGTTGTCAGCTGATAGGTAAGGCCACTTACATGACTCGACTTGCTGACACCAGAGGCCATAAGTCAAATTGTTGGGCAGGAAAATGCCACATTGCAGGTTGCATGCCAAGCTTGGTCAAGCCACGGCCAGTTGTTTTGCAGGACAATGTTGCCCGCGAGAGGATGACAGCAAGGGCGGTCGACCCAATGAAGCATCGATTCAGCGTGGCCCGCCCAAATTCGATCACTCCCGCAGCCACGCCATCACAGGCAGACTCGTTCCGACAACGACCAGTGGCCATATCATTTACATATTTCCAGAACCATCAAACTGGAGAAGTTGAGCCACTTGCATAAATTTCGAGGTCGTTTTGCGCGAGGTCTGAGAGGCCTTTAAGGAGCTACTTGGGGGTTTTTATTCCCAAGCCTTGTTGTAGCCATATTGACCTTAGATGTTCGTGGGTATTTATCGCTGACAATACTTTTGACCTTGGCTTTCAAACACATCAATCAAGAAAAAGTGCTCCTTCGCCATTTCAATCATGACTTTGTGGCGGCCTGTTTAGTCTACATAATTTGTAAATACAATCGGATATACTAGCTTGTTTTCGACCACACAAGAAGATCAAAAGTATCTTGTATGATCGATCAACCACGGGCATGTCGGAGTCGCCCGACCGCTGGACTCGGGCCTGTGCACAGCCACAAGAAAAGCCCCCAAATACTATACGCGCGCCGCAATCGATCTCGCTACTGGATCGATATTATTACCGACTGGAGCAAGAGAAGCGGCGCCTGTTCGATGGATTGAACGACGAATCACACGTATATGTTTGGGAAGGCTGGGCAGGAGATCACTGTACGTGAGGTTTGATTGCAACCAAAGCCAAGCCCCTGGCATTGACCAATTTCCTAGGTCTGCGAAACAGTCAATGGAATGACATAGAAGACGTGAAATCGCATATTGACAACCACCTCCTGCGCAAGGAGAAAGATCTTCAAGTGTGCTGCGTGTGAGCTGTGTGCTACTACATAATCTTTGGTCACCAAAAGCTGAAATAAAGTCAGGTTCATTCCTATCGGTAGCTCTTCTGCACCAATAGGTTGTACCCACGAGATGTTCCTTTCCTTGTGCACATACCATCAAGTCAGCCCCGAGTTCCTGGACCTGGTGTGTTCATTCGGACGTGATGACAGTTCATCGAGAGCATTTTATCATACCCATATTTCCCAGCGAACCGACAGTATGGATTCGCAAACACTTGAAATCACAGCACATGGAAGATATTCTTTTAAAAAACGAGTCAGTTATCAAGTTTCTTCGATGGAATTGTCAGATGACAACAAGGGCTGGAAACTGCGAGAAATGGCTGTATACCATTCTCTAAACGTCGCCACCGGCAGTTCTTTTTTTCTAATAACCACGGCGAATGAGATGCTCACCAAAGAAGTGTTGGATACCCTCAGTGATGCACAAGGTGATGCTCACATTATTCCGCACTCTCCTCAGGACTCTCTAGCCAAAACATTGCAGACTCATTTGGCGATCATAGACTGGCAACAGGAAAGCTGGAGAAGTTACATGAGCAGTCTTGAACAGGACTTGCGCAGCAAGCTTGATCACCTCGACGATCTGATGCAACATCTCACAGGTCACAATGAGGCAGACATCAATTGTCAGGAACAGTTCGAGCATAAAACCCGAAGGCTCAGGACTCTTCGGGCGAACTCGTGGAAGGAGTTACAACAATTGAATCTCTTGAGCTCAAACTTGAAGAAGGCAAAAGTCACCATGACTTGCAATAATGTGACTCTGAAAGAGTTGAATGAATATTACAGCATCCTGTTCGAGCCGCCCAGCGTTCCAGAATCTATACGGACAGACTGCGCTAAGAACATGCGCGAATTTACGATACGTATGGGTGCACTAGAGAGATCTATTGAGTCAGAGTGCCTCAGGTGTGACATGCTCATGCATCAACTAGAGAATGGAAAAGCTATGGTCAGTGTCTTGATGTACAAGTCGTGCTGATGAGATGACAGGTGGACAGCTGACGCAGTTCTACTACGCCCTCATTCTTAAAGAGCAACGCAAAGAGACCGAGAGACAGTTCGCCTTGAGTTCAAAAGATTCAATGGAGCGCATGGAGCAAGAAACTTCGTCAATGCATACCATCACAACCTCCACACTCAACTTTTTGCCAGGAACATTCATCGGTGTAAGCATATGCTGATAGGCAGTGTGGGTCGTGGCTGTCCGTGCTAACATACCTTCAGGCGTATTTCTGATAGGTACGCCGGACCATTTGACTGCCCATCTCTGCCGCACAAGAAGGCAAGTCAAATGAAAGCTGCCAGCTTCTGTGGGATACTGCCTTTCATTTGATAGACCCTGAAGCACTCTACCTAGAGTGACTTTCTCCTATACTTGACGTCTAGATGGCCTCGACTCTTCCTGACGCAACTTCCGCCTCCGTGCATGATACCGGTACCAAGAGTAGCCCCTTATGGCACAATAGCCGCTCAGTGCGATTAACCGTAGAAAATTAATGAGTGCGTCGAAGTTCCAGAGCAAAAGAAATGCGACAGGTCCCGCTAGCCGCCAGGCCGGAGTTTTGATTCTCGCAAATAAAGACTCTTTTGGCGGCTCTTCACGTCTCCATCTCCTCCAAGCATCCACTACATTGAGATCAATGCGAAGTGCAGTCAAGCAGATCGATATGAAAGCCGGAAACTGAGTCCAGAAAAATACATCAGCGATGGCGTCGTAGTCAATCGCATGTGTGTATTGAATGGCAACATCGATTACTGATGACACAAGAGCGACGGAAATAAAAAAGTCTTGTGTCAAGATCAGGATATGGTTGTGCGAGGAGATGAGAAGTAAAAGGTCGATCAGGGTCAAAATGGACAGGGGCACTAGGACCGCCAACACCGTCAGGGGTACTGCAGCGATCGCGAAATATTTGGTCGGCCAGTTTGAGTCGTTGATCTCGATAGTATTCATCCCGAAGATACCCTGATTCGAAAAACGTTAGCCCTCGTTGTGCTCTCTGTTGTGATGAGTGAGTGATTACCGCCACAGCTGTCATGGGCACAAAAACAGTAGCCAGGAAGGTGAGGTATGGAACATTGCGTGATTGTGAGAGGCTCAGCTGCTCCATGATCTGCAATCATATTCTATTAGATCGTTTCATTACAACATAAACTTTGAGAAGAGGTACATACCAGAATACGTGTGTTGCTGGCTTGTTCGTGGGTCTCGTTGATGTCTTCGAGGAGCGTTCTGCAAGTGGTCGTAACAGTGTCCGTCTCTGGTAATAATGGACCAAGTTCCCAATCCACTGGATAGCTGTCCTTTTCCATATCCAGAGCTTCAGTCAAGTCTTTGTGATACTGGAGGTGGTTCATGAACGTTAAGCACACCAAACTACCACCCACCTTGGGATCAGACAGGTGTTCATATCTCTGCTCAGTTTTATTTAGCTTTGATGTCTTGCAGAGAATCATGCTTACCTACCAGATTCTTAATATCATTTCTCAGTTTTGCGAGGCGTGAGCGTGCGTCATTGACACCCAGTCGATAAATATAGCGTAAGCAATAAGCCCAATGTTCAGAAGGGTCCTCAGTTACTTCCGTTGCTGGAACTGGGAGGTCATCCAGTCGCTCAGAGAATACGGAAGCCGCCTGACCGTCCGAGAAGGCGATGAGGCTGCGCCATGATGCGTCGTCTTCTCTTTTACTTCCCCAGATAGCCACCTTCGATACAGACTGGGGAACCTTGCCATGTAATTTTTTCCGTTCCATGTGCAAGAATCGCGTTGATGTGTCGTCTGGTATTTGTCCTGGGAAATCCATGGTCTTTGTGGAAGAGCTACGCTCAGCGGAATCAACAGCTTGCACGGAGCACCATTCGTCTTTACACACTTATCGATAAGCAATCGAATTCTACAGCGTAATGCAGTTCTGGGATCTTACCGAGATCATATTTTGGAAACCTTGGTCTTTGGACGCGAGAAGAGGGCTGCGGAATCAAAACGTTGAAAAATGCAATCACATCGTGTATGGACAATCGGAGATCTCTCGTCAAGAGAAGAAGAAAGGCAAAAATTATAGCCCGTGAAGTATCTTTGAAAGTGCGAGGCTTGTTTGCTGTAAACATCGCCTGACTCTTGCTGTACAGCTTCAACAAATCGGACTGCGGGTCCATCGTTGGGGGGTGCTGTGGGGCACAGATGATATAGTAGTTGGACTCTAGGGACCTTCAACACCACATAACTGAGTCAACCCTCGAGTGATGTAGACGATCAAGGATAATTACTGTGGAGCTTTCTTTAGCTGGCATGAACAGAAAATCACCAGTATGCCGAAACTTACCCTGGTAAATTCGACGAAAGAATTCATTGTGTCGAGAAGGTGATCCAATTCATCAATTGTGAACTTTTTCAACGGTGTTCCTGTATAGTGTTAGCAAGCAGGGAAAACTACACAAGGCGCGTATCTACGAGAAAAGTCTCACTCATTATTCTGCCGGGTTGAATGACCGTGAGTTCAAAGTATGGTACCTTTCCAGTATTGACAAGCCGAGGTGCACGATCATGATTGATGATTGAGCGAAAGAAGCTTAGAGTCTTTTCCCCTTCCGAGATGAACCTAGCCCTGTGCGTTATGAGATCTGTTGAGTTTTCGCTCGTCCCTACCAATTTGGCTCGATTTCGTTCAAAAACCTGGTTCATCCCGTCAACGAAGGTATGTACCGTCGTCATCTCAATTGAAACTTCATCAGCATTTTCTGGGGCCATGTTCAGTAGGTAGGTACTTGACGTCGCGTGTCGGCGTTTGGAGACCACGAAAAGTTCAATCCGTGCCAAATAAGATCAATTGAGGAAAGCACAAAAAACTTTCTGGGAGCCTCGTGCGAGTCCTTATATAACTTATAGAATCAAACCACCAGTTCTCGGACAGCGCCTATGAGCAGGGGCTGTTTTAAGTCGTGGCCCAAACAGTACATTTTGCCGGCAGGTTGTAGCGAGGTGTGCCCTTTTCAATCTCCAATAATAGGAGGACAGAGCCCCGGAGGTCGGAGGGCAGCGCTAAGCGGCCTTCAGCATCACGGCCAGCAGACCAAATCAGGAATCTCCGTGATTACCAAGGCAATCAGAAGTTCCCAGCTTGGCCGGCTCTCACATCTCAGCTGCTCAAATAACCCTTCACACCATGAGCAGGGAAGCAATATCAACGTATGGTACGGGGTATGTTTTTCATTGGCAGGATGGCTGTAAATATCCTTGATTTGGCAGGGCTGGTGGAATTTGAGCTCCAAGTGCGATATAGGAAAACGCGTTGAAATTAGGGCGCTATAGTGTAAAGGTAGCGGATAAATCTGCCCTTTGGGTACAACAGTAATTGCCATTCGATGGGACCAATACGCGCATATGCTACTGGCAATGAACCTGAGCCAGTTTGAGAATGAGGTAAAAAATAAGAAATGAAACAAATAAAAAAACGCTTATCCACCATTTGCGACTCGATTATGATCAAATTCGATTGAATGATCCAGAAGAATCAGACCGACACCGTACACGACACTTTCGATAGCCAACATAATGCAACAAATAACCCCCAATGATTGTTACTCTACAGTAAAACTATAGGTTCCAGACACAACATCGAATAAAGCCCGTCCATCAGCAGACCCTTGCGCAGTAACACCAGAAGCCGAAGCGGCCGAAATTCCTCCCTCGTACACACTCTGCCCGCTCGAGACAGGCAAGCTCATTCGCGCAACCGATCCAGCAGGAACGGTGAGGGAGAGCGAGAACTGACTGGTGCTGTTGGTCCACGAGCTCTCTACCTTGCCTCGAGCTGTCTGAACGCTAGCCTGGGCGCTAGTCAATCCTTCGGGCACATAGGGCACAATGCTGATGGCACTGTAGCCGGCTCCCGTAATCTTGATGCCGGCGAGGTATTGATAGAACCAGTCCACGACGGTGCCAAGGAAAGGGTGATCGTTGGATCGGGCGGTGGAGGTCCAATCTTCCCAAAGGGTGGTCGCGCCCAAGGTCTGCCAGTAGCCCCAGCTCGGGTACGTCGTCTGTGTCGCAACCAGGTAGGCGAGGTCCTTGTAGCCAAACTGAGTCAGAACTGGCAGAATCCATTTCGTGCCGTGCAGGCCAGTGTTCAAGTGATTGTTGTTGGAAACCACATCTGCGGCGACCTTGTCCACAATTGCCTGGTGGTTGGCTGGGTTGGTCATATTGAACGCAACTGGAAGTAGGTTGTTGGTTTGTACAAAATCCTCAGTCGCGTCGTTGCGATAATCTTGAGTCCCGGTCTGATAGAAAGCTGAGTGGAAGGATGCATTGACTGCCGAAGCGTAGCTATTGTATGTGATAGCGTCGTCGGCATAGCCTAGCGTGAGCGCAATGTCGACCAAGCGGGCAATGCTCCTGTACAGAAAAGCTGTTCCGACAAGAGTCTTGTCGTTGACGGATGGCGTTACCCAGTCTCCCCATGATTCGGTCCCTACCAGGCCAGCACTTCCTCGGGTGTTGAGCTCGTAGTCAACATATGTCTTAATACGAGAGTAGAACCTGGAGAGAACGCTGGCGTCACCAAAGTGCTGATATAGCTGCCACACGACCTCGGGATATGAGTTCCCCCAGGCTGCGCTAGGATAGTCATCCATCTCTGGGGGTGATGGAGCCCATGGCGCAATATTGCCGCTCAAAAGTCCTGCGTCAGTAATGTCTTGCGCAAATTTTGTATATAAAACCTTGAGATTCAGAGAGCTGAAAGCCGTCTCTGACATGATGGCAGCGTCAGCTGTCCACGGTAGCTTTTCTACATAGGCGCCATCCGTGGGCACCCCCTCAAGGTTATTCAACATGGTTTGCCAAGTGGTATCATGGATCCACTGAAGCAAAGTGTCGGACGTGCTAAACCAACCAATACCCCGAACATCACTATGAAGGCGCTGGGCCACCACCGTTCCGGCATTGGGCGTACCAGCGATGCCAGTGAGCTCAATGTAGCGAAAGCCGTAATACGAAGAGCGAGGGGTAAAAGTTCGGGAGCCATTTCCGGCCAAGGTATACGTGTTATACTGGTAGCGACCGCCCTCATTGACAACGCGCCCACTCGACGATAGCTTTTCTGCATAATGTAGGCTCACTTGCGTGTCGGCCGCTTCATTGAGCGTGATGGCAGCAAACCCGGCAATGTTGCGACCAAAATCATACACCCAAACACCAGATGCTGGGTTCGTGATGGCCACGGCAGAAATTGTCTCCATGATGCGGACAGGCTCCATGGGTGTCGACTGAGCAACTGTTGCTGGTGGAGTCTGTACTATTGCGCTGGGCCAAGCGGACGCGTCGAACGATGCACTCGACCACTCCCAAGTTGGTGGTTCTGCTCTCTCGTCAAAAGACTCGTTGTCGGGGGTATCCGCCCCAGACGTCGAACCACCAACTTTGCCTTTCCACGAGTCGTCCGTCACAACAATTTGTTGCGTCCCATCGGAGAAAGTTATCAGGATTTGCGCTTTGGCTCGCATATTTCCGTCCCAAGCACCACGGTCGGCTGCTGGACCGTCCTTGTACAATGGGAACCATGCTTGGCCGACGGCGATGCCAATGGCGTTGTCACCTACGCTCAACTGGCTCGTCACGTCATGGGTATCGTACAAGTACCGTGTAGAGTACGTCGTGAACCCCGGAGCAAGATAGTAGTCGCCAACTCGATCGCCATTGATGTAAGCCTCATAGTTTCCTATGCCCGCGATGAACAACTTGGCTGTTGATATTTCCTTGGCAATGGTAAAGTTTGTGCGCAGGATTGGCTCGTCCACCGTCGAGTTTGCAGCGCCGATCCATTGCGCGGATGCCCAGTCCGTTTCGGAGAAGAAACCAGTGCCGAACGTGCCAGATGACCAATCTGTCCAGGACCCAGCAGTGTCTGACAGGCGAAGACTGAAGGTGTAGTCACTCCGCGCTGACAGGGCAGACCCCGAGTAGGCAAGCCTAGTGTCCGTCGTCGTGACGTTGCCCGAGTCCCATATTGTGGTAGAACCAGACAGAACCTGTACTTGGACACCCGCAAAACTGGCCCCCCGGACCGAAGGACTGTTGACTGCCCAGCTAAAGGTTGGCGTTGTCGTGTTTACAGCCAAGGGATTTATAAGATCATCCACTGTAACCGAGGCAAGACTGATTGATGCCGCATAGACGCGACCAATGGTGGAAACGAGACAAGCAAGAATAGTCTGACGCATGATGGAAGGTTCGACTGAGTGTGTCATCAATCGCGAGAATGCTACTGGTGAGCGAATCTTGCATCTCGAATGATCCAGGCTGTTCGAGACATTTTATGATGGAGATCATTTCACTTTTCTTCATCGCTCTTTTTCTCCATCGTCAGTATGTGTGTTGCTCTTGCTATCTCTTCCCGAGTCAATTGATAATCGGCAACGATGTCAGGTTGTCGGTATTTCGGGGTTCAAATGGGCGATATGATCCACCCACGATGCATGCGGAATTTATACTTTAGCAGTTCTGCAGTAATTCAGGACGAGATGCCACGACGAAAGTGGGGGCCAATCTTGGATCCAGGGTACCTGTAAATCCTTGGATATAGTGAATCGGCTATAGGTATTCCATAGTTGGGTGTGGGGAATCCCGGCTTTTCATCTGATCCAGCACGCAATTGTTGCGTCCATGACAAGCAAGGTCGCCCCGTGGGTGCAAGGGGGGCTTCCGGTGGGCCGTATAGCGGGCAACTTCCGTTACATGGAAAGCAAGAACAGATCAAGGATAGGCAAATAAGGTGATCACCCAGTCCCTAGGTCGATTACTCATCTGAGGGACATGGGCGAAGTAAAGGTAATGGCCGAGTATATCCTTTTCCTTGACTAGATTTCCCAGAATGACCTTCAGGTTTATCAGTGTGTGCGGATTAATACTAGGTATACACTATACATTGCACCGATTTGAAATTCCGGTTCTATGAGACCTTGCCATGTGTCCTTCAGAACATATACCAAGGCATTAAAGTAGCTACCATAAATTCATTCCCTTCATCTCAAGATGCCAGTGACGCAACAAACGCGTATTGCCCGGAACCGACTTTTACAGAGGCTGTACCATTAGTAAAAGAGTATCCATTAATTCCATTCCCAGAGGACGTCTCATTAAGCACTGTGCCACTCTCCTGTATCGTATCAAGTCCAAGTGCAGTCAAATTGAGTGTCACAAGTCCTGAGGCGCCAACAGGCACAACAATGTCATAAGTGAGTGTATTTTCCGCCAGCGCCCAGCTCGCCGACGCCACGCCCCGAACAGAACGATAGCTACTGCTCGCGCTCGTAAGATTTGTCACAAAAATGGGCGAGTACTGTATCGACTCCCATGCAGACGAGTTATCTGCCTGCGACAAGCCGCTCAGTTCGAGCAGCCACTGATCAGCATATCCGAGCATGAAATGGTTCAGACTGTTGCAGCCACTACACGAAGCAGTGGGTCCATCCCATCTCTCTGTTAGGGACGTGGCGCCCTGGAGCACCTGGTATGCGTAGCTCGGAGCAGTCGACACCGTCATCATGTTGTAGACGACATCGTTGAGACCTAATGATTGGAGAGCTCGAAAAAGCGAAGGCAGAGCAATCTCGCCGACTGTCAAATGATTACCGTTTTCAATGATGGAATCTGCGATTGCTTGTGCCACTGCCGACTGCTGCTCAGCAGGCACGACGCCCATGTCGAGTGCGATTGCATTGCTGGCCTGGGAACCGGAGCCGTAGGTATACACACCATCGTCGCTGATTGCGAGAAAGTCGGACGCGAATGCCTCTTGTACCGCTTCAATGGTTGCACCGTATGTATCACCGTCAGCGGTCTTTCCTAGAATCGTGGCAATTTGCTGTATGGCCTCGAGTGCTTGGTAATATCCAAACGTAGCGGTGATTCCCACTGGCGTGCTATCGTCAAATGTGATCCAATCACACAAACCATAGGCGAGAGTGTTATTGGATGTCTTGGCAGTAAGAAAATCAACATAAGCAGTCATCGCGTCGTAAGACTCTTCAAGTATACTCGTGAACCCATACTGTTGATACAGCATCAAAGGCATTCGAACGAGGGCGTTACCCCAATTGGGATCATCGCGAAAGCCTTGAGCAAAGACGACAAACTCGGGCGCGATATCGGGGACCAATCCATCGTCGGTCTGAGCATCCAACATGGTGGCGACAATGCCGTTTCCTAGAGCCAGACTGTCGTAGTTGCGAGTGACTGGCTGAAATACCAAATGAGTTTGTTCCAGCCAGCCCAGCTTTTCTCGATGCGGACAGTCTGTCATGACAGAGAATAGGTTGCTTTGAATTGCACGATCAGTGATTCTGTGAATGGAGTTGAGCATATCGTCGCTCGTCTCAAAAGACCCGACTGATTCCGCGCCAGTGCGTATCACCAAGCCCACAGCGTCCGCCACTGTAGGTGCCTCAGTCGTATTGACAGCGAGATAGCGAAAGCCATGGTACATGAATTTTGGCGAGTATGTCTGAGAAACGCCAGCGGAGGTAAAGGCATCGTAAATGGGAGTTCCAGTGGTCGATTGATCTAGACCACCGTTGCTCAAGCGCTCACACGGTCACATGGTCACTCGCGTGCCTTCTGCCTCGTCAATGTTGAGTGCGAACCAGCCGGCAAAGTTGACGCCAAAATCAATGATCCACTGGCCGTAGACAGGGCCAGTAATATTCACAGCTTGGATCTCTTCCACGATCTTGAGCGCAGGGTATCGGGGTCCTTGAAACTGACCCGCGGGACCTGCGGTGATTGTGGCAAGATCCCAAGTATCAGTCACATTCCCGTTGGGATCAGACCAGCCGGTGAGCTCGCGCGTCGCATCGTACTCTTCTCCTCCATACCAAGAGGACTCTCGGAGTGGTCCATCAATACTGGTTCTCCAAGAGTCATCCGAAGCCACAGTATATGACGTCCCGTCGGCGCAAGTGTACTCTAGCTGCGCGATCAATTTCAATGGCTGACCAGCGGTCGTGATCTTTTGATAGCGACGTCCTATCGCTTTTTGCGTGTTCCAGAGCCCACGGCCAAGCTCGACCCCAATAGAATTGGTTCCAGGAGTGAGGTATGTCGAGATGTTGTACGTGGTATAAATCAGCGTCTTGTTGTAGTTTGAATATCCTGGCGCAAGGACTTCATCCGTCAGTTCGTTCCCGTTGATGTGAACTGATTGAACACCCAGGCCCAGAGCATAGGCTCTAGCTTGGGTTACTGAGCAATTGACCTCGAACGTCTTGACAAACAAGGGTAGAGATGTAGTGCCCAGATTATAAGCCGTGTTCGTGATCCATTGCGCGGACCAGTCTGAAGACTCTAGTAAACCAATCTCGAATGTGGTGACGGTGCTCCAAGCCGAGACCGTGTCATCGTCGTCGTCGCTACTCCAGACACGCACTCTCCACCATGCTATGGAGCGCGAAGTGACGGCCGCCCCAGCATATTGCACAGAGATATTGCCTCCCGAGACTTTGCCTGTATCCCATAGATCGGGAATATCCAGCGCCTCTGCAGACGAAGCAGCCTGGACTTGGAAAGCGGCTTGTGTTTCGCCCCTTGAGCTGCTGGCTAAACGCCAAGAGAGTGTTGGAGTCACGGTTGATAAGCCATTCGGATGCTCGAGACCTTCAGTGCGCAGTGAATAACGTTCAATGCTCAAGCTAAGCGTTGTCGATATGAAGAGTAAAATTGTCAGAAATAGTGACGGCGCCATTTTTTGAAAGCTTGGGTGGTGACGCTTGACTTGTCCCGTGCTATAGTGGAATTGTCACGGACTCACGGGTAGTATAAGTTCTTCCACGACCGTTAGTCCAAGTTGAAATTATTGCCCTTCGGTGAAACACTGAGAACCCTTGCAAACATCCCAGTCGCCAAAACCGGGTTCTCAGCCTCGGTACGTGTCCAAGTGGAATAGTAATTTCGTGTAATCGGTATATTGCACCGCGAATATTATACTATTACTTGCATCATGCAGCGACTTCTCCCCGAATGCAGCCGACATGCTATAACATTCGTCTAAATTGCGGGGTGCATACCCGTTACCTAGTAGTAGGCAGTATACACCCTAGCTGGGTACAAGATAGCGTCTTACGAAGCACAGAGCAACGGATTAGAGGAGCTATTCGCTATAATTCAGCATCGGTCTAAGAGCCAACGCCTGCGACTATAATGATTCCGCTTCAATCGTAGTCATGGAACGCCGGGTATATAAAATGGATTTTCGGTTTCTTGCAGTGATGAGTCTTGCAGTGAGACACTGACGACTTTCGGATTTCCCACGTCAAAATGTTGAAGCCAATCCTCTTCTCGCTGCTGTCTTGGTTTTTAGCGCTTCGGGTGCTCGCTGTACCCTATAGTGAATACATCCTGGCCCCAGAAAACCGCACCTTGAAGCCTCGCGCAGTCTACGGCACCAATGGCACAGTTACAAACGCTGCAGGTATTACCGAAAACAGCACAGGATCTACGACCTTGAATGGGCCCTCTTACATCACGTATGATTATGGAAGAAACATTGCTGGCGTGGTATCTGTCGAGATTGAAAGTGTCTCGGAATCTGCTTCCTTGTCATTGACCTATGCAGAGTCCTCTTACTTTATCAGTGCCAGCAGCAGTGATAGCCTCAGAGACGGTGCTCAGGCTACTCCGCTCACACTCGATATCCCGACTGCTGGTAGTTACTCGGTCAGCCGCTATCATGAGTTTGGAGCTTTCCGCTATCTTACAGTGGTCAATCCAACTGCGGCTGAGATTGTCATTATCTCGGTGACGACAAATTTCACAGCTGTACCAATCAACGAGCCAACCGCCTATACGGGTTACTTTCACTCGGAGAACGAGCTGCTGAACAGAATCTGGTATGCAGGTAAGTGATATTCAACCAATCACCAGCAGATCTCATACTAAACAATTTCTAGGTGCTTATACGGCTCAACTCTGCACCATTGACCCAGCCTACGGTGACGCCTTTGATGGATGGTACCTACCAGATGGCCTCATTGACTGGTCATTGAACGCGACTCTCACAGAAGGGAGGAGCTGTCTTGTTGATGGTGGGAAACGGGATCGCGTAGTGTGGTCCGGCGACATGGTCGTCACCATTCCCACGGTCGGGGTCTCGACCAATGACATGTATAGCATGAGAAACTCGATTGACTCTCTCTTGAGCGTCCAAAAGTCCAATGGACAACTTCCGTACTTTGGCTGGACCTACTCGAGCAAAACCCACTCCTATATCTCGTCCACGTACCACCTGCATACTATAGTGGACCTGCTATACTATGTCCAATGGTCGGCGGACACTGACTATCTGACCACTGTTTGGAGCCGAGTGGTCGCTGCTCTACAATGGTCGTTGAGCTCTGTCGATGATACAGGCTTGATGTCGGTTGGTTGTGGCTCAGATTGGGGTCGCCCCAAGATATCAGGCTATGTGAGTTTTCATCGTCATCCGTATTAATGCTTTTACTAACCATGCTGTAGAATACCGAAGCCAACGCCATTCTCTACCACACTCTGCTTCTTTCTTCCCAGGCAGCCAATATTCTCAATGACACTGCATCGGCCTCGAACTGGACAGCAGCTGCCGAGAAGCTGAAGACGGCAGCGAATAGCTTGCTGTGGGATGCATCAGTCGGATTATACATGGATCAAGAAAACTCGACCTTGTATCCTCAGGATGGAAACTCTTGGGCCATCAAGGCGAACCTAACGGATTCATCAGCCAGGGCTCAATCCATATCCGCCGCGCTCAGTTCTCGCTGGACCGAATACGGCGCGCCCGCTCCAGAGCTGCCAGGTATCATTTCCCCCTTCATCTCGGGAATCGAGGCCGAAGCGCACTTTCTCTCGGACAATGCCAGCAGAGCCTTGGATCTGATTAGTCTCCAATGGGGATTCATGCTCGACAATGAGTACATGACCAATTCAACATTTGTGGAAGGATATACCACGTCGGGGACTCTGGAATACGGTTACAAGACGTACTCTCGCATAAGCCACGCTCACGGCTGGTCCACGGCCCCGACCAACTTGCTGACTTCCTACGTCGCCGGCCTGAAGATTGAGTCGCTGGCCGGCGAGACGTGGAAGATTGCCCCACACCCCGGTGGCTTGAGCAACATTGAAGCTGGCGTCTCTACTGCCCTCGGCAACTTTACGATTATCATTGCGGCAGACGGCGACATCATTGGTGGAATTGACTTTTGTACGCCGGCGAACACGACTGGCAGTCTCGAACTTCCGGGACAGACGGGGTCAATATGGAAAGATGGCACCAGGCATTATTCGTATACCAACACCAGTGGGCCTCTCGAAGGAGGTTGCTATTATTTTAGGCATTTCTGATTGATGGTCTGATGAAGGTTCCTTTGAGCTTAGGGCTTTCGACGAGAGACATTGATATTTCAATATGTTCATCTTTGCGCTCACCATCCGTGACACTCGCCGTGACACTCGCAGTAATTTCGTAAACTTTTAGAAAACGTATAGAAGGCCTAGACCTCTAGCTGATCTCTAGAACGACTTGTTCCCTGCAACACGATCGATACAATCATTCATTAATGCATTCAAAGTCAAGGGCACTGATTCGCATTGGCTCAATGAAATCGAGGTAATTTTGTGGTTAATACAAACAACCAAAGGCGAGTGTAGCCAAGGCTTGATTATGGATCTGCAGTGTCCTCCGTCGCGCCGTGGTCCAACAAATACTTAACCACCACATCATGTCCCTGTTTCCTTGCCAACGATAGCGCCGTTTTGCCGCGACGATTTTTGATATCAACAATGGCACCATGATCGAGTAAACATTTCACAACTTGCACATGCCCTTGTTTTGCTGACAAGTGTAACGCTGTTGTGCGGTCCAATAGGTCATCTCCATGTCTCGCACCATGTGCCAGCAATAATTGCACCATATCTAGATGACCCCGCTCAGCTGAGATGTGCAATGCTGTTTTGCCGTCCCAATCCCTTGCATGGACATTTATGCCATTGTACAGCATAAATTGCATAATATTTAGGTGTCCTCGTTTTGCTGATATGTGTAATGCTGTTTTGCCGTCCGAAGTCCTGGCATGAATGTTCGCACTTCTGCTCTGCAGGAACTTCATCGTAGAAATATGCCCCTTTTCAGCCGCTCGTAGCAGTGGTGTTGCGCCTTGTTCGTCTTGAACCTCAACATGGGCACCGTAGGATATCAAGAACATTACCAAGGCATCATGTCCATTGTGAGCTGCCCAAATTAAGTCCGAGCTTTTTGCAATCAAGTTGGAACTGCCAGCAAGTCCTATTTTGGCATCGGACGCATGATTGGCATTCTGCTGGCTCTGAAATTGAGGAGGAAGAGTAACAGTAGTTGGCGTACGTACTTCCGAGGGGAAAGCAGTGTAATCAACATCTTTCTGAGAGTGAACATCATGTTGGATCTTGGCTTGAGAAGAAGCGGCAGTAGTCCTCACATTTGTCTTACGCCTGGGCTTGACAACAGTGATGCTATCAACCACAAGCTGGGTGACAACCTCATCCCCGTGACTATTGGCGATTTGCAATGCTGAACTGCCGTCCTGTGTCATGGCCAGCACATTGGCGCCACGATCGATCAAGGACTGAACAACAGTCCTGTGACCTTTCTCAATGGCTGAGAGTAATGGCGTGCAGCCATTGCTGCCTTTGTTTTCGATGTTGGCGCCACGATCGAGCAGGAGATTCACGACATGAGCATGACCTGCAGTAGCTGATAGCATCAGGGGTGTCCAGCCAGAGCTATTCCTGGTCTCGATATCGGCGCCTCTATTGAGCAAAGACTTTACAACGTCCTCGTGCCCCTGATAAGCTGCCAAAGAGACCGCTGTCCTGCCATCGCTGTCTCTAGTCTCCAAGTCCTCACCGGGAAAGCCTGCGAGAAGCTTGACAGCTTGTCGATGACCCCGGAGTGCTGCCAATAGTAGCGGTGTGCGGAAGTACTTGTCCTTGCGTCTGTTGCTTGCACCATGTTCAAGCAGATATTGTATGGTACCCAGATGTCCTCGGTAGGCTGCTAATGATAAAGCTGACATACCACCAGGGGTGCTAGCTTGTATGTTGGCTCCAGACTCAAGAAGACATTGCAAGGCCTTCTGACGTCCTTCAGAGGCTGCAACCATCAGAGATGTCATACCGTTGAGATCCATTGCTTCTATTCTAGCTCCAGAATCAATCAGGCACATTATGATATCCTTTCTGTCCCAATAGGCTGCCATGTGAAGTGCTGTGCAGCCGTTCACACTCACATCATAAATGTCAGAGCCGTAGTCCAGGAAACGTTTCACAACTTCCAAGGTTGACGAACTCATTGCTTTAAACAGAAGTTTGTTGCCAAGCTCATCCTTGTCGTTGATGTTGACCCTCTTCTTCTTCAACAGTGTCATGAGAAGATCCAAGGATCTTGCATCCTGGTGATTGAATACCCATTGAACATGCCAAAGCCAGAAAGCTTGAGCATACGCGTGGAATTCGAACTGTACATTCTCTCTGGAGGTGTTTCTTGCACGTATCAGAGTATTCCTCAAGTCGTGTTGATAAGGTAGCCTACGTTTGAACATGCTGAGTGCTACGTGTCGGACAGGCATAGAATGGCGAAAAGCCGATTTGACAATATCTGAAGGCATATCTTGCGCCATGATCTCTGGAATTACCGTCGTAGATATAGCATTTTCAAACGTGTTGTAGTTCAAGTATGTGACTATGACTTCTCCCATTGTCCGATTTGCATCTTCCAATGTCAAAATCGGCTTGTCCACGGGATCAAAGTCTCCAAGAAGATATTGTTTCACACTATGATGTAAGAATCGAACCGTCAAATTCTCTTCATCAATAGTTATCAGGCTTCCACAGAACGATAGAACCGAGAGAATGTTGTTGATCAGTCGAGCTGGATTCCACTCGGTATTGTATGGCACAACACTCAATGCCTCTCGGAGCTGTTCCGTGGTGAGTGGGCGCTGAGCAGCCAAACAAAGCTGGAGTATCAAATCTTGGTACTTCTCTCCTGCGCCTCGATACTTTTGCAAGATTCGCGAGAATGTTTCTGGTAATCCTTTGGGGAGGTCTTCCAGGGCTTCTCGTATTTCTGCATCTGATTGTGCGGTGCAGAGCGATGCAATCTGCAAAATAACCCACAAGAACATACCTTCAGCGCGATGGACCAAGACGTGCTGTATTTCTTGTATGAGGGTTGAATCTCCGATGCAAAGACGGCCCGAGTCTATGCACCTTGCCAGCTCTGCAGTGATGAATGTAGAAATATCGGGGTTCTCTTCAGGAAGTTGAGCAACCCTGACATGAAGCAACATCTGAGCAGACTCCAATGGTCCTTTCAGGTGCACATCTGTTCTGAACGAACAGCAAATATTGAAGGTAAATGATTCTTGCAGTCGCTTCAAGTGTCGCCATATGATCGCTATCTCGTTGTCGGCGCACTCGTCAAGACCATCGAGGACGAGGAAGGCCTTCATAGCCCTTGGAACCACGCGCAAAACGAATTCGAGCAGATCATCGAGATTGGACACACTGTTTCTGTCTATGAATTCATCCGGTAGTCGATCCAAAATTGTGTTGATGAGTTGTCGAGCTATGCTGCCGATGATGGTGCGTGCCCGCAAACTTTCCTGAATGTCGTGACGGCAGAAAAAATATATCACGGCAGTTCCCGCGGATGTTGAACTGAGATTTAGGTCGTCGACCATATTGGCTAGAAGGACTGATTTGCCAAAGCCTAACTTCCCAGTGCATAGAAGTGTGTGAGACTGTGCTTCAGCTTTCCACTCAGAGTATCGATTGAGTTGAGCAAGTATGGTCGAGTTGCCAGACTTTCGAATCTCTTTCCATGTCGTTTGATGATCGTATGTTGAGCAGGCTTGCAGTATGCGGAAACGGGTCTGAAGACGCTTCCGATGCGACTCATGTTGCGAATTTTTCGAAAGCACGCCCAAGGATGCGCTCTGTTCAGTGATTTTCCTCGCAGTCAACAATGTTACCTCATCTTTGATGCAATCTGCCCACAGTTGTAGACTTGTCTCGTGCTCTTTCAAGTCAATGTCGCTCAGAAAGGAGAAAACCGAACCAAGGGTCGTTCTCCGCGATGACTTGTAAAGTTGGCGACATAATTGAACGACGACGATGAAGTATTCGGATAGACTTGACTGCAAGTCTGAAGACCGGGGATACAACAAAGCCATCTGCTCATAGCGAGGAGCTTTTCGGCCAGCTACCATCAAGAGTTTTGAAAGTTTGTCCATGTATGCGGAGAAGGAGACGAGCGCCTGGATACAATCAGTCAAATTACATCAACAACAAGATGGCATGTAAACCTACAAGTAGTGTCAAGCGGAGCAAGGACCAAATTCCACAGGCAATGATGTTTTGTGAGCCACCTATTATGACATCTCCGAGTGCCGCGTATTGCTGAACAGCTTGGAGGATATTTGTCAAGCGCGGGCCGAAACACTGGCCACCACCATTTTGCTGAACAACGCGACGATCAATCTCGGCCGTCAAACGCATCACGTCAGACGGATCTGGAGGCTTGTTGAGGGACTGCGATCGAGAAGATCGGAATGCTGCTTTGTGTTCATCAGAAAGACTGGCTTCGAATTCGGAAACAGACTGCGCAAGACGAATTTCAGGCTTTAGTGTAGTGGCTTTGGCGATCATGGATGAAGACATGATGAACGCGAGACAGTAGTAATCCGCGCGATTCTGTCTGTGCCGCGACTGCTACGCGCATGATGTTTTGATGAATTGGTGCCAATCTTTCTCTGGTGTTTACAAGCGAGTGTTTCGCCCAGAAACCACAGAGTCAACACGGCTGGGCTCTGGTTGTCTTTTTTGGTGCAATAAGTATACGAGTGCGGCATCACTGCATCACCGGCAAGCGCCAAGCCTCGGAGCCACACACGCCCTACGAAACGGGCAGGCAGTTTGTAGCTCACAGCCTCCAAGCCGACGCCCAGTTGCCAGGGTACCTACCGTCTGCAGTGGCTTGGACGTTGCAGTAGCTGAATGCAGCCGCTACACTGAAGTTAAGCAGTGCTGTTGATAATGCAGCCATGAGGCGACAATGGAAAATAACGACTGATGAGCCAAAGTGTGTATGTGAAGGCGCCTTCCACTATTTCTTCTTCTTATAATGCTCGAATCGACACGGTACCTATGTAACGACGTTAGAAGCTAATTTGTAGATAGCTTCACTTCGTAGTCCTCGAGGCTGCGGGCAGGGTGTGCGCTGTCAGGTGCCAGGTGCTTAATGTATGCGCTGCACTAAGTACATGCGTATCAACACCCCCACAGCCACTACGGCATTTCCGCCCTCTTCTTTCCATCACACTTTTCGTAGCTGCCACTCGTGCACTTTGCGAGGCGTAGATTGAGAGATCCACCTTACGGTCATCACTCGTGGCTCTGTATTTCGAATAACACACTCGTTTACTTCTAATTGCTTTCCTATTGTTTCCGCAAGTTCCAGTTACTTACCCACAGGCCTCTGGCCTTGCGTGCGCCTGATTACTGCTGAAGTATGCCTCATGCAAGCCACAAAGTCAATTTGGGAAGTGAGCCTGCTTGAATCGCACGGAGGCTCCCGAATACCTAATCTCATCGGCAGATACTAGGTAGCTAGGTAGGTGTCGTTATTGGCTGATTGCAACTGCGCCTCCCTGCAGCCTCGAGACCTAGGCAAGCTAGGTACCGGTAGGTAGGTATGCAGGAAAATGTGATGCCTAGATGCACTAGCAATACCCGACTCGAGCTCAGAAGTGTGGATTATGGTTCCCGTACTATGTAGGTACACTGGGGTGTGCTTGGGCACACTGATCAACACTATAGGGTTCAGATAGATATCATATTGTCTTGTCTTTCCCCTGGCATTTGTCTTACCGCTCTGCTTTAGCCTCTACGGATGCCCCAATGTCCCTAATAACAGCCTTCCCATCCATAATCTCAAACACAGCCACACTCACTCCAAAGTCTCTTCGTATCCAGTTCCTCAATTCCACTGCCATCAGCGAATCCACACCGTAGTCAGCCAAACCTTTTCCAACGTCGATTTCGTCTATCTCGACTCCCAGGGCCCTTGCCAACTTTTCTTGCAACGCCCCTGCCACCACTTCGGCACGTTCAGCGGCACTCCCCGCCTGGAGGAATCGCTGCGCTGCGTCGTCGCTACTGCTGGTGGGTGAGGTCCCCCCTACCAAGCTGGCCTGCGCGACGTCGAATCCGGCGTACAGGCGGGTGCGCTGGGTCGCAATAATGGTCAAGCAATGCCAATAGGTCAGCTGTCGCGACGGGATTGAGGTCCGCCGCTGCCGTCCGGCGGCGCTGTAGGTCGGCGGACTCGCGGATCACGTCATCGTCGCGCATCCAGCCCAGGTCGAGCGAAACGGAGGCGCGGTGGCCGCTTTCGGTGCGGTGTCGCGCGAGCGCATCCTAGAACGCGCAACCCGCCGCGTAGGTGCCTTGTCCCGGAGAACCGTAAATTCCGACGATGGATGCCAACATGATGAAAAAGTCCAGGTCAGGGAGGAGCTCATGCAAGTTCCAGCTCGTGCTCACCTTGGACTGTATCGTACGCGACCATTGCGGATACGACATTTTCTCAAATACAGAGTCCTGGGGTCATTTTGAGTCAGCACCTGATTTTGCGCAGCAGAGCCGTTGGGGCTGGAGTCACTAACCTGCAGGACCATGGCCGCGTGGATGCAGCCTTTGATCGGTGGCACGGTGCCTGTCGCGCTGGTCAAATCGTTGAGCATCGTAGCGAGTCCGGAGGCCGACGACACGTCGCAGCGTGGTGTCAGCACCCTCACGCCCTTTTCTTAGAGCTCTGCCACGAACTCAATGGCCGACTGGGAGGCAAGACCCGATCGTGAAGGCAGGATCAAGCTTTTTGCACCCCGACCCGCCATCCATCTGATGAGGGGACGACCCAGGCCACCTAGGCCGCCGGCGACAAGATACGATGCATTTTCGTCGAATTGCCAGGTGCACCGACGAGTAATGAACTTCTATCATGTTGTTCGTCGTCCGAAAGGTGGATACGCAGGCCGACGTCTTTAAACTTACGGGTACAATGTCTGTGCCTTCTAATTGACGATAATACGACTCGTGTTTTTGCCGCTTTGCATGTATCGAAATGCCTTTTCTACCTGTGACACTGGGTAAAGATGCAGTGGTGAGTGACAACCTAGAAACTCTGGACTAGTTGCGAGCTCGAGGACCTTGCCCGTCAACCGACGGAGTAGTCGCGGGTTTGCCAGCGTGATGTGAATCAGATCAACCGCGGCAAAGCTGCCCATGGGCAGCGGTGTGTTTGCACCGATATCTGCCTTGCCGATTTCTACAAACCGCCCAAACGATGTGATACATTCCCAGCTGGCACGCAAACCATCTCCTGAAAGGGAATTCAGGACAACGTCAACGCCATATCCATTCGTGACTCGCTTGACACCTTAAGCGAATAAAGTGTTTCGGCTGTAAAAGATGTGATCCTCAGGTATACCAAAGCGATCCATGAGAAGCTGCTTCTTGTCGTCGTATCCGAACGTGGCGAATACTTCGGCCCCAAGCATTTTCGCGACACCAACGGCAAATTGACCAGTCGAACCCGCTGCCGAGTGGATGAGAATCTTTTCGCCTGCTTGCAAACCTGCCACGTTGACGAGCGCGTGGTAGGCAGTCGTGCCTGGATTGATCAGGGCAACTGCCTCGTTTAGCGTCAGCTCTCTTTATGACTGTCTTAGCTGGTGCGCGAGGATACGATCGCATACATCCGGGTATGGCCATGACAACGCGGTCGCCAGGGTGAAGTGAAGTGCAAGCAGACCCAACGCGCGTTACGGTGCCCGCACACTCGACGCCCAGCTCCTCGCGTCCCAGGCGGCCGAGGGGAATGAAAATATCCCGGAAGCTGACTGGCCATGCCTCCGCCTTAACCTCGACCTCGTCAGGCTTTAAAGGAGCTCGGTACTCCATGTCCTCTCTGAATCGAAGCGTATCGAGCAATCCAGGTGCACCAACTTCGAGGGCGAGCCGCGGACCTGATTGCCATGCCTCGTTTTAGAGATGTGGGTGTATGCGAGCTTAGCGTTCCGCATCTAGATCAGCTTCCTGCGTCAAACGCGCAACTCTCTCCATCCTCGAGAACCTTCCACAATGAGGGTTCGTCTACGGCGTGCTGTGGTAGCTTGAAGGACAGCCCGACAATGGCAAAAGGCTCCGATGCCGTAGTAGAACTTTGGGCGTTCAACTTTGTGAAGGAGGACTATGCTCTCGTGCTGCTGTCCCAGTCTGTTGAGAGCTTGCAAGTGCTACCAAGCGAATCATGAACCAAGCGTTGGGACCAGGAATATATCACTGCTACATTATGTACTTCGTACGTGCGTACGTATATACAGATCTTCAGTACCAGTTATCATGACGCAACTACATGAGGCCTATCATTTGAGGTCCGCCCGGCAAGTTGCCCATAGTCATTGTCGAATCCGTGTCGAGATATTTATCCTGGTGACGAATTCCATCTTCTCCCGAGGTAGAAGCCAGACTTGGACAACATTGATCAAAAACCTCTCCACCAGAGATGGCGTGCATATGGCAGGGCTTAGTAGACCGTTGAGGAGCGACCCGCTAGTGGAGCAAATACTGCCGTGTACTGGGTGTACTGTGTAAAACCTGCGTGCATGATATGACCTTGCAAGGATCCTACTGCTGTGCCGCATGGGGCCTAATCCTCTCCCCCGCAAGAAAGATATGTGCACAAGCAGCAGCTCCGCGCCACAAATCATGCTCTGATTTCCCCTTTTGAGATGTACAAACTTTCCATCGGGTTACAGCAAGGATAGCTGCGACCAACGCGCCGCATGCAGGACCAACCGGCACCGTGCTGTCTCCCGCATGGTTCCGCGGCAATATCAGCCTTTGCTGCGAATACGTATCCGTACTTGAACACCCGGCTTGGGGTGCTGGATAAACCGCCGCTCCATTAGCAGCCCCAGACAGTTGGATTCAATGACATGGACTCAATGTCAGACCATGTCAGCTGAGTCGGCACCACCTGGAGCTTTGTGTTTGTTCGGTGCTGAATAATAACCTCACTTTCGCTGTATGAACTTGATTCAAAAGCTCATGCATTCCTCGTTCTCCATCCAATACTAGGTCTATCGAGAACCGTCTCTTTGCCGGTTTTATTGCCCCGCGACGTCCTCCAGCCATGGGGCTTATCGATGCGGCTTTGCCTCTGGCAAAATATGCTGCCTCCATCTTTTTGCCTCTAGTATGGATACCTGATGCTTGAACAGCCTTTTCGCGCCCGGGTAGTTTGCTGATAACGCTCAGATACTCTCCGTCGTTATCTACCGTATTGCCTTCGATCCGTTGCGCAAATTTCCCGGGCCACTTCTCGGGAGGTTTTCCAACGCGTACGGAGCCTACTATGCTGCTCAGAGGAATCTCCATATCGCCACGTATCAGGATTTGAAGAAATACGGCCCCGTCTACAGACAGGGTCCAGATCGACTGGTCTTTAATACACCTACTGCAGTTCAGGGTATGCAACGTCGCTATATTATCGTAATTGAGCCAGAAAAGTGCTTACCCTATAGTTAGAAATATACCTCCACCCTCGGATCACTAAAGCACGCCTTTATTTGCAGACTCAATATGAGACGGAGCACAATGTCTTCGGCACAATGGACCGGCACCGCCACCAACAAAAGCGCAAGATTTATGGGCGGCTCCTGTCGGATCGCGCCCTGCGCTCTTTTGAGCCGGCTATGCACGGCGAAATTGATATTTTCCTGCGTCAGCTTCATACGGCCGGCAACAAACCCGTCGATATGTCGCCTCTTTGCGGCCGTCTCACGACCGACGTTGCCGGCCAGATCGGGTTTGGACAGTCGCTCGGTACACAGACGCAGCCGACGAATCGCGTCCTGCCCAGCATTATGACCAGCCTCCTCGGACTGGCGAACATTTACAGTACGCATTGCATATCCTGTCGCCTTGGTTTCTTATGAGAGCAATCGCTAACCATTAGCAGTGGCGTGGCCCAGTCTCGCCCTTGTGCACAAAATTATTGAGATTTTGCCAGAAAGTAGGAGGAATTTCCATACCTGGCGCAATGCTCTCTTCGGTATTATTAGTAAACGCGTCGATCTGCCTAAGCACGCGAGACGTGATATCTACTCTATTGTCGCAGAGGATTTTGAAGCCGACCAAGAAATACCCCCACGCGAAATGGGTGAGGTCTGGGGCGAGGCTACTTTTATTATTCCCGCAGGTGAGTTGTTTCTATATTGGCCCCCATACAAAAGTCATGGTTTTGAAACAGATATTGACCCTGCTACGACAGGTGGCTTGACTACATCGACTGCGATTAGCGCAATCTTCTTCTACCTCTCCCGCCATCAGGACGTCTACGGGCGCCTGGCCGCCGAGATCCGCGCTGCGTTCCCCGACAGTGCGTCCATCACAAGTGGGCCGGGGCTATCGGGCTGCACTTACTTGCGCGCCGTGATTGACGAGTCGCTGCGCATGGCGCCGTCCACTACCATTACGGCGTGGCGCGAAGAGGACCCCAAGTCCAAGTCGACCGAACCGCCCTTTGTCGTCGACGGGCACATCATCCCCCGCGGCACCTATGTCGGCGTCAACTCGTACTGCCTGATGCACAATGAAGAGTACTTTCCGAAGCCGTGGGCATTCCGGCCCGAGCGCTGGCTGGCCGGCGACGAGGAGGGCTCCGATAGCATGGCCGCCACTATGCGGTCCGCCTTTATCCCCTTTGCGGTGGGCTCGGCGTCATGTCTGGGCAAAAGCATGGCGTATATGGAAATGAGCCTGGTGATAGCCAAGACGCTCTGGTATTTCGATTTCCAAAGGGCCGCGGGCGAGGCCGGGCAGCTGGGTGGTGGTGATCCCCAGTCGAGCAGCCGGCCTCGCGTAGACGAATTCCAATTGTACGATGCTCTGATTGCTGATCACCACGGCCCTAGCTTGATCTTCTCACCTAGGGGCACCTTTTGGAAGGATCTAGTAAAAAACGCTTGAATCTTAGTGATCTTGATTGATATTCCGGAAACATGGCCAGTGTCGACTAGTAGACTAGAACCACCAAGTGTACACTATACCGACCCTCTATGCTCCATAACCTAGGGCTAGGCCACACATTATTCCTTTGAGTGATTTGTAATTTGATAGATACTTGTAAATCTATTGTAATGATGTGCATAACGTTAAAAGCCGAACCATAATTTTGTCCTTAATGGAATCTACACAGTAAATAGGTGGGGGTACATGTCCAGGTTTGAAAATGTAGCACATTGTTATCAGGAAAGAACCACAAACATCCCAATCAATGAGAATCACGCCTCCAATGTGCTCAAAAGGTAAATACTTGGATGAATCATTTTCTCAATCACATATTCTCTTCAAGTCCCAGAATATGCGCCTCTTGGAAGGTTTTGCCTCTGTATTGCCACTGTCCCAATCCTCGCCATTTCCGCTAGTAAATCACTACTGCGCTGCCTGAATTCCACCGCCTTGACGCTCCACTGCCGCATGTGAATGCTCTGAATGAGCTCGGGAACATTTTGCAGCAACATCAAGTCATCCTTGGCCTGACTGGCGACAGGGTTTAGCAAAATATTACAAAACAATGTCAGCATGGCCGTCATTGAATGTGCCAGAATCAGCCTATACACATATTAGCCAGCAGTTATAATAATTGAAGAAATTCAGTGGGGAGGAGGGGGCATCTTACCAAAATGGCTCCCCAACCAAAGCTGGCGCAATCCCACACAGATATACCAGTGTCGAGCGGCCCGCTTCTACCGCCAACGACTGACTCGACGCAATGGCCAGTGTCTCGGCGTCTGTGGGCTGGTAGTACGTGCCGGATGACTTTCGGGGACATCTCTGGGTCGCCTGATGTATGTAGGAAACCAAATGGCGATATTCCAGATTGACCATGATGCATTCCATTCGTAGTATAGGATCCTCAACATCCAGGTCGTGGCTGGCACTGCGTGAGAGGGAGGGGCGGTAGCGCTCAGTGATGGAGAGCCGCCAGGTCTCGAGTTCTTGGTCCAGTTCGCGAATGCACTTGATCAATTCGGCATTGTTCTTTTGGGGTGAGATGTCTGGAGAAAGGTATTTCAGGGCTTTGGATTTGATAATGACCAAGCTGAGATGAAGATTCAGCGACGGCGTCTTGTTTGTCTCGGTGGCCAATCGTTCCCGTGGGTGGGAATTGGTGTCTGGAGGAAGTTCCAGGTTGCATAGGTCATCATCTATAGAAGGAGGGAGATCTGTACGTAGCGCAATTTCCTTGTCCAATAGATACAGCAACCAGAACATCCTCCGAACATAGTGATCGGGCTGAGAGGTGCCGTCTGACGCATGGGCATTCAGAGTCGGCAGCTGAGAGTGAGCTTTAAAAGTGAACATGATTCTGCATGCCATTGTGTGAAAACTCGAAGCGAGCTGTAGGTTGCCTGACCAGAGGTGATATAGAGACTACTCTTGTCAGCCACTGGGTCGATGAAGAATGACAATAATTTCGTACCTGAATAGCGACAGTCTGTAGGGTCGTTACCGAGGCATCGCCAAAGAGTTGCGGCAACAGAAGTCGCACTTTGGCTGAATACTCGGCACTATCCAACAGATTTGAATCCCACTTGCCAAGAGAGAAGACAGTGAGTGAGGTAAAGGACAGAACACAAGCTTTTGCACATTGGATCTGTTGCCAAGAACCTTGCGACTCACCATAGGCAAGACCAAGTGTATGCCAGAACGAAGTGGGCTCTAGCACGGGAAAGACGAGTCCTATCGAGGTCTTGCAAAACATTGAGACATATTCTTCAACGCTCCGCCTCGGAGGGAGTTGTATGTCTGTAGGCTGGCTCGAGACAAGATTGTCTTGCATCCCAGTCTCGTGTGCTTGAGGAGGCTGCGGAAACGAAGGCATCTCGCCGGTTTGTTGTTGAATCCAGCGGATGCCATTCGGGGAGAAGTAGGGCAAGCCACTGTGAGTACATACTTCGCCCAATAATACACCTGCAAAGTAGAAATCCCGTTTGCGTCCCGGAGATGGTGTGTCTAGATTTGCGCTATTCGAACTACCACTGCTAGGAGATACTCCATCTCTGTACAATTGAGACGAGGTAGGCGATGGTCCAGGCGAGTTTAAGAACAAGGGGCTGGGTTGCCCTGTCAACATGGCTAACTCTTTTGTAAGCGATCGCTCAGCATTGTCGCGTCTTCCGGGGGATAATCGGGCGTTCCTGGAAACATATTTTAGCCTCATGACATAAAGATTACAGCGATAAAGATCCATCGTTGTGCATACGACTTGGCAGGGCGGTTCAAGAACATTCGTGCCTGACCGTTAAGGGTGCAATTCAAGCGTTGGTGCTTGCACCAATCGCAGCTCGGAATGCCACCATCGCATTGGATCTTATTCCTGGTCAGTCCTCCCCATTCTCGGTTTCCAAGTACGTTGCAGTCCGACACACCTTGCGGCGATGACATGCGTCACACGAACGCCTTTTCCGGGAGACTGGAGCGGAGGCCATTGATCCAAAACGCTCGCATGTTTGCATGTAACATTGAAGCAGCTGCGGTGTGATACGGAAGATGGATCGCTGAACAGCACGTGGCGTCGCGAAAGAGAAGTGGTACGGCGATGAGTAAGCGGTACTACGGAGAAAGCTTGGGTGCACTAAATATTCCGTCGCTGTGAATAGGTCCCTAATTGGCATAGACTCTCCACAACATCCACTAGCAAGCCCATGTCCATGACAAAATAGTACTATAAAATAGGGCTGTCCCGCTGAGTAAGCGGCTTTCTTACCGCTAGAGTTCATGCCGGACTCAGACAATCCCAGAATCGCGCAGGCAATGTCAGGCTAGAATCTCAATTCTACGAAGAAAAAAACTGTAACTTTACATTGTAACAAACGCAGTCTAATCACAAAGTGATGCAGTTGGTGGATATACTCTCCGTCTTGCTAGATAACAAACATATGAAAGACCTTTTATTGAATCTGTCCATATCTGACTTTATCAATACCCATTGGCTACTACCTCTATTTCACCTTATAAGAATGTTGGCTTTGTCGGTGGCCCCCAGTCCGAACTTCCGTCAAACGAAGATTATAGGAGACATAGGTTACACGACATGACTCAAAGATCGGACTTTCGGCTACTTTGGGCCCCGTTGCTTGAAAAACATGTTGGTCTTGCAGATAGGTTTTTCCCACCAAGTTCGCCCTGTCGCTGTTACTGCTTAGGTATGTTTGGCAAGTCTCGAACACAATTGCAATACGCCAGAGCGCGACGATTAGCCATCGAGGTATAGGATTGCGAGAACTGTCTGTCATATCCCGGAATGCTTACGGCTAAAAAGAAGTCCGAGAGCGGACACGTCTCAAGCCGCTCCTATTTTAAAGCATTGGTCGCGCCATTAACAACGCATTATTGCTACTTTATACATCAGCTTCTTGGAGGGATGAGCAAAAGCGAATACACCGCATGGCTTCGGGCTCAGCGCGAAACAACCGTGAAAGCGAAGGCCCTGGCAATTCAGTCAAACTTTACCAACAACACCCATGTGTCTTCTCCTTACGAGGTCATCACGCACCATGCGTGAGGCCAGGTCAAGTCAGGGGCATTACGTCTGCCTATTACCATAGCACGATACGAGAACGTACCCATGACCTTGAAAGGTGGGACAACTCTATACTGCGATGTATTCGTACCGAACGAGCTTCACGACCTTTCGGTCAAGCCTCAGAAGCAGATGCCTGCTATAGTTGCCTGGTTAGCAACAATGAGACACGAATGAACTTTTTGAGCTAAATTTATGAGAAGGACACCATACGGGAAACAGAACAGCAAGCCGAACATTGATGATTTCCCCTTCCGAGCAGGTGTTTCTGCCGATGATCTTTCTGGCTTGGAGACATCTGCTAAAGCGATCCTGCTCTGCACAATGAACCGGAGAAGTCACCGAGCGACCGAACGGCATTTAGCATCGGGAAAAGCTTTTGCCACACCGCAGGATTGGGAGAAACCATTTACATCAGTGGAAAGCACAAATTGTCGGCTTCAGGATCACCTGGCGATCACCAAGCGAAGCTTCCTTGAGTTTACCTCCAAAAGTAATTGGGTGGGGTGCTATAGCCCCAAGTACGCCATTGCTCGGCGCAGATTCCTGATGCTCATACCCCAGTATCCAAATATGATCCTTACAATGGCACATGCGCTGAATCAGCGGTAAGTACGGACGGATCTCAAGAACTTTTCTATACTCCGTACGGTACTTCCTAAAGAAGTCACTTGGCAAACCGACGAGTCATGCGTATCGCAGCATTGATCAATAAATGAGCGTGCTCCACCTTTGGAGTCATGAAATTATGATATCAAGGTCGCTCTCCGATGTTTTCTTTTTCTTTCTTTTTGATACAGTCCAATCCACAACATTGCCGAGCGCTCCGAATAAGTTGTAATTCTCCGCTTAGCAACTTGAACATGGATTTCTATAAAGATCGAAACTAGACTCTCAGCGAGATGATTCATCCAGAACATCACCTTTGCTCAACCAAGATCCTCCTCCAACAATATCTCGCTTGACACCATGCGCTTCTCTCCCCGGGCCCTCCTCGCTGCAGCAGACAGCATCCTGGCCTATCAGTAACCTACCAACGATACACGTGGCTTCCAATTCAAACCAGACAGCGATGACAGCTATGTCAATGTAAGAGCTCCTGGTTCCATATGAATCGATCATTTGGCTCTGACTCTTCTCGAATTAGCCAAATATCCCAGCACTGATCAATCAAACGATCTCACAATACGATGTGAGCACGGGCTCGTCCTATTGGGCAAGCTCCTTTGTGACGAGTGACGAGGGTCAGAAGTTCCTCGCTATATCACACATTTTGACCACTGAGGCGCCCGATCCTGTCTGTCGGTCTTCCGTTTTGGACTTGCAGACCAACGAATACTGGGTTGATTTGACCTATTGCCACGCAGCGAACGAAAATGCTTTTGATACATCCATCCCTCTCGATTTGGACTATGGAACGTATGGGTTTCGATCGACGTCGGCCGATAGTATCTCGGAGATGAGTACTTTTGCGGAAACCAACGCATCATTTGCCTTTAACATTAGCTGGAAAGCGACATCACAAACTCTATTGAATGGCGGCAGCGGCATCATCGCCTTTGGAGCCGGCCCGGCCAACGCAACCGAGTGGGGTCTACCAGCCTGCCAGAGCTCGGGTACTCTGACACTAAACGGCACGACCCATGTCATCGATGCTGACAATTCCTTCACCTGGTTCGATCGGCAGGTGTCATTTGGAGCTCCCAAGAACTGGACATGGTTCGAGTTGAATTTTCCTGGCTCTGCCATCAAAGCCAGCGTCTGGGCGTACGATCTAGGCGTCACCGGCCAGTCACCGTACCAGTTCGCCACGGTGCGCGTTGGACACTCGATGCAGGTTCTGGCCTATACTTGGACACCCAACATGAAGAATACCTGGGTATCTCCCAAATCTGGCTTGGTGTATCCCTTGGAATGGACCTTGGATTTTGAAAATGGAGATTACCTGGACGTCCAATCAATTCGTCCCGATCAGGAGATGTATGGATCAAATGCTCTTGTCGATTCGGCGTACGAGGGTTTCATTACTGTAAGAGGACGCTTTCAAGGGCAAGAGAGTGGATTTGGTGTCGTTGAGATGGTTACTGCCTACCAGTAGAATCTCTATTCTTCTTTCCTTTTATTCGATTTTAACCCCTCAACTCTTTCTCTTCTTTCACCACTGCCTCCGATCCTGGTAGTATTTATTGAACCTGACGCTATTCCCAGTGCCCATTGCAAGCTCACTGGAATCGCGATTCAGTATACCACAAAAGTACCCTGCCGCCGGTCTACCAACGCACGTTGAACTGGCAATACCGTGTGGCTTGGATGTTTGCGAAAGCCAGATCATGTATAGTTCTTGAATCATATTAATTGTCTCTGTACCAACAGTCTTGGATATGGTGGGGAAGCGAACAGAATTACGAAAGTTCGTCCTCGCTCTCTCTATTCCTTGCCGGCGCAGGCTTTTCACGTTCACGAAACGGACCTGCCGTGACCCAAACTCCAAATCTTTTTCTGCCACCTGCCGCCGGTGCCGACCCGTCAGGAGGTCCCATTCCCAACCAGACCCGGCAATCCTCACCTAACATGAGTTTCAGGTCCGCCGTTGTCCTCGCTTCTTCGTCATTATCCTTGTACATGGCCTCGAGTAGGTCGCCTCCTGCCAGCAAGGCGAGAACACTTGCTATGCTTGTGGGGGCTCTAGGCAACACTGGCTTCTTATGCGCCAAAGCCCACCCCAAGAGGAACAAGACCATTGTAAGTGCAAGTAGTCCCTCTAGGATTCGAGTAGCCTTCTTATCTTGGATTAGCCGGAGTCGATCGTTCTCGTAAATGACCGTTGCATCGAACGTGTGCGGCTCAAACATGGAGTCGCTGAGAAGTGCAACAGGCACGAAGCTACCTTCTGAGTCCGGGAAATTTAATGCACTGAGGTTCGTGATCCGGCCAATGCCATCTAATGCATGGGCTGCTATGATGCTGTGCTGGAAGAGGATGGCGTCTTTCACGGCGTTTTCCTGGAGTATGTCTCCAATAGATGCCATCAAGGTTGCATATCTGGACGTGACCAGCTGACCAAAGAAGCCGTCAAACGAACAGTTTTTGGGGGTAGCTGGGGAGTTAAGATACAGCATTTGGTAGAGTTCATGAAGCGGTATGTCGAACACGCTGGTGGTGACACCTGAAACACACTTTGAAAAGGTCGTGCTATCATCTGGCAATCTTATCGTGCTATTCCATATGCTGCTTGCATTCAAGGGTTGCACAGGTCGGGCGAGATCCAATGTCGAATTGGAGCCGGCAAAGTTCATTTCAACAGAAACTACCTCGCCCATCGTTTGATTGCAACTGAGCACCGAAGTAGAGCTATAATCAGGGTTATTAAGCGAGTGACGTCCCCAAATAAATAAATAAGAGCTGCATCTTTGCTGAGCTGCCCCGAATTGTCCATCTGCAAATATCGGCATTGGGAATGTTGCGGTGTAGTTTCTCCTCACATCAGGGGCCGGCTGCAGCGAGTCTCCGGAACCATTGACCGTCCAATCCTTCCTCCAGGGACAGTCATGAAGTCTTTCGCCTCTGACAGTAACTGCGATGAAGTCCACTATCTGTGCAGCTCCATAAGTTCGCAAAGTATTGCCATCATTTATGATTACTTGCTGGAGTCTAGTGGTTTCGATGTCGGCAGCGGAATACAGATGACAATTTGATAGACTAGGTCGCAAAGCTTGTATGGTCGCCGTTATATTGAAGTCTTTGTTATTGAAATCGTATTGAATGCTGTCCAATGCCGCCTTATCAAGAGATAGTTCAGGGAACACAAGGTTCTCGTAGCTTGTTGCCGGATAAGACTGATTACCTATGAGAATTGGGGACGAGTCCGGGAAAGAAGCCCTGTTGTCACACCACTGGCCTGAAGTCACGAAACGACTCGTCGACTCAATTTGTAACTCTGAGGTTGAAGGGACAGGCAATTCGTGAAATAGAGAAGCTGAGGCGATTGTGAGCCACGCTGCAACAAGAGTGGTTGTGGTAGTTGCCAATGCACCGAAACTCCTTGACCACCACTCTTGTTTAAGGATGGCCGGCCAGGATGGCCGTAACAAGTCCAGATCAATAATGTCGAGGTCTGCGGTCTGAGTCAGGAAAGCGAAAGGTTCCATCATCCTGGTCTGAAAGTCCACCGAAGATATTGCCATGGATAATAGGGTAAGTACAACAGCAGGGCCGGTAGTCCAGGCATAATGAAGATATGAGTCGTTCTCAATATCTCCGATTCCGTTCATTCGTTCACTTTGACTAAGTGCTGTCTCCAGTGTTGCAATAAGAAGAGCCATGTATAGTAAAATTCCTATGCGACTGACTGAGCGTAGACCCCAGCTTTTTATAAGCCTTGGACAGCTGGCCGGGTCAAAGCCCGGTACTGTATGGCCGGGTCGGTTGATTTCGAGTTTGAGCTGTTTCAGGTCAGTGCCTCCAAGCTCACGAGGGAAGCTCAATAGCCATGCCATGCCAGAAAGCATTCCGACACTCCATGGACTTCCGATCCGACAGGAAAACCCACAACTTTTTGGTATTTGAATCCCGAATCCAACTAGAATGATGAGACATATTGATAAGGAACCTATAAGGAAGTGGCATGCCAAGTCTTGAACAACCAAACGATTGCTCACAATAGTTCCGGTACCAAACGTTCCTATATTTGCTGGATTGAACATCGTATCATGCCAGTAGAAAACAGCGAATCTCTGGTGCAACTCGTTCCAAGCATTATACAAGTCGGCTATGTCCCAGGAAGACATTGAGGAGCAATTTCCATCACAGGCCTGCAATTGATCTGGAAACGGATTTGTTTTATTCTTGGTTTCAACATCTAAGGTGATGCTTTTCATTGACTGGATAATTGTCCATGGATGAAAATTTGGTAGAGTTCTTGGGGGTCCCGTATCTTCCACTGATGTGATTTGGCGGGTGTTGTTACGTGTTTGAACCCGGACAGTGGTGAAGTTATATGTACCAGCACATACAAGGGTAGTAGCGCGTACTCGTGTGGCTTGATATGTGTAGTTCATACCTTGATGGACCTGGCCACCCACGTCTTCGGATACGTTCCTTTTGCTGCTGACAATGTACTCGATCGTGCTGAATGACACTATCAGGCGTTTATGGTCCCGGTCCATGTCGGAGGAATTGCAGTTGCCCGGCACAAATCCCTCTGCCAGTGAGATGGTCCACCACTGAGCGATATTCGTGCCGTTCTGAGTTCCTAGAGCGTCGTACCGTAGAATTTCAGGGAGCTCACAATCTCCAATCTGGAACTTCAGGTAACTGGGTTCTATTACCTCTACAGCGTTATTGCCATTCGTTGTGTGAGAGTCATTGAGGAAGAGAAGACTTCCCAATGACATAAGCGTCATATTGCCTGGCTCACAGCTGAGCCCGTACGTTAATGCGTCTACCAGGACTTCTGACGTAGCAATCCCATGCGAGAAGGTCGAAAAGGTCTGATAAGCCCAACGGTCGGTGCAGCCATCTGGAAAGCTGCTTTCTCCCGTCAAAGTGTGAAACATTCTTGAGTGGGCGAGATTATTAGTGTCATGGAGATTTATTGATCCAGAATCTGTAAATTTGCTCGTCAAAATGAAAGGGATTTGCTGATTCTCTGCTTCAATGCGAGACACGGCGAGGAGTCCGGCAGATATAACGGTTTGACATTGCAGCAGAACGAGTATGATGGAACTGCCAAGAGCGGCAAAGTGGCGATTGTAAGTAGCATGGAGAGGCACTTTGATAGAAAGCATATCGATATAATCCAACAGTAAAGCGCTGCTTTGTTTGTGCAAAGGTTGGTAGCCAGATGATTTCATGATGTCGTTCCAGGGAGCTGTGACCCTGACATCATAATCGACAAGCCCCCAGAGACTTGTAGTCAATGTAAGAACAGCAACAGGCGTGTATCTCCAGAGATACTGTAACTCGTTTGTACTCGGGAATAATCCTTGGTTGTGCTCCGAAATCGTGTACAAAGCCGCAAGAGCCCCTATCAGAGCCACAAACCACGCGGAAAAGGCAATGATAATCAAAGGCCGGGTATGTAAAGGCCGCCAGATAGAGACATCCTTCATGGTGGTGTCCGAGCGCGAATCAGACCTGCCTTCATCTTCATGAGGACCCGAGACAGCTCTCTCAGTTGTTGACAGTAGACTTTCTTCCTCCCTTTCTTGAGATTGCGGGAATGCGAGGCTCTGAGCAGCCTGATCCACCTGAACGTCTGCAAGTAGGCTAATATGTGGGCTCGGAGGGCGGACCGCGTGATTCTCGACCGCCGGACTGATCATCTTGCGTCGAGGTTACTCCAATGCTAGGTTCGTCGTTCGATTTCTGAGTTTCATGTGATCGAGTCTTGCGTGTTCTGGAACAGAAACAAGATGGTTCATCCTGCTGGAAGAAGTGTGAGTTTGGCTAGCATTAAGGAGAAGAATGCTGACAGCACCCATTAAATGCCAAGACCAATATATTCATCACACAGCCTGACCAGTATATTGATGACTGAGGATGCATGGAGAAGTAGGCTGCATGTATGAGCAAGCCTCACTGGCGAAGCAGTGGCAGTTGTGTCCCGTGCATATGCGGAGTCTTGCAAATTGATTGGATTTCGTGATTCAGAGCTCCAAAAAAGCTGCAAAAAGTCTGCGGCAAAGCCTCCAAGGTGCATTTTCCGACCCCTTACGTAGAGCTACGATGGTTGCAGCTTGCTACCTACCGAACGACAGCCTTGCAAGTTGGTGCAGACCCATAGGCCGATAGTCTTGGGGGCATGTTGTGTCACATGCACAGGAACATTTGTTCACAATGGTCATGAACCTTCTTCCGCCACGGCGCAGTGTTGTCATCAGATCAACTACCAGGATGCCTACTTTGGTTGCATACCAACATACCTATCTGTTGCCAGTGGCGCACGCGGCTTGGGCGGTGGCTCAGATAGCCCCCAATTATTCACATTGTCAACCGGTGAGGGACTTGAATTATAATGATAAGGTGATGGATGGGCATATTTTGCCGGGACCAATCCTCTCGCGGACGAGCTTGCGAATTCAGAGCCAAGCCCGCGGATGCGAAGCCCGATGGTCTTAGCGTTCGACTTGATATGTGTCAATGTCATGCGAAGCGGCGAATGTAGAAAGTCTCAGAAATGAAATGATAATTGTCTGAATATGCTAACAAAATTCGATCTTGAACTATTATGAGAGAAAACGATATGCTGCTAAAGATTGCACTGTGCAAGTCAGCGCAATGTATACAGTGGCGAGTGGTGGTCGTTGCCACGTAGTGGACTGTAAATCTTCCGTCGAGTTGTTCAGTAACGTCTAGTGCTGTGTTGAGATCAACTGTCTCCCGGTCCACCTAAGTTGAGAAAGTTATTCTCTTAATTTTTATGATTTGCCAAAGAGCAAACAAGCTGCCAGATCACGGAAAACGTACCTCAAAATTCTCAACGCCGCCGCTATACGCCCAAGTTGGATCGACAAGCAGCGGAGGCACGTTGAGCTGAATGGCAGAGAAACCTCCGCTAGAGGAATTGACCCACCCCTATAAAACGATATCTAGTCAACATGGCGTCGCACATTTGGCAAGGAGCGAATGAGTTTACCTAAAGCGTGGCGGCATTGTCAAAGGTCCACCAGTTGAAGCCAAGAGGAGTACTCTCTCCTGGAGGCAGTATAGATACAGGGTAGGGCGTTCCCTACCGCAGCCAAATCGTCGGCTAATGTTTCCCCAACGATAGACTCGAAGAGAATCGTGGCTTCCAATTGGATGTCGTAAGCTGAAAAAATGATGTTATACATTTCTTCAACCTCTTCCACGGATACCTCAGGGGTTTCGAATTTGAAGATCTGTTTGTTGTATATTGCATTCGACAGCCGAAATGACTAAAGCAAACACAAGTTCATCGAAATGTTCAGCAAATTTCTGTCAGAGTAAAGAACTCTTACCCCATAAAGTCGAATCAAAACCTAAGCTATATGTACACAGCAGCCCATCTTGGAGTCAGACATATGCCACCAACATCTCATAGTTCATCTTCGCTCTTGAAGTTGTTATGGTCGTAATCCGCGGCCATCCCATTGCCCTGGGCCTCAGCATCGAGGTATCCCGGAGCATAGCGCTCAATATCCCGCCTAATCTGGTCTTCACTTGTGTCTCCCTCAAAAAGTTCAATATGCTTCATTCTGGAGTTCACGAGCTCCAGAATTGACTTCTCCATATTAAGCCTGTTTTCCGTAGTTAGTCAGAAATATTTTTCAAGCATAATATATATACGCATAAACTTACGGGGCGTTCGCTTGGGGGTCCGTAAGCAACCCGTTATCGAATATAATTTCAGGGAGGCGATGCCCGAGGCCATAGATCTTGCAGTGTGCTTCGTACGTAAGCAAGGGAGAAACCCGTACCTCGGCGGCAATTTCTCCGTTATTTTCGAAGTGGCATAACAATAATAATCCAGTATTAAGCGCCTCCTGATCGGCAAAAAACTTATCTGGGCCCCAACGATGGAAGATAACGGTTCCTTGCCGAGTCATCGCCATACGGTCGAAAAGGGCATTATCGACCCAAGCCCATTTGTAAAAGTCTCGGGTTTGTACAGGGCTTGGTCCTGCCGCGTTAGGCTTAAGTATATAAATGCCATTATCGCAATTTAGGTCCCCAATACTAGGGCCCTCTCCCGATCCATCCAAGCGATACATCATAATTCGTATCTTCGCCCATAGGGCTTGGTTTCGCCCACTCAAAGGCTGCGTTACGAGGAGGTTACAGAAACCGTATTGCTTCAACTCACGCTTCCAGTCTCCTCTCAATTCCGGTGGGTACCAACTGCTTTTTCCGCGATTCGGTGCCCGGTCCTGGTATGCATCGCGCTCGATTTGCGTAAAGCTTGCCCATTGGTCAACTAGCTTCCGGCGCTGATTGACCTCGAAATTTGCATCGTTATTACCGGGCTCGCGCGCTTGGGCACTTTCCTATAGCCAAGTTAGCTTAGTATAATCCAACGGCATAATATGGCGCCTTTAACGTCGCCCGCTCTAACCTCAAGGAATAGTTGCCATCCCTTGCACTCCTCATCGAGGCGTTCGGTTATAGGCTCGCCATGACAACGGATATGCGCTGGGATGCCGCCTGGCCAGTACTTGGCTGGGTCTGCCATATTGCTGAAAGGGGGTGCTAGATGGAAGAAGTAGTATGGTCTGGAGGGATTCGGTCCTAAGAAGATGCCAGAGGCTCAATCAAGCGTATTTAACAGGGAATGGATATCTACATGGGCAGCTTACGTAGCAGACTATCCACTATTCGGGAATTTTCAGTGGGTAAATCTAAGAATTATAGGCCGACTAGCAGGCCCCATCAAGCGAGTAGTACTGATGTGGTCAGCGATCATCGGGCGTCCTGCTGCGCTAGAACGCCATGTCTAGCCTAATGTATCCACTATAGAAGCATCACTATTGAGAACCACCAGATGCAGGGGGATCTATTGGTGTAATTGCTCCACGTTTGGCGGCTTCTATAATGAAAGAAGATCTAGATACCTGATCATCCATCCAGGCCCGATATGATGTCTATTCAGCGGCCTTGGAGCGGTTGTCCACCGGACTTCCCGTGTATATTGTTGGTACAGCAGTGCTACAAACGTTTCTACCTGAATACATCCAAGGACAGCACCTTCTGCATCACTTGCATCCCGCTGATCACGGCAACAATGACTGTGACTTTTTTTTTTTTCAAAAAAATAATAATAATAATAATAATAAGCCAGAGACGTTGTTACCTATACCGACATCTTCCGTGCTATCAATGTTTTTTTTTTTACAACAACTAATGCGACCAGTTTTATTTAGGAAGTTTCCTCCGCCACGAAGACTGATGCTACTTCTACGAGTATTGAGACCGAGTAAGCAATGCAATCAGCCTTGGGTACTCCGCACTATCTTCTAATAGTCTTGCGTCTGTCACTGTGACAGCTGTTCCTCGAAAGAGGAGCGTAAAGTGTGAAAACCCGTACTGGCTGAGCGTCGCCCTTGCGAATAAGCCATAGAGTCCGAGCTCTGCTCGTTCCTGCCTCGTTCCTGTAACTCCGGTCACTATTGTCGTAATCGAGACTGGTCCTGTCATTATACAAGTCAACATGATAGGTTCTGACCTGGATCAATCCACCGTGAGAGACGCATGGAATGGCCTGGCTGTCTTCAAAATCACCGTTGCAGGCACTTGAACCAGATATGATGGAAACTGAGACGGGTTATACCACCACTACGGCTACCACAATCTCTACAAGAAAGACCTATACGACGGCAACCACAAGCGTCACAGATAATGTCATTGTGACCGAGAGACGTGAGGACCTCTGCCACGGAGCTGGCCACTTGCACCATAACCATGCATGGGACATTTGTATTGAGAGCACAACCACTACGCTACGGACCTTCCAGACCTATGGTAACCTTGCTACACTGACAGCCTCCCAGCGTAAGCTTTCCAGCTCGTACGAGGCTTCCGCTAGCGGCTTTGTGTCGGCCTCGAGGATCAAGTAATGGCAATTACTACTCTAATTTCGTCATTACCGAACTTGACTAAATGCTCGGGTTCGTTCCTTCGCAGAGAGAAATCCAATTCTGAATTAGTGTAAACAAATGCCATTGTGCTCGTAAACGACCGTCTGCATCAACCCCCATCTCTCCCAAGAGTCTATTTTGGGCTTGTGTTAGCACATCACTGGCTTACATTCAGTACTTTGCTGTTTTTATTCTCTTTGACACAGCAATTTTCTAGTCACTAAGAACTCATTGTTAATTCTTCTCGCTGCAGATGAGAGCTTCGACAACACTGTTCCCACGGCTCCTGATCGATTAGTTGCCAGCCCTTTTGTTCACTCCGAGCACGCTGGCAAGCAAGCCCACAATTGGAACTGCTCACACATTCCAAAGTAGAAACGAAATGCAGAAAAGAAAGGCAGGCGAGATGCTTTTGCCTCAATCCGGTCCACCGCCAGGGCTAGTACCGATTGGAAGCGACATTTGGGCAATAAACAAGACTTCACGCAACGTTGTCAAGGAAGAAGTTCTAGCCAGAGTCAACTGGCACGCGGTGGAAACCATCTATCCACCGGGTGGCCCAAAATTCGTGCAATACCTGGGGAATGCCTATCTCGGAGGGTATTATCTGATCAGGAGACTGGTGCTTGACGATGGGACCAGTATTGTCGTCAAAATACCCCGGTTCGATCGGCGTGACATAGATTGGATAATGATGACCGAGGTATCTACCATGAAGTACTTGAAGTAAGCAAACAAAGCAGTCTACAGCATTATAGGGTGACTCATCTTGACCAGAGGCTAACAAAAGTCAGAGAGAGGAGCAGTATTCCAGTTCCTAAGTTGCATGCGTGGCATTTTACTTCGCAGAACAAGGTCGGGGCACCATACATGATAATGGAATATATACACAGCACAAATGCGCAAGAAATGCAGAGACTCCTGATGCAGAGAGTCCTGAGAGGCCATTTGACTAATTTCGAACTGGGCGAGCTAAATACGAGCTTCCGTCAGCAAATGGCCACGATCCAGGCCTGGTTCGGATACTGCAATTTCCCCAGGATTGGCAGCCTATACATGAATTCAGAATCCAGCGAGTGGATGGTCGGGCCAGAGGCGTCTTCCGGTAAAGGCCCCTGGGCCCGCGAAGAAGATTATGCCGACGAACTCCTCGACAGGATGGCAGCAGCTCAAAGCGGCGAAGACAATCTAGCGATCTGTGAAACTGACAAGGAAGCTTTGCGCAAATTAGTGTCGAGTGCGCACAGCAAAAGACGAGTTCTCCGCCTGTGCGATGAACGCTTCCAGCTTACAATACCAAATTTTGGGCCAAAAGATATCTTGGTCAACGGCAACTTGAAAATTCTAGGCCTTGTTGGCCTTGATCGTGTGATGGCGTTGCCGCGAGGAATGGCTGGACAGTTCCCTTTTTTTTGCGAGATGGATCGGCACATCAAAAATACCTACGAACTTACCTTTATGAGCATCATTGGAAAATCAGAGGGAGCAGAGTGGCCCCTCCAGGCTAATATAAACGCTATACGCCAGCAAGGGCAGTACCGGGAAGTAATGAACAACAGAGAACTTATGTTGATGCCTCAGGAGGCTGCCAGCCTTTGGCTGGGGACTGTGAAGGCGGCTGTGTGCCAGGGCCTGTTACAATTTAACCAACCACGGTTAGGCATAATACAATTCTCCGGAACGAGGACAACGGAGCTCAAGAAATGGCACAAAATCATTCTGGATCTGCTTAGGAAATTTGGAGACGCCCCAGAGACTTCCTTGGATCTGGCTGCCGAGATTGCACCTTTCGACCTGAGTTGAGCAGCGGCCCAAGACGTGTGGATGTTCACGTTCACTGTTCGGATGTGTCGATGAGAAATCATGGAGTTTCCGTTGAGTTGTTGCTGACGTGAGCGCCACGACAAATATTCACTGCCAAAGAGCTAGCCTTGCAATTGGAAACTTTACAATCACTCAGTATTACATTTGTACAGATGAATTAAGTTCTCAATCACAACCAGTTGACCGCATTCTCATTTCTTATACATGCGATGTCATTAATGTGCGTGGGTTGTGTCCAGGTACACTTACGTTTTAATACGTACCTAGGTATCGATATGGAGAGACCCCACAGAAGTCAAGGGCTGATGTCAGTGGCAGGGGTGTAAATAGGTGCAATACCTAGCATCTAGTGTAGAGAGAAAAAGTGACCCGCACAACACGTCTTGTCCCTGACTAGTAGGCGCGTCGCGTTGTCTACAATTCAATAGTATCTACGTACCATCAGCAAATCAGTGAAGCCGATATTGTGTAGTGTTGACTCGCACCAAATTACGCAGTCATGACAACGCACGAAGAAATCCGAGTCGTGTCGGCCGCCATTGAAAAGGCCGACCTCAAGGCGCTGCGATCAGTACTGAAGTCCATGTGCGAGAGTTCCGAGGAATGCCGCAAGCAAGCCGCTCAGCGCCTACTCTTGTCAGTACCTACTGGGAGCAATAAGCGCAAATCCGAGCAGAGCCCTCAAGAGGCAGAGGATGCGAGCGACAACAAAAAGGCCAAGACGGTCGTGTCTAGGTTCGAAAAGTGCATCACGTGCAAAAAGGTGTTTGATATCACGACCAATCGTGACGATTCTTGCCAGACACATAGTGGTTAGTTTGTTTTTGGGGTTGTTGTCGAGTAGGAGAGACAAAGGAAAGAGACCCCAAGCTAACACTCATCGCCCAGCCTACTTGGAGATTGATGACGATGTCTTTCCTGATGATGATGAGATAGCCAACGGCCATGTTGATCCCTATACAGACTGGCGTCGCGAAGAGTGGCCCGAGGGCTTCATCTGGCAATGCTGTGATCGGCATATAAAGGAAACGCCCTGTGTCATTCAAAGGCACATTGCTGGGCCGGATGGGGCCAAGAGTCCGGAGGGCACGGATGAAGAGTCGCCCATTGAAATCTCGTCGGATGAGGAATGATTTTGACCACAAATTGGTTAGAAAAACAAAAAGTTGTTTTCCAGCGACCTTCCAGTCACGAAGCATTCATGAGATTACTTGTGCACTTCCGTTGGATATGCAGTTGGAGCTTTGAAGGCCAGTATTGTACTTGTTATTTGCTTCTCAGCTTTGTATTATTAGATGCTCACGTATCAACCCAAAATTACGCGGGAGCATGGTAACAATGTGCGGATCATAAGGAAGAGAGGGGGATTGAAGTAGACCTCTCGGGCCGTAACATGGCCAATCTGACGTGTTGGTGTCGTCGTATCTTGGCTCGCTTGATGCAGATACACAAATGTAATTTGCAATGACAAGAAAAGTCAAATGCAAAGATTATACATGGACTCTCCCGAAGCCAGGACATTGATTGGGTGTGTAGACTCCGACCATCTGGCAAAATACTTGCCCTCGGCACACTTGCACATTCCATCATAGAACCTCGGTATCAACGGACACCCGTCAGCCATGCCTCTTTGCATCAGCCTTACGTCCTTTTGACCTGCTTCAAAAACCAAGAACCATCCAGCAATCTTGATTTGTTTTCTGGACAGCTCAAAAGCTCCATGATTAATGCCGAGAAACATTAATTATCTTCTGATAATATACCGAGACACAAGGAGCATCAGTACAAATTCTCTGTGAAGAGTACAATGCTTGCTCTCGGAGCTCGGTGGCCGATTTCGACATGACCTATAGCTCGGTGTAACCACACCAGTTGGACGTGTTCCTGTATAGCCGGATATGCCGGGATTCAATTTCATTGGTGGTGGACAGGCCTGGAGAACGTCTACGAATGGTGAATCTTGGAAGTTGTGTCTTGGTAATTGGCGGGATACACAATGGTTGGCCAAGTTCCTTGTGTATACGAAAGACACGGAAAAACAGCTCAGTATAAGACAGAGAGTAATCACGGGACGAAATGCAAGTCTCAAATTGAACCAGACCAAACACTGCATCATAAGACATCCTTTGGGGAGGACCAAAATAAAATCACTGGGCTTGGGGCATGATTGTTGTAATTCGACGTGTTGAATATCAAGCGCTGGCTCGCCAGTTACTATAAGGTTTAATACCATGCCTCCTCCCTTCGCGGACAGACGGGGAAGGCAGGGAAAAGGAATATAGAAATCTGTCTAGAGTCTTTTCAGCAGGCTCTCTTCCGCCGCGTGATAACACAATATCAATAAACGCCGCACGAGCATGCCTGTTAAATAGGCAATATACTCTTTCACAAAAGGCAATGCTCTGAATTCCTGCTTTTCCCAATCCTGTTTGGCAACGATGCGGCCCTTTTCCCGTAAGACAATGCTTTTGGTCCATCATGATCCAGATCCACTTTACGGGCTGGATTTCTCGTGACTATGGTAATCCTCTTCGGACCCATAGTTGTAAGGCATCTTAGGGGGGCATCGCAACGTAAAGACCGTGGCCATTACTTATGGCGACGGCGTAGTTCATTCGTCATCTGCATGACGCTTCTCTCCCCAACTCTCAACCCCTTGTCAAAAGAAGGGGTTGCCAATCTCCTCTTCAACCGAAGAGTGCAGCACCGCCGCTCTCGACAGCCTCGATCTCGGCCAGATCAATTGGGGCACGTCTGAATCGGGCAGGGAGCTCGCTACGGTCAAAGAACTGGCCCTTGGGAGCGGCGACGGCGCCCAGCTTGGAACCCGAAGTACCTCCAATGCGTCCGACGCTCTTGCGCAGAGGGCCGTGCTGCTGTGCCGAATCACGGTAGCTGCTGAAGGAGGTGTGGGAGTTGCCGTTGGCACCAAAACCTGCGGGCAGGCTGCCAGTGGGCGAGGCAGGGTGTGGTTGCGGGCTGTGGTCAATCTTGGCTGGAGGACAAGTCAGCTTCAGAGTCCTAGGAGGAGGGCCATTGCAGGGAATGAGGGGCAGAGTAGATGACGAGGAGATTTGAGTGAATGAGACAGGGACAGTGGCTTACCTGGGATCTCGCGGCGGCCAACGAATCTGATCAAGGGCACACGCTCGGCGGCGTGAGCAGCTTGGCGCAGGGCTCTGGTGAACTGCATTGTGATGATATGTGCTGGTTGGGCTGTCTAGAGAAACGACGAGCAGGTGTGTGCGGGAGATTGCGTGAATGTAATCGTGTTCACGAAAAACCACGGAAGTTGCGCGCTTTGGTGGTTGAATGGAAAGTTTCAGTGGAGAGAAGTGCGGGTGGGCGGGCCAAGCTCGGACTCTGTACGTAGTGGTAGTAAATTGGCGGGCGCAAGAGAAAATCCCGGGAAGAAATTGGTTGCTTGGTGCGGAAAGCTGATGCCGGGTCCGCTTGGCGGTTCAAGTTGTTGGTTATGTGAATGAGAGTTGGACGTGTCGTCGTCAGTCGGGCTGTTACAGTAGGCGAGAATGGAAAGTAAAAAGGAATAGATTTCAGAAAAAGAGAAGAGGGTAGAAAGGCAGACGGGAGGGGGGGTCAAGAGCAGTTATGAAGGAGCTCGCCGAGGCTGGTCATGGATGGTGTGCCTTTCTGCTGCCTTCTGTCTGTCTTGTCTATCTCAGGTAGCATGCAAAGCAAAGCCAATATGTAAGCTGCAGTCCCGCGCAAGCAAAAATCGTACGGTACCAAGCCAGAGCCCCGTTCGTTCGTGCTTGCTTGTCTTTCCTTATGCGTGGGATGAGCCCAGTTTGGAGGTGGAGGGAAAGTCAACGCGCCGCCTTCCATTGGTGTATGCCTGTCGGACGAGTCCACTGGACTGGCCCGAAAAGCGCTAGGAGATACGTACCTTGGGCGATTTGGGTAGCGCTTGCCCGCATCCCACCCACTGGTTGATCGTCTATTCTCCCTTGCTCCTAGCTCCAACCTCCGCTGACCGGGGCAGCAGGGGCCCTAGTCCCACTGGAATTAGGCCAGCGAGTGAGCGCACTCCTGCATGTCTGCACACTTTGAATCTTATCCGACGGATAGTTTTTTTACTCTGCGGTTATCGGACTTTGGACATCCATATTCCACCTGTTTTCATTTGTGCTCTGGTTTCTCGCAGTAGACAAAATTACGAAAATTTGCTGATCTCTATGATCCTCCCATCACTTCATTACCTCATGTTCGTATGAACTATTGCCCTGCGACACGACTCGGACAGTCTTCCTCTTTCATTACGAAAGAGGAGAGACAACCCCGCCGGGATTTTTCGGAAAGTTATGAGACGGCTCGAACATAGAATATAAAACCATAAGCACACATGAATGTCAACCACATGTCTGTGCCTCGGTGGTTTACTTTTCGAACGTCCTTGTGATTGATTGACTCAAAAGTAACCCAAGTAGGTGTTGACACTAGAGTTTTGGTTCCAAGGGCTTGCAAATCAAGCTTAAAGGTGCACACACTGTAGCAGATCACACCTTGTTTGCAATCATGGTCCTGCAGCCTTCGTGTCAGTCCGTCTTAACGCCGGTTGGATTTATGAGAATCATCCAGGTGGCACATATGATTATGGAAAATAGGTGTAAACGACGACTAGTTGTACAATGCAGCTGATGCATGGAGTTCGCTGCCCGAGCCCCGACCAAGCCGACCGACCTCGGGTGTCCGGGGTTGGGATTGGGGATTAGGTAGATTCCAAGTGGGAGGAGCTCCAGATCATCACAAATCACGTCAGTTCCTGGATCCTAAACGTGCCTTGCCTGGGTTGGTAGAACGACTATATTGCCCCACAGACACCAAGGGAAATGCCGTCCGACGACGATTATTTCCTCGCGGCGCTTTTTGAGTACATATTCGCCTACGGTTTCCGGTGCTTCAAAACCGTAAGATCATGGCCCAACAAAGACAACAAAAAGTCTGCCCACACTACGGCTCTGCACCCTGGTGTTCCCCCCGCGTATTGGAGTATGGTTTCACCCGGCCATTGGCTTGCAAGGTTCGGCATCGTGCAGATACATGCTGCACATCTCAGCCCAGATCAGGCCATGCGCCTAGCTTGTCTGGCGCCAAGGTCAGGGCGAGCGCGGGGGAACGGGGGGAATGATAGTATGTACTATGAGAATCTCTGCTTATCCTTATGGGCACATGGTGTAGGAAATAGTCGCCATCCGGCTGGGACTTGTTTCGGTCTTATGAAGGTTCGATACTCCATGACTGCCTCTGGGTGAGTGATTGCTTATTGCCCGAGTTTTGCATTCATGGCATTGAGAATACGTCGACTATGATGCAATGCCTGGCACGAAGGATGACGTGAGGATTCCGCGAATTCATCATAACGTTTGCACAATATCAAAGTCGGGTCATGCTTCAGCCTCCGATGTACTACAAGCCCCTTCCTCCTTCACATTGATAGTGGCGTACGACAGCCTACAGGGCTGCTATTGCATACCGATTCTGCTGTCCTACCCCAAACTACACCGCGGAGGCTCGGCTTCACACATGGACACAAGTCTTCTTCTCACGTCGCATTCAATATTCTCCAAATTGGCTTGTGAAAATTCCATGTCCCTGGTTCATCCTTGTCCAAGCATTTCGACCTACCGAGTTTCAATTCTCGGTTTAGCAAACAGGCACTTACTGCGCCAAAATAGACAGTTTTGCCGAGCGAGATCGGCAAAAAATTGATCAGCAAAACGATAAATACTTGGACGGCCACTGACGGCTCGGATTGTCGGTTCGCTTGGCTTGGCCCTGGCTTGGGTATATGCACATTGCAGGCTCGGGGCCGGCTTTTAGTGTTGGTCCAAACACGTGTTGTTGGACCCTTTTTAGCACGGTTCGCATAGCATGACGCGCTACCAATTTTTTTTTTCTTCTGAGCTCCCCAAGCACGCCCTACGGACAAGAGGGCGAGTTCGGTTAACCAATAGTCTGCTCGAGCCGGTAGCTCAGAGTTTGTGATTGGCCGCATACAGCTATCAGTAACGATAAGCATCAATATTAGTAAAGCCTATGGACAATCTTCATTACTACAAGACACGGTATTGGTTGTTGTTAATTGAGCTATTGTGGGTCTGTAGTGCAAAACTCTTGCATGCCTATGCCATGCCATGGACTCTTTTCGTATGAGCCCAATCCTGAATCGAGAAAGTCCTTCCTTGTAGTATATGGTCTCTGTATACACTTTAGCCGTTAACCATCACACTGGAATTGGGCTGTATTCAATGACAAACCACATTTGTGCTTGCGACTTTATTGTGTACCTAATACTTGTATGATCTAAGGGCCCGAAAATGTCATCCCCAGATGTTAAAGCCTAAATTTTGGGCCACTCCACAAAGACCTTGTGCAAGAGTATCACCACCTGCCAACGGCACCTCGGGCACCAACCTGCCCAGCAGCAAAGGTCTTTGTCTCGGCTAAAATGGTGTTCTGAGCTATAAAGTTTTCATTACCCATTAGTATTCTGGCTTAAATGTCATACACTGTTATATTCTACTCCCGCTACCCTTGATGTAATGTAGTGATGACAATGAATGACTACGTCGAGGCACACAATGCAATTGTGTACTAGAGCTATAGTAACTATATTCGTGCTACATGCTACCCCTCATTCACCAACTCGGCCATATTCTATTCGATGTGAGGCTGACCTGGCCGCTAGCCTTCTGTTATGCAATTCAGAAGTGAAGAAATTGGATTTCCGTGCTTCTTCCAGGGACTTTAAGGACAAATACCTAGGTATATAGCAATATCATACCATAGTGCAAGAGTGGTGTGCAGTTGATCGAAAACATACAAAGAGTAATACGCCACAAGTGGCTAATACCCGTGGCTATCCGCGTGCAGCCTTATAGGGTGTTCATTGTACGGCAACGACTTTCACTTACGTTTGTGCACACGGCAAGTTTTTGACGGAAAATAGTCATTGTCAACATAAAATATTCCAATTTCTTCAGTACGGTCGTAGAGAAGAGTGCAAAAAATGAAACTCATCGTTAAAGACGGATCAAACATAACTAAGAATGCTTCAAAATTGACACAACAAAACAAGAGCCATCTTTCAAGACATCCAATAACCTCGCAGCCGTCGGCGGGCATTTATTAGGGCTCTGGAATACACTCAAGGCAATCAGTTTGCACATAAACGCGGAGTTAATCAGGTTCGCGGGCTGTAACGTATTTTAAACACAATTTTTAGGCTTGCCAAGACCTTCTGAATATGGGTCAAGCTTCATCACGCCAAGACCATTATAGGCAACTGCTGTGATCCCACACATATTAAAGTCATCACCGACGTCACACTCACAAATACAAAAGCGCGCAAACATTACTCCCTTCAGTCATGAATTTGATCAGTCGCCAATTCCGTGCTCAATGTCTTACCTCATACAACGGTGGTGGCTCTACTTCAGGGCAAGTGCGCAGCATTTTGCGCCATCGCGCATTCCCCATCCTCTCACAAATACAGGATGAATGCCGCCTTTCTGGGCATACAAAAAAGCTTGTCCATCCCAGCCGCGAAGCTTGGCCTTCTTGATCCTCCAGAGACTCCTAACAAAACAGTTATTAGGCACTACAGTTATCGCTTCAAACATGAGCCTCTCAAACCGTGCTGCCGGGCTTATGGCCTTGGCCATGATTGCTTCAGTCCAAGCTACAAATGTTTACAAGATCCCCATCCAGAAGCGGGCTGCGACAGCATCTGGCATCAATGTACCTGCTACCGACTGGTTCTACCGCGGCGACAATGAGGTATGAAGTGGCGATGACCATCCATTGTACCAACCGGATGCTTCAACAAATGGCTAACACGATCAACAGTGGTATAGTACCGTACAAGTCGGCACTCCCCCGCAGAACCACACCGTTGCATGGGATACAGGTAGCGTAGATCTGCTTCTGCCTGGTACAAACTGCACGACTTGCAGCAACCACACACTCTTTGATCCGACCAAGTCGAGCACGTACTCGCCCCTCCCCGGTCGACGCACCAAGACCTACTACTCGACTGGTGTTGACTCTATTCCCTTTACTGTCCCCGAAGGCGAAGGCGGCGTTATTGTACACGACAAGATCGCATTGGGAGACCTTGTTGTGGAAAGTCAGGGCTTTATTCTTGTCGACGAGTCCGCCGCTGCATTGAACAAGATGCCCGTTGACGGTATCTTGGGTCTGGGGGCACCCAACGTCACTGGCATTAACCAAGAGCCAGTAAGACCCGTGCTCAAGAACCACTCACCATATGATCTGTCACTAACTTGAGGTTTCCCAGTGGTACTGGAATTTGTACGATAGTGGTCAACTTGCATCACCGGTCTTTGCTTTCTACACACCCGCCGGTGATATCGACGGCGCCGAGCTCACCCTGGGCGGTATTGACGACACCAAGTACGAGGGTGAGATTCCCTATACAAAACTCGAGAGCTCGCGCGGTGGCTACACGCTCCGGCAGAGCGGGCTGTACATCAACGGCGAAGTCTTCTCCAAGACTGGAACAGCAATCCTGGATACCGGCACGGCTTTTATGCAGACGCCCAACTACCAGATAGCCAAGAAGCTTTATGCTGCCATCTCACCCAACATTACCCAGATCGACAAGGCTGGCGCTTGGGGTGCACCCGTAAGCAACTTCCGGTGTTATTTCTCTTCTTTCCTAGGTTGAAACTTATTTCACTACCTGAAAAGGCAATTGCTAACACATTATATTGTAGTGTGACGAGGTAGATGCCCTTGCGCCCGAGTTTACCTTTACCTTTGGCCCCGTTGGCGGTGCGTTGAACCTCACGATTCCGAAAGAGGCTTTCAATCTTGGGGAGTACCCGGGGCAGCCAGGGATATGTCAGACTCTCTTCAACAACCCACTAGGAACAGTGTCCATTGGAGGAATCTGGTTGATTGGTTCCCCTTTGTTGAAGCAGTACTACACAGTCTGGGACGCTGTCAATGGTGAAATCGGCTGGGGCAAATTGAAATCGCCGGGCTCGTAATTCGTTAGTGTTCGGCTTTCACTACTTGCACTCCTTACAGGTGGCAACTGCTTCTCCAATCACGATTCTGCAACACGCCAGGACTCCGATAAAATCCTTAGTAAGCCCTGTGCATTATGAACCCAATTAAATCTCCGTTGACTTCCCATGTAGTGAGTCGAAACGGGCTGCAGACTCTCATGTCCAGTTGTCTTTCTACAATAAGGGGTGTCTTTCCCAGTCACTCTCTTATCGTATTCATTATCAGCACCCATGTTAAGTTTCAGTTTTCCAAACCAGGTACTTCCAGGCATATCATACGACTACAATAGCCCTGGATTGTCACAAGAGACTGTTTGGATGTGTCGTCATGGAGAGTCCGGTTGGTTACGGGGAGTTGGGGGTTCGGGGGTTGGGGGCTCTTGCGGCTGTGGAAATGGGGGTAAGCATTGCCTAAGCGCAGGGTTACAGGAAGGCAAGAGACACTTCGGCGAGGCACTTTCGAACCTCACAATGTTCTGCATTCGTCTTCGGTGTGCAAAAGTCTGGCATCAGAAAGGCTACGTCGCATTCGAGGACATGAATATATATATGTGCATATCTCAAACGTTTGTGCCGTCTCGATGCATCTCGATAATTTCTATAGTAACTTCGCGGGGTGCCGACATGTCTCCCACGGATGAAAAACCGCGCGATACTGATACCATATCTCAACCCGTGGTCAAAATTATCATACTTTATTCCTTTACTGCATCGTTTGCAACTTTCCTCATGGTTCTTAGGTTGTATACCAGTTTCTATATCACGCGCAAAATAGACATCGATGACCGTGAGTGTCCCACCCTAAAGTTATATTGACTTCGCTAATAGAATTATGGAAGCTCTGATATTCTTGGCTTGGACGCTCAGTGTAGCAGAATGGGTCTTCATGGTACTTTGTAAGTTCCTGCCAGGTTTTCCCAATGACTGGGTCTATCGCTAAGAAACGAAAGCAATACCATTTGGATTTGGTGAACCCGTGTGGAAGGTTCCACAAAGCGAGTTGCCCCGCTTGAACAACGTCAGTCGTAATCATCTGAATGCGGCCAGTAAAGGCAATGAGACCGTCGCTGACAAGTATCCAGCTCTTGGTGATGATGACGATTTGTTACTTCTGGCCTCCGGCATTGACCAAGCTGGCTATGCTGGCGCTCTATCATCGCATAAACCCTTTTAAGAGATTTCGAATAACCATCTATGCCGTTGCTATAGCCATCGTTGCATATACGATACTATTCACAATCCTGTTTGGTGGACCGTGCCGCTTCATTACCTTTGGCTCTGCAACATGTTGGAAAGGGGTAGTAACAGGTCAAGCAGTGGCAAACATTATCACCGATTTTGTCATTATCGGTCTCCCATTACCAATGATTCACAGACTTCATTTGCCCTTGCGACAAAGGATTGTAGTTGGCGCAATTTTGGCAATGGGTTCTGCGTACGTTCTTTCATCTTTTATTTCTGCGAGGGGGCAAGTTTTGCTGACAAACCGACGCAGCGTCGTGATCGCATCAATCGGTCGCTTGTACTATTTCAAAGCCATACTAGAAACTCCCGGGTTTACCGGGACGCGAGCAGAGGTCCCAATCTGGACCATCGTGGAGTTCAATCTTGGAATCGCTTGCAACTCTATAGCACGAATGCAACCTTTCGTGAACAAACATTTCCCAAGATTCTCTCTATCACTGAGAAAGACTAGCAAAAAGCCTCTGAGAAGACCAAAGCCCATCAGTGCCGACCGGGGGCTAGTTCGCGCTGACAAGCTGTCAAGAAATTCAGAGTTACACTTTTTGTGCTCGCAAGAATACGGCCAAGATCAGCACAACGTTCGTATCGACTCAGAACTTCGACATGAGATGCCCTCAGTCGAGAGGAAGCAGGTGGGCGGATACATTGAGATCTCCGGTTAGAACTTGGGCAAACAATAGAATCATTCTGGCATTCACTCCAGAGCCTGCGGGTCCAACAGGGATCTGTTGCCATAACTTCCCACATGTTGAGTTTCATCACTCTCTACTACTGTCTTGCTATGGCCAGGGAGTTTCTGATGTTCCTGAATCGAAATCCATGCCTCGTACTGAAGTATATCATCAAAGTCGACATGTACCCAGAACAATGGTCAATCGTGATAGATCGGCTCAAGTCAACAGAGCTATCTAGAAATGCAGAAAAAAATGGTTCCAATAAAAAAACAACTTGCAATTTCATAGGCGGCCCGAAAGAGCGGCGTACAATCCCAGCGTGGAGCGATATGCGTCATATCATCCCGGACCGAAGTCTGCGCAATGTGACGAGCCATGAGGCATACATGCAATTTGTGAGTGCCAGTATCAGCAAATCAAATAGAATATTTGACACGAGAGATATCATGTTCATGCCAATTGACTAGGTTAGATGCGTTGGCGGGTTGGGTGATTTTGATTCCGTACAATCTTCTTTGTCAAATACTGTGACACTTTTTGATACAAAGCCACAAGACCACTTCTTCAAAATCCTTTCATTCGGCCATCCAATGTCCGCAGGTCCCCATATGTACTCCACGCAAGATGATTAGACAATGTATGATTCTGAGCATTTTAGAGGTCTAGCACCACTCGTCCTTGACCACTTGCGAGCAGATCGGTGATTATGCGTACGACGACGACATATAATATTGGTTCTCTATGCCCAGCGTACTGATCTTGTTGTCGTAGTCGTTTCTGAACCAGTGCTGCCTTGAGCGGCGCCTGTCGCCGCAGCAGCACCTGCCGATCAACCACGGGCCGCAATGGGCGCAAGTGCACACCACAATCAGAAAGACAAACGTCGCCGCTGCGACTACGGAAAGTCCCATGATGAGATCTCTTGAAATGTCTCGGTTGACTTCGTGGACGTCCTGCACCTGTGATACGCCTAAGCTGGCCCAGCTTAGCAGGACGAACAATATATTGATATCGAGTCGGAGCATGGTTTGTTGTTTTAGTGTCTTGGTAGATTGTGCCTTTTGCAGTTGCGTGGATTTACTTGCGTTGAAAATCAAAAAGAGACAGAATTGCAATTGGAGTATTCAATCGAGTATTTCATTCGCGAGGAGAATGATCCAAACGAATACACCTGCATGTATCACTCTGTAACCAGCAGTCATGCAGTAACCTTTGAAGGATTTACAGCCACGGTATTTGAGAAAGACAGGCGAGTTTTATGAGCTTCCGGCTTTTTACATCACGTTCATATAGTTTGAAATAAACTGATCGCTTTCATTAATAGATCTATCTCTGCGGCGGTAAAGCGCATCAACAGAACAGGTTCAGCATGCGCAGCACTGGCAGTACTGGCAGTACTTGTGCTTGATGATGTGGATTCTACTGCACACTCAATTGGCCTACAAATGGCTTCACGATTGCACATGTGTGTGTCTCACTTGTCTTTAAAGACAGGCCAGGTCGAAGTATTATGCTTTGCGTTCATGCATTGTAGCCTGGCTTGTTGCGCCAAAACTGTCTTGGCCTTTTGACAATGATTTTTCGCCAAGCGACACAAGTACTAACGGTGCTCAAAGTGAAGGTCTCATGTAGCGGATGATGTATTGACTTGTTGAAAGTGACAGAGCCGCCAGAGCCCTGATATTTCTTTGAGATGAAGACGTGTATTTCATAGACTTTACAGACTCAATGTAAGACGGAATAAGTGAGATGCTAACTATTGTACGAAGTACTAGGGTATAGAAACGATTGATGGGTGGAGTCTGAGCGTCATAGCGCTAAAGAAACTCACAATGCGACCCAATACCGACTCGTGTTTCTTCAAGCGAGTAAAACGCAAAAATATTATACTTGTGAGTTTCTTTATGGGCTAAAATTTTGTTTCTAAAACCCGTATACCATCTTGCGCAAAACATGAGAGATGCGATCACTTGAGTGTATGGGATGATCTTTAATTTCCAATGGCCTGGAACCTGGGGCCAAGGGTCTCGGCCTCATTCCACGTCAATCAAGCGCGTGGCCGAGCATTGGCCTTGACGTCATTCTTTCGACAGCTGGAGCAATTAGTCCGCGACTTTCTCAAACAAGGGACACGACAACCGCGATTGCAGAGCGACGACATTCTAGTTTTCTGGTTCCAAATATTCAAATTGGAACATAGCGACAGATATTTGTTTGTTTTGTCTTTTCCTCCCCATCTCCATTCATTTGCGCAAAGTTAGCAGACATGAGCTATGTGTTTCGGCGCGGCTGCACTCAGCTGAGCAGCGCCGCTTTGCGGTGGTCGCCGCGAGCAACCCCTTGCAGCAGCAGACAGCTTTCACAGACGAGCCATAAGATTGCATTCTCACGATCATTTAAAACGACAAGCCGGATCCAAAAAGAATTACAAGACGAGACAGCACGGGAGACAAACCTGCGAGATCAGAATGCGCACGAGGAAGAGGTCAAGGCCGGCATAGAAGCCGCCACCAAACAGCAAATCAAGAGACCATGGCAGCGCGAAGGAGCTGATAGGCCTCCCACCGACTTGGAAGCCAAGAAGATGAACAAGGCCATGACAAAAGGTGAGAATATGATGCCGACCGTTTCGTGATACTGTCTGGCTGCTCACACTTTGCATCTCAATTAGGGAAGCTGTTGACAACACCTACGCGACTGCTGAAGCTCATCATACCCATACCGGCCGACGCAACGCACGACGAGAAAGGCAACAAGGGCGAGTTCAGGTCACTTGCCCAGAATGAGGACATACAGCCGCTGGCCCTGCTCGTGCACCCTCACCAACCGCTCTCCTACCTCGAGCGCTTGATCCAGGCCGAGCTCCCGCCCGTCTACGACGACAAGGGCCGCGAAAAGATGCCCAACGTGTATTTCCGCGCCGAAGCCTCGGACAAGGACGAGACGGGTGAGAAGAAGCAAAACGCCGAGAATATTGCATCAGCGTCGGGACTGGGCCGGGAGGGTCCAGATACGCCGAATAAGGACAAGGACTGGGTTCGCTGGAGCAGCAGTACCGAAATTGGCGACTTTATCCGGGACGCGGCGCGTGGCCGTGAGTTTGCGATTGATATCGACGGACATAACACAGAGCTGCGAGTAGGCGTGCCGAGCTTCAATGACCGTACGCATTACCTCCGGGTGCGGCTGCGGCGCATGTCGCGCAAGATTGACGAGCTGTCCAAGATCAAGCACGAGTGCGACGTCCTGGCACACCAGGGAGCGCACCGCATTGCCAAAGCTGGCTTTGCTGCCCTAAGTGGCTGGTGGGGTGTCGTCTACTTCGTCACGTTCCATACCGACGCTGGCTGGGATTTGGTCGAGCCCGTGACCTACCTCGCTGGACTGACGACCATCATGGGCGGTTATCTGTGGTTCCTCTTTATCAGCAAGGATCTCAGCTACCGCGCTGCCCTCAATATCACCGTCACACGGCGCCAGAATATGCTCTACCAGGCTCGGGGATTTGACCCGCAGCGATGGGATAGCCTGGTTAGCGATGCAAATGCCCTGCGCAAGGAGATCCGCATGATTGCCGAGGAATACGATGTAGACTACGATGAAACCAAGGATTTGGGCGGAGAGGAGGTTCAAGAGGTAAGTACAAATGACTCCCCATTCCACCTTCTCAAGGCGAGGAATACCGAAGTGGTGTCTGGTTGAGTACTAGACATGAAATATCCACGAGAACTTGGCTGACTTTGATTTTATAGACTCTCGATAAGGAGCGTGAGAAGAAAGAGCGAGGCAAGGCTGACGAGGAATTGGAAGAAGAAGAGGAGACCAAGAAAGAGGCAAAGAATCAGGACGACAAGAAAGGCAATGGCCAGGACAAGAAGAAGGACTAGAACAAGACTAGCAGGCACTTGAATCTGGTGGATATACCCGTATACGTAGGCTGACTTTTCTTTTGTGTTTTGGGAGCGAAGCATTTGCATTTACGCCAAACTGTAATCTATTCTAAATTTTGCTCTCCTTTCGGTTTCCCACTTGTTCTTTTGTCTACACATGAGAACATGCAAAGATGCTCTGAATCCAATTTCGAGGTTGATCAAGGTGAGTCAGGACCTACCAGTGAAGCGGCCTTGCTGTCTGAGGCCATTGTTTCTGTTTTGTGTGTTTTCTTGCCACTGGCGACACTTGACAGAAAATAAGGTACGCTTCTGAGAATATAAGGACGAGTGAAGGCTCCGGTCTTGAATCAATCACTTTTGTAATTATGTTTCGTCTTTTTTGAAAGTACCTAGATAGCGTTGGCTCCATATGATGGGAGAACCACAACAGCGGGCTGCGAAACAGCTCCGATGTTACATTATCCATTGATGAAAATTTAGCTGGGGCTTAGCTGCATAGCAGGGCGGGATGACTGCACTAGAGAACATTTAGCTACATAAGGTAGCGCCGATATGGGGATAGCCTGAGAAGAAGAAAAAAACCTGGGCTATCGAAGCAATGAGGGCAAAGCAAAAACTCTAGCTTGAGCGATAACAGTCATCGTCATGGAACAGACAACTTGTGCTTCATATTCGGGACCAAAATCTATTGCCCATGTCTTTGATAAATAGCAAGTACAGAATACATGAACAAAATACACAAGGTAGCCAACTGCAATCATATGCAACCATTTGATATCCTCCATTCACTTCTCGGAAGCCCCTACTGAAGCTATCGTACGGAGTGCTCCAACCCGTCCGGGCCAAAAACACCAGGGCCCAGGTAGCTACTATTTCCATTATGTTATGACCACATCCATTTCGAGCCATATGAGACCCTCAATGACCCTCATTTCCAAGAGGGGTACCCTGGAAACTACCCCTCTATGGGCTGCACTTCCTCAAATAGTAGGTAGACGCTACAACGCTGCTTTCCAGTTGGCCAATACCACTATACGATTTTCTTCTCGCCGATGACAATGTCTTGACTCTCATTGGCTGCATGAGGGGTCACTTTGACAAGTACGCGAAGTCGCGTCCTGGTATACATGATCATCTTTGTCAAGTTGTGATTTGCTGCCGCGACATAAAACCATGTTTCCAGTCAGACCCAACCGACCCCACGTTGGGCGGGTTGGCGGGTTGTTCCTACTGAGCTGATGCAGGCGTGACGTTTATAAGAATGATAGCAGGTACCTGACCTTTCTACGGTCGGAAAAAATCTAGAGACGGGAAAAGCTTGTTCATTGCCATCATCAGGCCACCGTGAGCTGTTTTGACTCTTTTACACCATCTCGTTTTTCATGCCCTGTCCTCTTGCACAAAACTGCTTATACCACCGCCTCTGTTTTTATTTGAGAAATGCGTCGTAAACATTCATCTTGACTCCCACCCATACATACAGACACACTACAGATACAGACCCATCTTTGCCCGTCTTGGAATCAACCCCGCAGTATATCCACTGTAACAACTTGCTATCTCAGTTGTTACAAACACTTCCTTGCGCACATCTCCCGCAGCAGCTACCTTGTCACGAGGAGCTTCATTCATCATGGCGCCGTCGATCATTCATCTACCTGATGGCCAGACATTTACTGTGCAGCCTGTCTTTTCAGGCTTGCAGTTCAAGTCAAACGATATGAACCTTGGCCGTGCACCCTCACCATTCCCGCCAGGGTGGACAGTTGTGCTGCACACGGAAGATGACGAAGACACCAAGTCAACAGAGCATTCTAATGGAACAAACTCGGCAGACACTCTTGGCAACGGTAACGAAGAGCCGCAGTCGCCCACGAGATCCAAGGTACACGCATTCAGGCAACCAACCCTCCAGAACGACACAATCTTCATCTCTAGTATTGTGACGCCGTCTTCGGAGGACTTTGAGCCTGCCAAGAGTCCTTCCCGTCAGATAGCGCTCATGCTCTATATCACCCTTTATTGGTATTTCCAGCAGCCCGAGCCATCGGCTCACCTCGAGACGGAACAATCTCGGTACACACCACCTGAAGCCAGACCAAGAGGCGAATGGCGCATCCGGATCAAGCGAGAGGGTGTCCTCCATTCTCGGAATATGATTCCGAAGCTGGAGAGAATGGGCCTCATTTCGACCATGGATTCTGCTGTTGGCACGAGTTTGGATGAGAACTCAGAGGGCTGGGACCACATGTTTGCCTCGCAACGAGCTTTCTGGCAGATCCCCTTTGGCCTATTTCTGTTCACGTTGGAGCCCAAACGACATGGCTCCTCCCGTCCTGGGTCGCCCATTGATAGTAGCAGGGCCACATCCCCAATGAGGAACGAACCTGGCTGGAAGGGTCACTCTTCGCATATCTCGATCAACGGTTTGCTCTCCGCTGATGTGCCCGGAGGTCCTACTCCAATGTCTATTACAAACTTGCCGACATACCCACTGACGCCGTATTTCTCGGCATCACACATGCCCACGTACTACCCACCGCCGCCTCTCCAATATGTGGAGACTGACGGTGTGCGACATCCTCTGCGCCCAAAGCCGCATCGTATGGGTGAGATCTTTTACACGAGATACGTTCCTAGTGTAGGAAAGTATCTATCGTTCCGTGTCGCCTCGGCTTCTCCGAGTCCGGTACCATACTTGGGCCCTAAAAGTCACGAGGCCACCCAAGAGCACGGCCATCTAGCCAAACTTTCCGACGCAGCTTTGCTGGAAATGTGGATGGACAATCCTCGTGTAACCAAATTCTGGGGAAAATATCAATCCGACTTTTTGTCCAATGCTTTGAAGTCCAAGCACTCATTTCCAGCCATTGGCTCTTGGGATGGCGAGCCATTTGGCTACTTTGAGATATATTGGGTCAAGGAGGATGTCCTAGGAAAGCGCATCAAGGCAGACGATTATGATAGGGGAATCCATGTTTTCATTGGCGAGGAGTGGGCTAGAGGCCTTGTTCCACAATGGTCCTCAAGTTTAGCTCAGTGGATTTGGCAGTCGGACCCCAGAACCATGAGTATTTGCCTCGAGCCCAGGATTGATAACACGAGGTATGCTTTCATATCTAGATCCCAAATTATTAATACTGACAATCATCTATAGGTTCATTGATTTGTTACAGAATGAAGGATTCAACAAGGAGCGCCAGGTTTCTTTCCTTCACAAACAGTCCTGGTTGGTCCGCCTCAGACGAGAAACCTGGACAGGGCCACGTCTATAGAATAGATGGAACGAACAGGGCGGGCAGACTGAGGAGCTTCGATTCACAACAGTCTATCGTCTCATGGAAGAGGATTCAGAGAAGATGAGAGACAAACAGTGTGCATGCAGGCTTATGTAAGTGTAGATTTTTGAAGTTTCTGAATGCATGCAATCATCTAACTGCTTTACGCCTCATCAGCATGCCTAGTGACGGGCTAAAGCACTGGCATTGCTGCACTGGGATTTCGATGCTAGTAACTTCAGACACCATGATGATGGTTAAATATAGACCACACACAAACGGGGAAGAACAAAGAAAAAAAATCGTTCTTCTGTCTTCCTTTCCATATTTGAGTATTATTTTAGGAGGTTATATTCAAGCCCACTGGGCGCATCTTCTGTTGCAACTCGATTATGAATTCAACTATCGCATTCACCTGGACCCTTCCCCGTATACAGCTATCTCAATGATAGGAGAATACCTAATCAGCGTCCATAGCAACGATAGCCAATCTCAGATTAAGGGGGATGTCGGTCACGGCTTCTAAACTCCGGATTGATCTCCAGAAACTCGTCCATATATCCGGCCGCGCTGGGATTGCTTCGACCTGGAGACATGGGATTCGACAACTCAAGGATAAATTGAGCTGCTTTGTTGCGCCGTCTTTGCTGGAAATGCGGAACATGTTTGCGGTTGTACTGCGGTAACTCATCTTCCATTCCATGCCCATCCTCACCATCATTTATCTCGATCTTCTCTGAAGGGAGGGAAAATACTTCATCTGCGGGGTCTTCGAATGTAGCCGTGTCAAATTCGAAAAATTCCAGTGCTTCTCGGAATCCGTTGGCCTCGGATTTCCTATTTTCTTCTTCGGAATTCGCTGCATGTGCCCTCCGAATGGGAATGCCGCTTGCCTCGAGGTACGATCGCTCTTCTTCTGACACCCAGGATCGATGGACCAAGATCCATATTTTGAACAAGTTGTGGCTTGGGCTGAGCAAATAATCGAAACAGTAATTCAAGTCTAGTCTCACTTCTCGGTAGTGCTCAACCCAGTAAAGGGCTGCGTAACCAAAGAAAGATCGAGCAGTGTCCCATTCACATCTTTTGAGAAACTCAGTCACCTTTTTCTCGTCCCACTGATCGGCCTTGAGAGGATACTCAAATTGGAAAAGGCTGAGATAATCGACGCATATTTGAAGCAGATAACGATTAGCTGCAAATAAATTGATTGAGTGCCGCCATTGCCGCGTGGACGAATCCCGATCCTGATAACGGGCAGAGGGATCGTGGGCGGAGGTTTTGTGGGCTGAGCCATTGCTTTGCGCTGACCTTTCTGTGGTCCAGCGGTCAAGGAGAAAGTCTCTAGCTGTTTGGTGGACCAAATATATCTTACCACCTCGTATTCGCACGAAATGTCCGCACAACTGACGCAGGTGGTTTGCAAACGGCTTGCGTACAAGTCTCCCAATCTCGTCCAAGTCAGACACAAGGGCCTGGGATCTGTCATTGGGTTCTCTCGCGTCTTTCCGCTTCGGGAACCTTTGCTCAGTCCCCGAACTCTTTTCTGGCGAAGATCTCCGAAACGTCGAGGGAGCCAGGTCTGGCGCTTTCCCTTCTGCCTTGGGATGATAATCTTGAAGAACTTCGACAGCAACACACATCTCATTCACGGTCAGCGGCCGTACTGCCGCCACTATGATCTGCAAGACCTTCTTGGTTTTGAGTGGCAGCGTTCGGCCCGCCAGAAGACGCTCATATAAACCATCAAGCTCCGTGGTACAGAGTATTGACTCTAGTTGCTCACCGTTGAGGCCGTCAACTAAAGCCTCCTCCACCAATTTCATCACAATGGATATCCAGAGAAAAGTGAAATCAGAGCGTCCGATTAGCGTCTTCTCCAACTGCTGAAGGACGTCTTCCGACAGGGCGGAGCTTTGCCCCCAAGCACCAATTTTGTCTTTAGCGAAACGCGTTATATCGCGAGCAATCGCAAGGCTTTCATCCTCGGCCATAAGCCTTAGCTTATACAAAGGTTGTTGTTGTTGTTGCATCGGTGCATGTGAGATTCGAGATTCTTGTCTGCCCCACAACTGGAGTGTTTGTTGAATGGTATTGTCAGGCCGACTAAGTAGTATGACTTTGAGCTTGCTATCCATCATAGCTTGTAAAGCGGCACGATCAAAGTATGAAGCCAGAGCCTTACTCATCTGCTTCAAAGATCCCTTTTCGCATTCGTCAAATCCGTCCAATACCATGATTGTTGCATTCAGGTCAGGGTCGTTCACTGTGTCGAGGAAAATGGACCAAAGTGTTGGAAAGGCCTTGAAAGTGGACAGTGACATGGTAGTATATCGTTTCATCGCGTGCTTGATGAGGGAAGACTGGGCAGAATATATTTGGTGGAGCAGGTTAGAAACAGCTGATGCTGCGTTGTCCTGGTCATCCAAGCCCTCCTTGAAGAAAAAATGGCATATGTTGCGTGGTGCCAAGGACTCGCGAGACTGAGTCAATAGATGTTCTACGATGAACTTGGCAATCACTGATTTCCCGCACCCGGCATCCGCTGTTATCCAAAGGAGGCAGGAATCCGGCGCAGCATCCCATTGCCGCCACATTCCATGTGAAAGGACCCACTCACAGGTACCAGGCACATGGTCATCGACTTGGCCTAGGTGTCCTTGATAATCCGAGCCCAATTCTTGCAAGCAAAGTTGTTCCTGTGCAGAGGCTTCTGTTTTTGGTCAGCATACTGGAGGGGCTCGTTCTCAAAGAATCAATGGCATCTTACGCAAAACTCGATTGGCTTCATCCTGTTCGATGACCTCATATATCGCGGATATGGCTGTTTGGTATCGCGAATTCTCACGAGATGGAAATTTGCAAACCGTGGAGTGAGTAGCTACCGACGCGATGGCTAGTTCATTTGGCCAGCCAAGAGTTGCGGAGTCTTTCTCAACAACCTAGGCCCAGTCAGCTTTGCGATCATGGACTAGCAATGTGTTGGCCCTACCCTGGAGTTCAGGCCCTTCATACGGAGGGTCTCGTAGAAACTCCGGATCTTGAGTCCGGCCCCTCGGTAGACAAATGAGTCGGAGATATTCTTCAGCATGTATGCGTTGATTTTCAGATCCTTGGACAGTGTATCGTTTGTCAAGTAGCCCAACGTGCCGACTCTTACTAGGCGGGTGCCAATATGATCCCAGAATGCTAGATCGGAGCCTCTATGAGGTGTCCCAAAGAAGACTACGCCTTGGATACTATCCAAAATCTTTGAGTAGAAAGTGTCTTGTTCATAGGCTCGAACAACAAGCTTCAAAAGGTCAGAATGGAGCAAGTATATATAGTGGTAGAACACAAAGAAAATAAAGACGCCCACCTGCTTGAAGACTATACCTCCTAAAGAATGACAGAGAAACACTATCGGCCGCTGCTTCTCCTCTATAGTTGTTCTCTTGGCTTTGATTGCCGCCAGGAGCTCTGATGCAAAGTCCACCACATCTGCATCTGATCGACTGAAATACGTCTTCGAGTTGTAACCGAAAGTCATGATACGGGCAGACGGCATATCATGGCGCAGACCTTTCACGTCACTCAGCCAGTTGAACTTGGTCTCGGCATCAGTCCAAGTCTTTTCTCGGTGTCCATTTAGGCCATGAATAGCAATGATATCCACGCAGCCGACCCTCGCTGGAGGCTGGCTCACCAGCTCCCGCAAGCCCCATGCCGACTCTTTGCGGTCCTTCTCGCCCACTGTAGCGCTAGCATTGTCTGCTGTCGGCAGAGTTGTGGACTTGGACAGAGTCTCGTCACTGGCGTCATGATCATCGGACGCCTCCGGCTGAGCCCTGAGTCCCTTTATGAAGGGGAAGCGTGACAAACGTCGCATAATTAGGAGCTTTTCAAGATGTAGAGGGGCACGATAATATCAAATCCATTCGCTAAACCCTGCTGAGTTTCTTCTATGTACTTTGGCGTTCGACAGCTCGAGCGGGGTACGAAGATATGGCGCGGACGTTGGAAATGGCAAGGATTGAGCGGGGTGAGTCGATGATCCCGCTGGGTAAGCAATTGTAGCCTGTGTAACGCGTGGAAAATTCGAGCCCCAGTAGATATTGCAGTAAACGTAGCGTATTAGAACATGCGTTCCGAGACCACTATAGCGCAAATATCTGCGGCTCAATGTAGATGATTTGATCCAAGACTGGGTCTGCCGCTGATTTGCTAACACCAAACTTGTAATCTCCTCCCCTAACAATCCATCTGCGAGTTTCCTCATCAAAGCCTGAGAAGCTTTGCTTGGTGATTGGCATGTCCACCCTTACCATTTCATTCGGCTGCATAGTAACCTTTTTAAAAGCCACCAGCGTCTTGATGGGGTCAGTCGAAGGGTTACCGACTTTGCCGACGTAAATTTGCACTGCGATGCCACCAGCCCTGCTGAGAGTGTTCGTCACGTTCACAGTCGCCACAAATCCCTTGCTCGATTCCTTGACACTGAAATCTGAGAACGTGAATTCGGTGTAGCTCAGCCCAAATCCAAACGGGAAATTAATCTTGTCCCTTGGTAGGCGATCGAAATGACGGTACCCGACAAAAACACCCTCAGAGTACTCGACTGTAAGCTGACGATTTTCATCGTACTCGCCGGGAAAGTTACCAAAAGCAGGGCAATCTTCGAGTCTCTTGGAAAAGGTGCAAGGGAGGTGACCTTCGGGGTTTTGAGTGCCAGTGAGTACGTCGAAAATGGAGTTGCCGGCTTCCTGGCCAGGATACCATGTCTGCACGAGGCCTTTGATATCCTCGAGCCAAGGCATGGCCACGGGCACACCCGTCGAATTGACCACAATGGTGTTTGGATTTGCGGCCGCGATTGCGCAAACCAGACGGTCCTGGCTGCCATCCTTTGGCAGGTGAAAGGACAGCTGATCCTGTCCCTCGGTCTCCCACGAAGGCTCGTGCCCTGTAAAGACAATTGCGGTATCGGTAGCCTTGGCCAGCTTGACGGCTTCGGTGAGGAGATCCTTGTCGTGTTCGCTAGCCAGCATATGGCCGACCCGAACACCAATCTTGCCCTCGAGAATGCCAAGGTCGACACCGGGTATCTTTACTGGAGGCTTGGTGTGTATACGGATTCGATATTGTTGGCCAGCTATGAGCTCGACTACGGATTCAACCGCGGGTACGCCACCAAAAATAAAGGCCATGCCGTCGTTGCAGTTCTCAGTCTGTTCAAAGACGATCCTGTCATCGATGGCCAGAGTGCTGGGGCCGAGTCCCGAGCAGGTCAGGTAGCAAGGCCCGGTTTCCGTGGCGGTATAGGTAGCCTCGAGGATCACCTCCATGTTGGGTATGTGCTGACTGTCGAGGGCATCTACCTCGGAGAGCTTGTGACCATGTACCACCTGGACTGGCTCAGTCGTGCCGGGATGGTATAGTCTCCAGGTAAAGCCGCTTCCGCCCTGATTGTCGGTGATGTTCTCGGTAATGGGCGGCAGGTTACGCATGGTATGAGCGCCTTGCGTCCATTATTAGCCAGGAAGAAATTAGTCATGAGAAGGAATAGACTACTGACCTTTTGCAAATGAGAACTCGACAACGTCACCAAGTTCCCTCTGAAAAGCATCCCAAGGAGTCACCCGATAATGCGCATTTACAGATGCACTTCCGCCACCATGAGCCAAGCCCATCTTGGCGTATCCCAAGAGGGCGACCTTTTTGCCCAGTAACTTTTCCTTGGTCAAAGGCAGGGTGTTATCCTTATTCTTGAGCAGAACAATTCCTTTTGATGCTGCTTCTCTGATAAGGGCTCGATCTTCTGCTCGATCAATAGACTTTTCCTCTGCAATGGTAGAATCTTCAAAGCATCCCAGGCGCTTGGCAAAGTCCAAGACATGGAGAGCCCGGTCGTTGATGACCTGCTCCGACAGTGCACCCAATTCCAACGCCTCCATCACCACTTCCGGCTGTCTCCATCGGGTAGGGCCTGGCATCTCTAGGTCTAAGCCAGCAATGAGTGCAGCAGCGGTCGAATTGGTGCCGCCCCAGTCGCTCATGACCAGTCCATCCCAGCCCCATTCGCCCCTGAGCACCTGCTTCAACAACAAGGCATTGGAGTCTGCATGTTCTCCATTGACGAGATTGTAGGAGGTCATGACTGCCCAAGGGTTTGCCTCTTTGATTGCCATCTCGAACGGGCGCAGATATATCTCACGCAGTGCGCGCTCGCTCACTATCGTATCGACAGTGAGGCGACACGTCTCCTGCTCATTGGCAACAAAATGTTTGACCGTTGCCGACACACCCTGGCTCTGTATGCCCTTTACCATGGCAATAGCCATTTTTCCAGTCAAGAAGGCATCTTCGGAAAAGCTCTCGAAATTGCGCCCGCCCAGAGGGTGCCGCTGTATACACATGGTAGGGCCCAGGAGACAGCGGGCGCCCTTGGACTTGGTCTCGTTCGCGAGCGCCCTCCCTACGCGCAGAGCTAGCTCGGGCTCAAATGTCGCCGCGATGCAGCATGCCGCCGGAAAGCAAGCAGAGGTCAAGCCGTCGCCAAACTTGGCGCCCCGCGCGCCATTGGGGCCATCAGACGTCTTGAACGCGGGCACGCCCTTGGCGGGAATGGCGACAGACTCCCATATATTGGCGCCGGCAAGAAGTGAAATCTAGGATAGGGCATTGTCAGTTGGAAATCTTTCTAATGCAAGAAATAATGAGACTAGGATTTCGTTTTTACCTTTTCTTCGATAGTGAGCTTATCGAGGATGGCCTTGGTGTCCACTCCTCCCTCCATGCTTGTAGGTCTTTGTCTGCGTGTGGTGAGATCTGCTTTATGAAGTGTCCAAGTAGTCTCGAAAACACTGCCTTCCACGCCGGGCCGGCTTCTATATGTTACATCTCGTATTTATGATGCCGCCTGAAATACAGTGGGCCCCCATTCGTGACGAATAGGCTCGTGTCCGTGCTGAGTAGGTCAGATGTATCTCCGACACCTAATCCGATAGCTCCTCAGCAACTCCTTCGTCCGACAGCCATCGGGTTACCGATAGTCGTCCTCCCGAATTTCCTGATTTGGTGAAATGGTTAGGCTGTCGCTTGCAGGGCGGGGGCTAGTCATAATTGAACATGTCCAAATTGGGAGTTTACCCCATGTTTCTAGTCTGGGGAAATATACATTGAATATAGTATAGTGTGGGGTGGGTGGAAACGTGGTATATGATAAGCTATCTATTTATCTTACCCCGGAGTGACGGAGTTCACCATGGCTTGGGTTCTTACTCCAGTCTTTCCGCTTTACTTCAGCCTAGATTAGCATCCAGGGATGAAGATAAGTGAGCTTCCCTGGGATAGACGATATACCACCTGACTGCACCTAGCGTCAGCCTTTCACTAGGACTACAATTCCAATTTAATCTAGAAATTCAACTCAAAACAGAACAATACTGGACTTTGAACGGCTTTTCGGATTCATTCCAAGGCAACAAGATCAGTCGTCATGACCGTCCGCGAAACCTTTTCCAAGTTTCCATCTTGGATCCCACAGAAATCATGGGTTGTCATACTGATGCTCATGTGTACTGCTTTTAATACAGGCACGGTGAGATTCCCTCAACAGATCTGTTTTCTTAGGGATCTTGAGTTGTGTGACTTACTGAAGACACGGTCAGGTCCTTGGGTACGATGCATCCATGATGAACGCCTTGAATATTCTACCTCAATACACAGAATACTTTAACTTAACTCCCGCCACGACCGGGCTGAACTCGGGTATCATCTGGATTGGTGCTACTCTTGGGAGTGCAGTAATTGCCAAACTTCCGGATCACATTGGGCGAAGACCATCGGCCTTTTACTCGGGCCTTATCGCCATGGTCGGAGGGTATGTGAAGATTATGTTCAACTGTGATTTCTTTTGTTCATCTTTCGCCGACGCTTGTCGCTTATCCACAAAATTGCCAATACCTAACCGTTATTCAGTATCCTTACAGCTGCTTCTCAGAATACGGCCATGTTCTTGGTTTCCAGATTTATCCTTGGTCTAGGTATCGGATGTTCTTATGTGGTGACCCCGGTCTACATATCCGAAACACTTCCTCTCGATAAACGTGCCCTCGGCCTGGGACTGATCAATGATGTGTACTATGTTGGCGGCCTGGTATCAGCCGGCATCACGTATGGCACTTCATATCTGAACTCGACCTGGGCTTGGAGATTGCCAGCCATATTCCAGATTGTCTTTACCCTCATTTCTCTTTTGGCACTCCCTTTCGCCCCCGAATCCCCTCGCTTCTTGGTTTACCAGGGTCGCAAAGACGAGGCACTTCTCGCTCTTGCTCAGATTTCATCCAACGGTGACACGTCTGATGCTGCGGTGAAGCTTCAATTCATCCAAGTCTGCGAATCGCTCGATTACGAAAAGGAAGCGGATCAGACCGTAGGCGTCAAGGAGCTGTGGACAAACAAGTCTTATCGAAAGAGGCTGTTCATTGCCTTTACCGTTGCCGTCTTCAGCATGATGACGGGGAGCAACATCTTCTCCTATTACCTCGGCACGGCGCTGACGAATGCTGGATTTACAGACTCTACGATTCAGCTAGAGGTCAATATTATTTTGAACGCCTTTTGTCTCGTCATCTGCTTAATCGGCACTTGCATGGCGGACCGTCTTGGCCGTAAAACCTTGGCCCTCATCTCCACTGGCCTTTGCACCATTACTCTATTCATCATTGGAGCCTTGACAAAGTTTTACGGCACCAGCTCCAACAAGAGCGCCATTTACGCCAATATCGCCATGATGTTCTTGGCCCAAGGCTTTTACAGCTTTGGCTGGACTCCCATTCTGCAAATGTATGCGCCCGAGCTGATGAACTACCAGCTCAGAAGCATTGGCGTGTCTTGGTGCATCACCTGGCAGAATGCCATCATCCTCGTTCCAATCTTTGCATTCCCGATTGCCATGGCCAACGTGAGTCACCTCAAGCTGACAAGATATTTCCCCCAAGTATTGGTTCACATTCTGACCCGGGTTCCAGATCGGCTGGGTTACCTATATTATGAACGGTGGTTGGAACATTTTCCAAATAGTCGTTATAGTAAGTTCTTGAGATACCCTACCAAAAGCAGCCTTCGATCCTTATTCCACAACCTGGCTTTGCTAATCATTGTATCAAGGCAATCTATTGGGTAGAGACCAAGGGGCTATCCCTGGAGGAAATATCTGCTCTTTTCGACGGCGAGGTGCACTCGCAAGTCACCAATGTCAAGGACATAATCAATGGCGTCTCCGCGGGTATCGATGACGAGAAAGTTGTGGCGCAGGTGCAAGCCGAAATCTTGAAGGATTAGACGACGCCTCACTGAGAGAAGACAAGATTGTGAAAAGTCGTGGGCTAATTATAGCGCTTCACACGGGATCAGTTTGCTGCCATATTGTCAGCCGTCTCAATTGGCTAAACCACGAACGCTGATGAATCGTTCTCTTTTTCTTTCTTTTGGCGTTGATTACATTGTGTAACTGCAACAGCAAGATAAAAGCTGTTATTTTCAACCCACTTGAGCTATACCTTTCCATTCCAACCAATCCTCTGCCCGCGCCCCTTTGCTAGAAACAAAAAGACCGACGGCAATCCGGAGGGTACCCAATCCGTGCCTGTCAACAAAGATGGAGGCACCACATGTGGCACAGAATGCTCTCTCTTCGCCTGACACATGCTGGTACTTTTTAATGGTTCCGAATGAGAAGTTTTCCGGGCAAGGAGTGCACCCCTCTCTGTCCAGACTCATGTTTTGAATGGGAATCTGTGCCAAGCCTACGACGCGGGAGTCCATGCCGCTGCTTAGACGGCATGACTCGCAGTCGCAGATAGTTGCAGCATACTTGGAGGGAGTCGATAGACGGGTAATCCAGAATTCAACACCGCGGCATTTACAATGCGCGTGGAGCGTCCCATCTGGCGGCGATGGCGTAGCCTGGCCAGTGTGAGATGACCAGTCGAGTGGCAGGTGCTGGCCGTCTTCAGGACGCTGAGCCCAGCGCTCTATTTGCCTGCCGTTGTCAAACGATAGAAACTTGGCAATGCCTCCATCAATCGTGTCGGCGATGAACTCATGACATGGTTGGTAAGCCAAGAGCATGTTTTGTATCGTACCACACATGAAGAACCATAATTCTTCAAAGTCTTTCCTCCCTTGTCTGGGCAGGACTCGAGCCACCATATGGGTGCCGCATATTGAACAAAAATAGTGAGTAATTCGGTTCTTGGAGAATTCAAATGGCGTCAGGCGGTCGAGCAAGCCTGTTTGTGGAGGGACATTTGGAGGCAGAGCAATGCTAGTAACAGACAGGCACCCGCTCATGTGCCGGCATGAGTCGCAATGGCAAAAGACGGCTGGCACAGGAGATGAAGTATCCGGCATGGTGACATTATGCTGGGCCGCGCCACATTGACAGGTTGCCGTAATTGATTGGGATGTGGAGGGCATTGTTGATTAAACCGCGTGCAGAAAGAGGGAATACTGCTGGCGCTGGCCAATTTGCTGATCATCAGACGTTCTGGGACACAAGTGCTGTCTTGGTGATTCTTAGACTGCGGAACTCGCCCAACCGGTAGAAAGCTAGCGCTGTGTTCTGGGCAGTTCATCCCACTTTTAGTGCCCGGGCTTTTAGGCTGTCCAGAATGTAGGACACTACAGGTAGGCTTTGATTTATACTCCGAATTATTTAGTTCAGGGCAAAGCTACGGAATACCATTCGTTAAGCTATCCTCCGGATACTTATAAATATAAAGTCTACGTATTACAGAAATCGAGGCGGGGCATTCGAGCTCCAGCTATTACGGGATATTCTACATGGCAGCAGCCTGGGCGCTGCGCGTGGTTTAACTGGAAACTACAAGAAGAATTGCAGGGTTTGGTTGGCGCAAAATAGAGGATTAGCGTTATGGTCGCGCGAGCTCGTGCGGCTACTTACCATTCAGAGGGCCTTTAGGCAGGTTGTAGTATCACTTTGATGCTGAACTCACTAACAATAACATTAATGATTTGAATGTTTCAATTGCAGGATACTGTAAGTCTCGACCATATTGCGTTTGCTATATCTTTGCTTACGAAAGAAGCCATTCTGTCGAGCTTCATCGTTGAACCCATCAGAGTAAACTCTGCAGGTATATTGCTGCAAAACAAGTGAGGCTAAGATTCTGTGCCTCGGTATGAGGATGCTTCAATGGTTTCGACCAAACAATACGTCGCAGGTACTATGTCAACCGCCGGCTCGTGACGTACCGCGACGCTATCATTTTTAGAGTCTGGCGCAGTAAACTTTGAAGCTCCTATTATGGTCGGCTGGCATGCATTATAAGCTGCCAAGGGAGTTTCTAATTTCTGGAGTTAATGGGCTAATGGAATGGTACATATACTGGAATAACAGGTGCAATTGTCACATATATCAATTTACACAAAGACAGAGGGTTCGTGTATTGATAGTCGCTTTACTCAAGGTCTATCTGTTATCCCGTCGTCAACTTTTTCAGTTGGCTGTACCACGAATGCTGATCCATCGTCCTCCATGTTTAGATGAAAATTGTCACCAAGTCCTTCTTTACTCAATATCTGGCGAATTATCTCCCCCTGGTCTTGCTCTTCATCTAAACCAAACGTAGCTCCTTTGGCGAATGTCTGGTGTGACCAGGTACGATCGAGTAGTCCCTTTGAAATCTTGGCCAGCCTCACTGCCCAGACGAAATCGCTCACTCGCTTTGCTGTGGAAGATATCGATGTTTCATTCTTTTTACCAAGGTCTGATCCAAGTTCGACAATGGCGGGGAGCTCCCTTCCGACTTGTCAGCGACTTTTCTCCGACACTGATCGAGGTCACTTACACTCCTGGTCCACCATGTACCTCGACACCATCTGTCGCTGAGCTCTTGACCTCTGCTCCTCTGGCAATGATCAATCCTGTAATCATAAAGACCGACGGCGTAATAATGTGCTTATGCTTCTGCAGGTAGGATGCGACCTGGTCATCTTCTAAACAGTCCTCCACGTATTCATTTACTGGTTGAATAATGTACGTGTCCAGGGACTCGAATTCCCAGAAATTCTGTACAGAGTGCTGAAAAGCGACACCAGCATCGGCCTTTATCGTAATGCCAGCTGCCGCAGCTATGGGGACGCCGGCACTGACTGATGCGTTCCATTCTCGACCCTGGTTAATGTTCCACGTCAGATCCCAACTCTTGGTCGGATATATTGGCATATCAGACGGTAATTCTAGCGGGCCATTTTTGGTGTTGATAACATTGTCCAGGCGTTGAAGATCGGGGATGATGTGCCCAAGGCGCAGTGGCCCCCCTGTCTGTTTAGATCCGCTCTTTGTAAACGTTGGCGGCGGGTAGTGGTGATGCCGCAGAACAAACCAGCACTTGGACGTCATGGCCGAGCAATTTTTTATTTTTTTATTTTTTAAATTCTTTTAACCCAAAAGAAGCTGTTGCAAATTATACAAAGAATGACCGTCAGCTTACCTGTGAATGACACGAGGCTGTCTCAAACGAGACTAAAGAGGGGTTTATCGGTCATGCATCACAATTGGGTATCAAGCCGAGGAATCTCCACCAACGAAATGTAAGCACCGCTGCAGATCTACTGAACGGCTTGAACATGTCAAGTCTCTATCGCAGAATTCTGCATGGATTCAAGCTTGCAGAGAGCCATCATTTCGGATCTCAAAGGCGATTATCGTGACGACAAAATACAGTTGCGCGAGCTTTTGGTCAGTGCATAGTATTCAATTTGTCCCGATGGCCGGCCGACGCTGATCGGAAACTCATACTGCGTCGGTCGCGTCCGGCTTCATTTCTAGGTGGCAATGTCCGGCGGGACGATTCGGGAGCGGGCTGCAGCCTGCCAACAACTGTTTGCACAATGCCTGTCTCTGACACACGGCGAACACATGGCCTGGTTCGAGATGCGCCGCGGCGAGTTCAACATCTGGGCTTTTGGTCTGCAGGCTCTAAGTTCTGGCAAGTCATCGCTCGACTATCGTGTGAGGAACCGAAGTGATGTCAGCGGGATCATAGTCGCTTTGCTGGGCGGCTTGTCGGAAGATCTCGAAGATTGCATTAGTATAGGTAAGAGTCCATGAAGTAACCATGAACATGGAATTTTATGAGTTAACCTGAGATCAAGACAGGAAGCTCTCATCAGAAGCTACTGGCGATGTCGCCTCGTCAGAACTCGACGAACAAGGCGGCGAAGACTTTGATTTCGCCGGCTTTTCCGATGATGAAGCAAGCTCTGAATCTAGTGCCTCGACATCAGAAGGTGGACCGTTTTCTCTACAAATGTACAATATCAGGACGATTATTGCCCAGCTGACGCGGTTCTCATCCATGATTCGGAGATCGGGAACAAAGTTCCGCTTCAAACGAGCAGACGCAGCCCTTGCTCTCAGGGAGTCGGAATTCAACGAGTTTAAGGAGCAATTGACGAACATGGTCATGATTAGAAGCATCAAATTTGATGTTGGAGACCCGACGAGTTTCGAGGTATTTCAAGATAAGATGAATACTGATCTACTCACACCAGTGCAAAAGCGTCTTATCCATGGCAACGTCCTCAGGAGGAATAGGATTGTAGAGGCCACAAAGGACATGCGACCAATCGAACCCCAGGCCAAGGGCGGGCTGGAGGATCCAATGCACGATTCGACGTTCATGCCAGAAATCAAAATGCCAATTCCAACACCGATGCCGCATGTCAAAGCAGAGCCGTCAAAAGCAGGCGGTACAGTCAAGTCTAGCGCTCAGTCCAGAGTCGGCAGTATCGCAAGAAGCGCGACCGAGATTGGGTCTCAACTGGGCTTGCAACTGGCGCCGCCCAAAGCAGCCCCTTCAGTCATGACCAAAATGACCAAGATTGGCATCAGCCAAGACTATCCTAAATGCCCAAAGCCAATCTCGGATGATTTCATACAGTGTCCTTACTGTGCCGATGTACTCCCCACTGAATACAGGAGCCACAGCTCGAGATGGAGGTAACCTACCATGATCCCCAAGATCAAATACGGTTTTCAGAAACTAATCCGTGGATCAGAGGTCATGTGGCTCATGATATCCTGCCTTATATGTGCTTTTACGAAGAGTGCCCATTGGCGGATGAAATGTACTTGACCTCGGAGGAACTGATCAGTCACGTTCGAGAATATCACGCAACAACAATGTGGACATGCAATTTCTGCCTCCCCACATCCAGCGAGACCAAGTTATGCGTTTTTGGGTCATCAGTCCAATGGCAAGAACACATGCAACAGGCTCATGGAGGCATCGTACCTGTGCAACAACTCTCGTCTTTGGCTCGCGTCAGCGAACGCCAGGTCATCCAGGCCACGTCCTGCCCCCTGTGCGCGCATACGCCCGTGGGGATACAGACTACAGTTGATCAGCACATTCTTCAGCATTTACATGAATTCGCCCTCTGGAGCCTACCACCAGGAGTCAATCGTGATACGGAAGGCTCGATTTCGAATAGTTCAGTTGGTGGCTTGAGTATCAATACTGACTTGGACGATTCGGATGAGAAAGAGCCGTATATTGAAATCAATTTACTTCCAGAGGGCATCAACACGCTGATAAAGCACTTGCATTCCCTTGCCAGGACGAAGGGAGGCGACTCTGGTCTTCCTGTCGATCTCACGCGCTGCTTCAGTCTTCTAGATTCCTTCGCCTCTATGAATGATCGGGAATGGGATCAATTGCAAGTAATATATCCGCATGCGCTTGCACGGCTACAAATGATGGTTCAAGGAGGGAGTTTTGCTTTTCCGTCACTTCCATCGATGTACCTACCTGGCGAGAGCCTCGTGATTGACGTTCTTGACCCGCTTCAAATCGAGCTCGAAGTCTTGAATGATATCCGTTCAGAGAATACCCCCACGTTAGATGAGCTGCGTAAGTCAAGGAGGCCCTTGTGTTAGGTTTGTGCAACAATGGACGACTAATGTTATTATAGCCATTAAGCCGAAGCTCGACTTGACCGTTCCACGATGGCCTCACCTGGAACCGAGATACAGCACACCCTTTTTCAAGGCTCTTGAAACTTTCGTATTTGGAAGACAGAACGGATTCCTGGCTCTTCTAGATATTCCAATGTTTTCAGCACGTCCACTTTTTTCTGAATTCGCTTTGCGCTTCAGGCCTCCTGGCTCACGGATATTCTTTATAGATCTTGATGGGGCTGATTTCAACCGGGTGATGGGAATCGGCGACCTGGATAAAGCATTTCGACAGATGGCCTCGCAGCTCCTGGACACGCCGGACTTTTTGGACGTTCTCGTGCAGGCTGGCCGCGGCAGTGGCCTTGTTGAGGCCATGCTCCGGGTAGCCAACAGCAGAGCCAAAGAGCAGTGGGTAGTCATCATCCACAACATTCTCATGCCCCTGGGTGAGTTCTTGCGCCGAGATACAGCCAAAGATGACTGCATACAAATGCCGAGAATATCACACCAGGGGTCGGTCATCATCACTAGCTTTCAGAAGCACCCGCAGTCGCCGCTTCCTGAGCCGCTGGATGTGCACAGAATCTTCTACCGCCGCCCCGGGCTTAGTTTCTATCGAACTGATGATGTCAACTATGCAAAAAGACATCGAATTGATACCCCGAGTGCTGTTCCTGCATCTCTGGCTTCGGACAACCTTCTTAGCCAGACCAATAACAGCACCATCAGTCGCGATAAAAGCAGCGATGAAGACAGATATCGAGATGCTGTCGCAAGTGCTTCTTCTGCACGTCTGACTTTTAGACCAAAAGATGACAAGAGCAATCGGCCACAAGCACCTCAATCTCGTGATGATACTTCGCCCATCCCACCCAATGGTGCAGCGGGCTATGACGACAACCCGACATAAAATGGCATCCCACCATATGTTATATAAACCGGATACTCCTCTGACAACGACGGATACGGCGACGTATACGGTATATAGACTGCTGCAGAATCAAGGCTATAGTCGCTTGACGGGCCTACCAAGACTTAGGGTCCCCTTGCGCAGGAGACCGGGGTACTGAATACCCCGATGGGGCATGTCAGCACGTGAGGCTGCGGCGGACTGGCATATCAGGCGCAAGACGGTGTAAAAAGGTTCGGGATATCCTGCACTGATATAATCATATTTCTATTCAAACATGACCTATCAAGGTAGCAAGCCCAGAAGCAAAGCATGAATATGACACCGGAAAATAGCGAGGTCCATGGTGTGGTGTTGATAGGTACAATCAATCAATACAGATTATCGAGTGCTCTTGAAATTGTTTCGCCAATGTAATCTCGCCGCTTGTGTCTTCGCCTCGTTGGCTCGGGCTCAGATATGTTGGGTAAAATCTTCCAAGGAGTCATACAGTGATACCTGTTATCGACGGCCATGACCATTGCTGAAAATACCGCCGACATTCCCTCGACCGTCTCCATGCGGTCCCGGTGACGTATCTGCTCACGAATGCCCCGTTGCCGAGAAAAGTCTAAAAGACGAGCGGCTAGTGCTCCCGCGATAATGGTCGAGAACGATGTACCCGAGAGCGAGGGCTCGTTGGGGTGGAGAACTATATTCTCTCCCAGAATCGCAAAGCTGTGTCGTGCAGTCGCCAAAGGTGATGGGTTGAGACTCTGTAGGCATCGCACGTTTGCGTCCGTGGAGAACATGCAGAACAATTTGCCGTGAGTGTAAAGCCGGCCAGGGAATGCTATTTCCGTGCTGTTACCGTAATTTGAAGCTGCTGCGAACACAAGGACGCGGCAATGGTTGGCCTTTTCAATCGCCCCCATGATTTCTTGATGATGTGACCGGAACCCAGAAGGCATGACGATAACGTCTGCATTCCACACATCTGTAGCATGATGTATAGCCTAGTCAATCTTTAGCATCTTGGGTTGATCACCGGAGGCGCATCAACTTACCTGAGCCATAAGAGCCTCTGTATCATTGGAAGCCTGGGAGGTCTCAAATACCCGAGCAACATATATTTCAGCCATGTTATAAACCTTCTTGGTCAGACGGACTGCATTCGTTCCGTGGCCCACGTTATCCCTCCACATTTGGTCATCATTGCCTACAAAGTCTTTGTAGTCCTTGACCATCCCATCAGAGTCATACAAGTCCTCGTGCACGCCAGTGTCAAGAATTGCGACTCGCGATTTGCGCCATAATGCATCTGTCTCCTGCCGTCTTGCTCGGAGTACCGAGTTCAGATCGTCTAGTTGCTCAAACCATACATCAGAAGAAAGACCAGAAGTACTTTGAACCCCATGTCAGCTTCCTTTTTACTGATTTGGAGAAGATCCGACTTACTGCTCAGATATGGTTCCTCGAACTTGAGAATGAGGCGATTGAGATGGCGTATGACTAAAGACAACCCGTCAATTAATTGACTCTGGTAATGCATTTCCTTCTCTTACCTTCCTGACAAATGTTGCAAGTAGGGTCTGGGCTGTGGACCGTTCTCCCAAGTTGCAAAATGTGAGCTAGATATTTGTACCGGTATTTCTGGAGGGGGAGATGGGAGATGACAATGTTGGCTGACGTCCTTGTCGTCAGATGTCGGTACGGAGATTGGGCGTACGTCTGATTTGTCTGGATCCTCCCATGCAACCATGTACAACTGTTCAATGGGATCAACGATGAGCTTCATTAGTGCCTCGCGAAGTGATGCAACATCATTCTGGTATTCGTTAAATCGGTCTGGTTTCAGGCAGGTCTCGATTGCTTCCACCAAGGGCTTAAAGACTGCGGAGTTCTGTTTCAACACATCTTTGAAAGTATCGGAAGCCGTGAGTAAATTAGTATTCACTGTTGGAAGACCGTCGATGCCGTTGTGATCTGCTGTACGCCTCTCCTCCAAACTAATGCCAAGTTCAATCTCGATCAACATGATACCAAGAGCGAGGATCTTGGGGAACGAATGAATTCTCGCCTCGTCTTCGCTGTCCGGGCAAGTCGGTTTTCCGAATTGTGCTGAAAGAAAGGGCTCATTGATCAGCAGACCCTTTGGAATAGTCGATAATTTTTCGAACATGAAGTGTACAGTGTCCTTTGTCCACTCTTTTTGCATCCAGTCGGTGCCATAGAACTGCCAGAATGCTTTGGCAATGGTATATGATAGCAAAAGTCTCATTTTAGGATCAAGTCTAGTCACTTGTAGCAGCTCAGCAAGAGAGATGCTGGACGACCGGAGCAGAAGGCTTTGTGAAGGAAGGCCATGCCCATCAAGTACGAGACCCTTTTCAGATACAGTGAGCATCAATTGAGACTGGGCACGTCTCGTGATGAGTTGGCAAAATGCATCTGAAGATATCAACTGTCCATGCTTGGATTGGCTCGTGGAAGCTAAAATGGCGTCCCGAAACTTGACGCCCCTGACCGCAATGTTAGCATGGGACAATTGTATAGAGTGGTTTTGGTGCATGAACTCGCGAACCTTCGCTGAACGACGCAGATTCTGGCATCCTGCCATTGGCAACGGGGATCACTTGTGCGACTATGTGGGTGATCTAGGAACAACAATTTGAAATTAATGCTGTTTTCAATCTCGCCTGGTGTGCAACATTTGTTTAGACGCAGATTGGCTGTAATTGTATTGCTTTCATGGCACAAGCAGTGAGACGAGAGGGCAGCATAGAGAGATCGTATATGTGACTGAAAATCGTCCCGCACCGTGTTTGTCTGTTCTGGTAATGTCACGTTGGAGAGCTCGAGAGTAGGGATGGTCGCAATGGTTTTAAGGAACCTCTCGACAGACTTGGTCAATTTTTTTCGTAGTTCTGTCGTCCTCGGGTCGGTCGCGAAACTCTTGAGCACCGTGATTCCTAGAGCCTTTCGCGACAGAACCTTGATAATGTTTGGGTAGTGTTTGCGATCGAAAAGGTCGCCGGAATTCGCAGGTTTAGTCGTCGAACGAGGCCACTAGTTTGCGCTAACATGAGTCGAAGCCGCCCGCTAGTTATAGTGATTGTAGGCAATAATGATCATACCTGATATAATTTCTCGATGATTTCCAGATACTGCGATACTCCTCGGCTAGTTTGCTTTGGGCGTGTCTCTGGTGAATCCAAGAGTTGTTGCAGATTCTGTTGAACGTGGAAGGCCAACCCAGCAAGCTGACTGGGGAAGGAACCCCTCACACTTTCGTCGGCCGCGACAGCAGAAGCATGCGCTTGGAGCTGCGTCGTCACCTCGATGGCGAATTTCACCTGGGCCGCATCCTGGCGATGAGCCATGGTTGCTCCAGCTCTTTCAACAGTGTGAACCATGCAGACAGAGTTCTTGGCATCACTTACTGAAGCATCGCGGTTTTGGCGCAATGTAGGTAAGCCGGTAAGTTTTATTTCTTGTCACCACATATTACCCCTCACAAGGCTTAGCCGCCGCGAATTAGTGAGTCCCTGCCATTAACACTGCCTAAAGCGGTTTAAAACTCAAGCTTGAAGGGGCCGGGAAGAAATATGCTGGGCACAAATGAAACAGTACATGTCATCGACCCCGTCGTAACATACAAGTCATAATACAATACAAAATGATACAAAGTTGACTCTTCTACCAATCCACCATCCTACTCCGAATTCAATGCCACGCTCTTTCCAGCAGCGGCGGCAATGGTAGGGATCGGGAAATCCCATCCTAGTTCGCCGCCAAACACGCGGGCATCGGTGCAAGCGGACGCATCCTCGGGGAGGAAGTCGAGCACGCGGCCACGGCGCATGATTGTGCCGAGGACCTTCTTGCTCGCAAACATTTCAAAGTTGGGTATAAGGAGCGGAACGACGTGCTCGAGGAGCCAGTAGACGGCCGCCGCCAACCACTGACGCGGGCGCGCACTCTGCCTTGTCACCTTGGCGCTGTTGGCGGCAACGTTGGCAATGTTGTCGTCGATCTGGCGCGCCTTTTGGTAACGCGCAAAGATGTCGTCGAGGGCCTCGGCCGAGAGTGCCGATGGCGACCGCTTCTGTACCACTTCGGCGTGCAGCAGCGATGTCAAAACGGCCACATCGTTGACGCCCGAGTTGTAACCCCAGCCAAAGTTGGGCGTGAATCTGTGGACAGCGTCACCAGCGAGGACGACGCGTCCACCCGCCGCCGGCGCCAGACGCCAGTGCGGCAGGACGCCCTCGAGCTGGTCAGCCATGCCACAAGCCGTCCGCGTGGGCCAGACCTTGCCAAACACGAGCTCGGGCGTAACGTGCATGCCGGCAAAGCGTGCGGCAAACTGTTCCTGATCCGCCTCGGCATAGTCGCGGCGCGCATTATCCGTGGGTGTCTCTAGCTGCTCATACAAGAAGAACCAACTCTGGTCGTGTGCCGTCATGAACATGAGACTGCGCACCGAGCCGTGGGCCTCAAAGCTGGACTTTGGCGGGCATGCCGCGGGGCGGGGGCAGGTGCCCCATAGGCAGCGGTACTCGGCTCGGTACGGCCGCTCCGGGTTAATGAGGGCCTTTTCGGCACCGGCATTCAATGCCAGCGTCCGCATCATGCCGCGTGTCTTGCTGTGGACGCCGTCGACACCGAGCACCATGGTTCCACGCTCTACGGTACCATCCTCGCAGCGAACCGTGACGCCCGACGCATCAGGTGCAATCTCGCACACCTTCTTACCCGTCAAGATGCAGGCAGCTCGCGTGTCTGACGGAAGAGCATCATAAAGCACCCGAACGAGTTCGCGCCGGTGAAAGTTCCACGGCGGCGTGCCAAACAACCTGCGGTGGAAGAGGGCAGGCGAGCCAGTGCGATAGACGCGACCGGCGTGCGTGAGGATGGTCCGTGACTCAATGGGCGCACTTTGGGCCTCCATGGCGGTATACAGCCCGAGCTGATGCCACACGCGGTGCGTCGAAGCATAGGACAGCAGACTGGCGCCCTCCTCGGGGATACACGTATCGCGCGCCTCGAGCATGACAAAGTCAATGCCCGCCCGGTACAGCGCGTGCGCCGCCGTCAGGCTGACCGGGCCACCACCCACAATGACGACGCGAAACTTCTCCTCCGCCATTGATGATGGTATCGCCTCCATCGTTTCTTAGTCTCTTTCCTGCCCAATGACGACGTCGAGAATTCAATAGCCAGCTGACCTGAGAAGAAAAATCAATCCGTATCCACCGTCGGCTGTGTTCATGCGATGCCTTGACTAAACTCTGGACGTCGGTGAGGTCAGCCTCAGACACCGCCGTTTCACAATCCCGGGTGGTGGTTTTTTTGGTTCTTGTGCCAGTAAGGAAGAGGCAAGGAGAAGAAGATGGAAAATTCCATATAAGACCCGTAATAGGAAATGTTCCTGACCTTCGTTGCCCCCCTTATTAATGGAGACAATCAGACAATAGTGTCGGTACCTGACCCGCCCAGGGTCTTTCTTAGTGTTTCGCTTGATTTTCTTCAGCAAGGACAAGGGTCGAAATGAGCCCCATTGCCTACTGAAAGTCCAGGTCCATGGCGCTTTATTATTCTCCGTGATAACGGAGAGTAGTTGTCAAGCGCCCGTGGCGATCGCACTATGGGGTGGGAATTGCCGATCAGGTCGAGCCAGTCTGCTGCGATGAATAGTAATCATGGGCAAGTTTTCCTCATCTTCAGATATGATTGATTATGGAGACTGACGATTTTCACATTTGATCAAAAGAAGAAATATCGAGGAGGCCACGAGGCCGATTCCATTAGTCTAAAGTTATGTGGATATGCTGAACTAAGTACTATATTTATGTATTATGTAGAAGTGGAATAAGACAACATCAGATCATCGCTAATGAGACAGGCAGGGGGGTGGCGAGGCAGACAAGACTAGTCTTACGACGAGTACTCGGCGACAATGACCTCGCTGACCTTCTCAACGAGCTGGTGGATCCACATCATGGGGAAGTAACCCGGCAGCTTGTTGCAGGCACTCAGGTCAGAAACACGGAGACCGTCAATGCCGCGGACGCGCAGGTCACCGTCGAGGACGGCCATGGGGTCGCCGTCAGCACCGATGGGGGCCGAGCAGGAGGCGTGGTGACCCCAGGACTCGTCCTTGATGAACTGGTCGAGGTCGTCGCCAGTGACATCGGCACCGGGCCACACCTCGGTAAAGGCACCCTCAAGGATCTCATCGAGACCGGTAAGGAGCGAGCCGTCGGAGCCAGACAGGATACCGCCAATGGGAATGACGTCGTTCATGATGCCACGGGCATAGTCGTAAGCCTCACGGATGGCAGTCAGATCCAGGGCAGCCTCGGTGTCGTTGTAGAACTTGCGGAAGTTGATGACGGGCATGTCACGGGGGTCAGTGGAGGCCAGCTCGACGGTACCGTAGTTGTTGCGCTGGTGGGACTTGAGAATGATCCAGGCCCAGTGCTGAGCGTCGGCCGTGCAGCCCTGCGACCATCCAGAGTAGTAACCGGTGAAGTTGGCGGGTCCTCCGAGCACCATGATGTCGGGCTCACCGCGGGCAGAGGTGGTCGAGTTGCGAATGACAGCGACAGCAATACCGTTGGAAGCGTAGGCGCCACGAGAGACCTGGTCGTTACCGTCGACGAAAGTCTTCATGCAAGGGTCCAGCTCGGGGTCGGGGTGCCAGGTGCACTTCTCAGTCAGAGCAAAGGGAGTCTCGGTCTTGGAGACCATGGTCTGCTCGTAACGGTCCTGCAGGTTGGTACCGACACCGGGGAGGTCAAGGACAACGTCAATGCCGAGGTTCTCCAGCTCAGCCTTGGGGCCGACACCAGAGAGCTTGAGGATCTGGGGAGTGTTGTAGGCACCGCCGGCGACGATGACCTCCTTGGTGACGCTCACGTGGCCCTCACCGGTGGGCTGGGCACCGCCGCTGCGGGGGTCAGCACGGTAGAGAGCCTGGCCGGACATGTAGTCAACACCGGTAGCGCGGGGCTTGTCGCCAGTGGTGTCAAAGGTGACCTTGGTGGCGAGGGTGTCCAGCATGATGTCGAGGTAGTACTTGCGGGAGCCATCGTCGTTGGTGGCCATGGCGGTGTTGACAATCAAGTCGTAGACACCACCACGGTGCGAGTCCTCGCGCATGACCAGGGGTACCTGGTAGACCTGAGGAACCATGGTCTGGCCGGGGGCGTTGATGTCGCTGATGAGGACACGGGCGAGGTAGGTGGCGGCATCGACAACCTCATCGAGGATGGTCTGGCCGAAAGCAGTGGCGGCACCGAGCAGGACGGACACGATCTTGAGATCAGTGGCGGCGGTGATCAGCGAGGTGACCTGCAGAGGGTACCAACCCGAGGTACCAGAGTCAGCTGCGTGAGGCTCGTAGCTGACGTCGGTGATGCGGGTAAAGTACGAGCGCATGTTGGTGGAGTTGTACGAGTTGTCGCCCGTCAGCTCGACCATGTCGTCCCAGTCCATCTCATAAGGCTGCATGCTGAAAAGAGCATTGTGGCGCGAGCAACCACCCAGAGCACCGGTACGGGGGTAGTAGATACCCAGAGGCTCAGCGCCCTCGGGAATCTGGTCGGAAGTGGCGGGTGTGCCCAGGTTGCCCGTGGCGTTGTAGGAAGTCCACTTCTTGCCTTCGGTAGTGTTGTACACCATCTTGGTGTCCCTCTTGTCAATCTCCGTGTCGTCGAACTTGTGAATGTAGTACGCCCATTCCATGCTCCAGTCCTCGGTCGAGGCAATGTTCATGGCCGGCACCTGCTGGATGAGGTCCAGACCAGAGTCACCACCAGCCTCCATGAGCAGAACCTTGAAACCAGCAATGGCAAGGTTCGAGCACATGTGACCACCACCGGGACCAGATCCAATACACACAAAGTCATACTCCATTGTCGTGTTGCTGTAAAAGTCGTGGTCATAGTCCGATGATCTCTGGGTGATGAAGGGGTTGTGGCTTGGCATGGCCAGGGCCGCAGTCATCTGCGCGAGCGCAGTGCTCATGGCGAGCTTATGCGTGAGACGCATTGTGATGAGTCTTTATTATTCCACAAAAAAAGAATGACAATTGTTGGGTTTGTGGTTTTTGGGGGTTGATTAGTTGGTTTGTGAAGGAGTGGCTAGTTAGCTGAAGAGCTGGAAGCGTGATTATTGCGTAGCTGGGCTACTAAAAAGAGTGACTGGCTTCAATTGCTGCTTGTTGGACAGGCAAACGATTGAGATCGCAAGAGTCAGTTTGGTGTCTTGTCGTTGCCTTATTAGTGAAGGATTCGCTCGGGATGCCGGGCCCGGAAAACACCCCCCTTTCCGGATTCTTTGCCTCATCAAGCACATGGTATTGGCATTTTCCGTCGGCCGTCCTTCATTCGGGCGACCCTTGACTGCAATCGGCCGAGGTTCCATGATCTCACCCACTTCCAACTTCATGGTCGGGTTGACCGAAGGGATAACCTGGCGAGCAGCCATGCTCAGCTTCTGCCGATCGTGATTTATGGTGCAGCTCTAGGCAGTGCGGCGTCTCCTCCCCGCGAAATGTCAAAACCCCACAAGGTCGTACTGACTTGCTCCAGAACGTTGTCGTACAGCAGTGTAGATGACAATACCTCTCAGCCTGACAGGTATTGCCCCCTGCAATCTGGGTATTGTAGTGGAGCGACGACAACGGTCGCTAACAAATAGAAAACGGTCGCTAGGAGTGCGATCGACACGGTCCGTGCCCGATACTCTCTCCCCCTGGCCCCCAAGCCCCGTCAACCACCCTGGCAATTCTGCAGCTGCTTCTGCTCAACACTCGTTGGCCCGTTCTTGGTCGATTGTGGATTGAGAGTTCAGGAGAATGGCTGAAAGGGTACAGTGATCGTCGACCTCTTGAGAGAAGCAGCAACTAGCGCCTTACCAGAACAATATGCGTCGACGTATGCACATACGTCTGGATGGGGATTGTATTGGAGACTCGATAAACAAGGATATGTAAGCAAGTTGGCAGTAGTTGGCAGTTAGTTTGGCAGGTTGACAGGTCCTCTTCCGCTCATAATGGTACTATGGTAGGTAGTATCCGTACTACGCTACAGAATACTACAGCACTACTCGGTAGTGTAGAACCTAGATAGGGCAGGGCCCCCATCCCCATCGAGAAATGTCTGTGAGTCTTTGCTGTACACTAAAGTCGTCAGCCGCGACGAGCTAGACATCTTGATCGTCTGCTTAGTCACAAGGGTCTTGTATCAGAAGGGAGATAGTCCTATGATGTTCAGAGCGAAGGAAGAGTCGGTCACTGTTTTAGTCTCGTCAATCAGTTTCATGGTCCTTCCTAGCAGCAGTCAGTGAATTCGAGATTGCCAAGATGACCATGCCACACCACAGCCGCCCCCAAGCAAAAACCCGAGCTCAACTCTTGAAGCAAGTCATTCCGACTTGTGGAAAACTTTCCGCATTGGCGCAGTTCCCGGCCCGCGACCGCGAATGCCGCGCGACTCCGACCGAAGCTTGGAAGCAGCAGCCAAGGCAGATAAGCTTTTAAGAGGTACCGAGATGCAAAGAAATTTGGGCATGGCATGCACCTTGTCATATTACGCAACTTCTCCGCAAAAAGGCCAGAATAGTGTGGCGTCGCCGCGAGACGAAAAGAATAAAGAATTTTAGAAGAAAAGAAGACCAGCGACTCCAGGCAGACGACCCAGCCACGACGGAGTTGCGGACTTAACTCGAGCGCACAAACAAGGGCAAGGGGTTGGGTAAAGTTGCTGCTAATAGTATTATTTTACTGGGCAGTCTTTTGTACGAGCCCGAGCTGCCCGCTCCAGTTGTATTATTATTTTACTGAGCAGTCTTTTGTACGAACCCGCTCCAGTAGTATTAGGTAACCCCTTATTATTCGCACAATCTGACAATCAATGGACTTTTTTCGTACCTATGAAAATCACAGCGGAATCGGTACTCGGGCGCTTTTGCCGGCCCCATAACCCATATCCCAGGCACCGGGACCAGGGGTTGGCCGAAAAGAAGCACTTCTTTGCAAGGGACTGAAGGGAGTTGAAGAATATTATTATGGGCCGAATTCAGCGGAGCGAAAGAGTGGACCAATAAGGGTGTCGGCCAGGGCAGCGAAATTAGGTATAATTTCTAACTTGTCGAATTTCCTAAGAACTGACATTCCATCATATGCGTTGATATATGCATTCGAGCAAATGTAATGCAGGATCTTGCCGAGCGAGTCAAAGGCGACCTTCTAGTACTATAGGGTGGTATTATATTAAAGTAAATTGGGCGATGGCGATCGGGAGCTGCTCGTAAGCTTCTGGAGTTATCTATTGAATCAGACTACCGGTACTTCGTATATCGCGGGGGGCATTCCCCGGCAGTGGGTCAACGGTTTTCTAGTGCCGTGTGTCGCTCTTCTCGTAGTGCTCTAGTTTAGCAGCCGCCTATCATCAACTTCTATGTACTAGTATGCTTCGCTGTTAATGAATTCTTCCTTGCTGGGCAGCATTGACAGTTGAGTAACTAGGTACGTAGCACACGAGGGTAGGTAGCTTGTTTGTTTGCCGATATCCAGGCCATCCCGCTGTTTGTGTGACAATGTATGACTGTCCCTCTCATCTCGCAAGCAAGGGATACACTTATATCTTGCATCTCTTATAACTTTTTGTCCAAGCATTAGGGGTCTCGCTTGGAAGTTGTAGAAGCGAGGGCATTTTATATACCCAGACGTTCGTTTATTTCCATCGCCTTCTTGTCGTTCTTCTATCCACTCTTTTTTCCTTTTTTTATCTTTAAACTTCCTTTAATTCCTATTATTGTCTCTACTGCAATCGTCCCTTGACAACTCTTCTCTCGTGACGTCTTCGAATGTTTTCCAGTAGGAAATAAAGAAAAGCAAAAATTCCCAGAGGTCAAAATGAGGCAACCATCATCGCTATGGTGGGCCTTGGCATTTTTCATGCTCGCAGCAGTCGCAGCGGCGACTGAAATGCCCGACTGTGCAGTGAGTTGCACACCTTCTCCGGAACTTTGTCTGTTTCATGTCCGCTGACAAAAGCCTCCCCAAAAACAGAAAGAGTGCCTCGTCGAATACCTGCCGACATCAGCCTGCCATGTGGCAACCAACGTTACCTGTATCTGCAGTAACGTCGAGCTCACCGAGCAAATGACAGCATGCGTTGCGACAAATTGTTCGGTGCGAGATGCATTGCGTAAGGCTACCTAGTCCCATAGCAGATGGAGTAGTCTGATATTGACTCCTGAATTTACAGTGACCGAGAGGTTCGACAGCGAAACATGCGATTGGCCAGTCACCAACGACTCGCTCGGCTTGAAAATCATCACACCGCTGTTTGGTGTGCTCGCTGTCGTTGTCTTCTGCCTGCGTGTATGGGCAAGGTGGCTGACAGGCCTGATGGTCACCTGGGGTGCAGACGACTGGGTCATGTTGGCCACTGTGGTGTTTTCGATCCCGCTCACAGTCGTATCGTACCTATTCGCTGCCAAGGGTCTTGGCAAGGACCTATACATGGTGCCCTTTGACGACATTACCTTTGTGCTCGAAATGTACTACTACTCGGAGATTCTCTACCTCGTCGTCATCTTTCTCACCAAGATCTCCATCTTGTGTTTCTATTTGCGCGTTTTCCCGAAAAAGTCCCTGCGGATGCGCGTCTACGTGGTCATCGGTCTCACTGGAGCCTGTGCGCTCGCCTTTATCCCCATCACCGTCTTCCAGTGCACGCCCATCCCGGGAGCATGGCTACGGTGGGACGGCACCTACGAGGCCGAGTGCCGCGATGTCATGGTTCAGGCACTGTGGGGTGCCATTGCCTCCATCGTCCTCGATCTTGCCACCATTCTGCTGCCCATGACGGAGCTCTGGTCACTCAACCTCTCCATCCGACGCAAGCTTGGCGTCATGCTCATGTTCGCCGTCGGTCTGTTCGTCGTCATTGTTCAAATTCTCCGCATCGTCTTCCTGCTCAAGTTCAGCGCCACGTCAAACTTTACCCGCGACTACACGGCCACGAGCGTGTGGTCCAACGTCGAGGTCTACGTCGGCATCATTTGCGCGTGCTTCCCCTACATCCGCACCCTGCTGGCGCACTTTGCTCCCCGCGTCTTTGCCACCACCAAGGATGGCAAGTCGACCAACATGTCGGGCGCCTACGCCAACACGGGCTCCAAGGGCGGCCGCAGCCAGTTCTCCCACCGCCCCGTCCACGGCGACGAGACCGACTTTGTCGAGCTGCGGACCTCGCCTGCCGCCCAAGACGGCTTCAATAGCACCACCGACCTCACGCATGGCGCGCATAGCAATAATAGGGAAAGCCGGGGCACCGAGAAGGATGAGTTCTATACGCATAATGTGCATGGAGTTGTTTAAGCGTACGTCACACATTGACGCATTTTTCCGGAAAGCAAAAATACGGCGTTGGGATAAAAAGGGTTTCGATTCAGAACGGCTATACCCAGCCTCTTGTTTTGGTAATGAAATAGTAGCCTTTTTCGGGCTTTATAAAACATAATTAGGCCGAATAAACCTATCATGGTGGCGGCTGTGAGAAAACTTCATTCTTGTCATTGCTCCCCGGTGCACGTGATTCACATTTCATTGTTTCCAACTTTCACCAACTTCGACTTGAAGAACATGGCAAAGTCTGGCTCTCTAGTATATATTGGAGCTAGGATTGTCTCGTGGCCAATTAAGCTTACTTCGCCCACAAGATCCAACCCACTACAGCGCAGAACAATGGATAGAAAACAGTAGGTCCGCATGGCGGTTGGAAAGTTGTAAGCATGATTATCTAAATACCGAGCGAGGCGGGTCGTTCTCATTCACCCTTTCCATGCAGCACTCGGACCCGCTGCTGCATACATACATACCTACTCGGCTATCGCCAAGCTTTTGAGTGCAGTCTCGAATTCAAAGCTCCAACCCTCGAGTACCATCCAAAGCATAATCATCATATGCAGTATGCCTAGGTAGGTAAGACAAAATGGGTATGAAGAAGCTCAATGACACGCTTAGTAGCAGATGGTTTCGAACCAAGCCAACTGTTCCGGTCGTCGGGACGAGACCCGAGAAGCGATGAAACAATGCAAAAATTGTCCTGCAGATAAGATTGAATCACAGAGACGTGTTTCTGGTCCATTGCCGGAAGTCTCCCAGTCGATATTGACCATGGCACTCTCTTGAACCATTCCCTTCCCTGAACTGGGTGTTCAGTCAACGAGATAGTACCCAATCGCCGAGATGGTAACCCGCCATCTTTTTCCAAAGAAACTCCCGGTCGCTAGAGATATAACTCCGCCGTCCATCATGAAGCTGGGGGGGGGGGGCTGGCGGCGTAGCACACACACCAGGATCATACCCGTCCCCATTGGGGTTCATCACAAGACTGTCGTTGGAGGATTGTATCCAGTTGAAGCTGGCAAATCCAATGTTTTATACTACACACCGAAGCGCTCGAGGACTCGTAGGAACACACCTTTTCTCAAAAGTTCACAAGTGCGACTATTTTTAGGTGCGGCACGGTTGCAAAGAATGATGGACGAGCAAATGTTCTCACGATGCGTTTTAAAATTCGGGTGCGGGCGAGTCTTACGTCGAAGGCTGTGGTACAGAGATTACTTGAGTGGGTAATCATATAGATTGGGTATTTTGTAAGACAAAGTTATATCATTCCATGCTTGGATTGATTCAGAAGCATAAACGAGCAAGATGAACAGCTGCCAAGAGCTCTCTTTCAGACGAATTCATTGGATGTTCAACGTCCATTTATTGGTGACACCTAGACGATTTTTCTTTGCCGGAGAGTCCTCAGACTGCGGCGGTGCTGGTCGACTACCTTCATGCCCGCGATACTTTAGGGTCTCAAGTGACTGACACAGCCAGCCTTTCTTCCAGCATACGCCCAATTCCTTCCCACTTGAACCGCCTTGCACAGTCGAGGGCCGAGTCCCCTTCAGAATCTCTGAAGCAAACATTGGCATTGTTGTCAAGCAAGAGTCTCACAATGGCCGCGTACCCGTAACAACATGCCCATATCAATGGCGTAGCACCAACGTTACTCTGCGCATCAATTTTGGCTCCATGCTTCAATAGCAACCGTACCGTTGTCACGTCACCAGAGCCTGCTGCCATAAATAAAGCAGTCCCACCGTTGTGTCCATTTGTGTTGATGTCAACAGCCTGATCATCCACTCCACATTCAATCCCTCCATCATAATTGTAAAAAGCCCGTACCAGCGGCGTGCCTATATCGACGCGCGCCTCGAGCTCAGCTCCATTCTCTAGAAGGAGCTGCACCGTTTTCCAGTGACCATAACCTGCTGCCATGAGCAAAGCAGTTGCACCGTCTTTGTTCTTTGCATTGATATTGGCCCCGCTCTCCAGCAACAACCTCGTGGTTTCCATATGTCCTCTGCCACAGGCTAATACCAACGGCGTTCCAAAATTGATGCAAGCCTCGAGCTTGGCTCCATACATCAGAAGCAAGTTTGCTACCTTTGGGTAGCCATAATACACCGCCAAGTGTAAAACAGATAGACCACCTCTGGGCTTGGCGTTAATATCGGCATTATTCCTAACAAGGACTTCGACCATATCGACAAAGCCATGGATGACTGCCAGCATCAAAGGAGTACGGTTATCGTATAAGACTTCGATATCAGCTCCTTGTTCTAGAAGTGCTTCAACGATGCTCTGGTCACCGGCTAATACCGCCATGGAAAGTTGTGGCGCTGCGACTTGACTTGTTAAAGTGGCATCCCCACGAAGTAAAAGCAACGCGATGGCAAAATGACGCAGCGTTAATGCCGTTTGGACAGGTGCTACAGTATTGATATCAAGACCCTTTTCGAGTAATTGCAATACTTGGAATTCGCTGCCACTGCAGATCGCCCAGAATAGGGGAGCGCTCGCTCTACTTGAGACCGAGTCGTCGAACTCCTTTCCGACATCAGCATGGCTGTCAAGCAACTTCTGTGCGACATTTTGATGGCCATTCCATATCGCCCACGACAATAGGGTTATTCCAAAGTCTCCCGTGACTTGAATGTTCGCGTCGTTTTGAAGGAGGCTCTCCACAGCGGGAAGATGTCCATAGTTGACAGCCCACCATAACGGTGTTGCGCCCAACACATCTTGAGACTCCACCTCAGCACTCTTTTGAAGTAATAGATCAACAATGTTTGAATATACTTCAGGAATCTGGCAGATTGCGAACTTCTGAGGCCCCTTATCATTTCCATCTCTTCCAAACCCCTTCTCGAATGCGTGACCATGGGAAAATTTGGGCACTTTGTAAAGACCTATGTCTTTTAGGGACTTGGCGTGTCTCAGACAAGCTGACGGGTCGACAGTATTGAGCTGCATTGATGATAAATCCTTCGCGAGTAACGACATCCACTGTTTTTGCAAAATTTGGATAGTTGATTCATGTTCACTTCCGCTTAGCATCTCATCGATCGTCCGTTGTCCGATCAACGAGTCTCCATTAGACAATACCGCTTGATAGCCGCCGCTTGCTGCTAATGAAAGAGGTGTCCGGCCGCGGTAGTCACGACAATTGACGCTCGCACCATGATCGAGTAAAAGTTCGACAACCTTCAGTGCACCGTATTCTGCAGCAAAGGACAGGGGCTTTGGGAATCCAGCTTCAACATCGGCATGGTGTTCAAGCAAGATGCTGGCTATGTCCTCTTTACCTTCTTTGGCAGCCCAACCTAAGGGTGAGAATCCTTTCGGAGCTATGGCGTTCACATCATCTCCTTCATCAAGCAATTGTCTGATGCGGCCCTTGTTCTCATTGAAAAGAGCGTACCACAACGGTGTGAGCCCTTGTCGCGGTCGTTCAAAGGATTTGGCCCAGTCAAATGTGAATGATAGGCTCTTCTCAGCCAGTTTTAATAAGACTCGGGCAATGTCACTGTTGCCTTGGATGACCATTGTCTTTACTGCATCGGCTGAAATGACAAGCTCGTCGGGTCGATGAGCTAACAGAACGCGCACGACCTCAGACTCCGGGTTCACAACCTGGAACACAGACACAAGTATTCTATCTGTGATCAAAATATCATCTTTCCGTGCTGAGAGTAAGGATCGGAGGGCTGAGAGTCTCGTGTTTCTTGCCAAGTAGATCAACAGGTCGTCCAATAAGGTTTCAATGCTTTCAAGTAGTTTGCCAATACTTTTCAGTGTGCGACAAATGTTCTCACAAGCATCTTTGTCGCAAAAGAACATGTATGCAACAACTTCTCTTATGACAAGATCTTCGCTTTTCTGGTAGTCCACGTTGATAATGCCATGACCTTTACCATGAGCACACATTCCCAGTAAGGCGAAGATTTTATCGTGATCCCTAGACGCTTTTGCTCCCTTGAGCCGCTTCAACAAATGATATAGGTCCTGTTTCGAGCTCCATGGTGACTCTGAACGCCGTTTCTGAGGCATCATATCGAGGATGGCTGTCTGTTGGGGTTCTATCTCGATGCCAAGTTGACGTACTAGATGGACGAAATTGGCGACTGGAAACGCCGCGTAACCCCAGTGAATCAAAGCTCTACGCGCATTGGCGACCTCTTGTACAATCCAAATCCTTTCAAACCACGGTTCAGCAAGTATCGACTCAACGGACCGGCGGATCTTCGCATCGAAATCATTGTATTGGTCGGCAAGTTCATCCTTCACTCTGTACCAGGTCATCTCGAAAGGAAGTTCAGGTTCAAGCTGCTGTTGTTGTCGGAGCGCTGCAAGGCTTTGGTTTAAGATAGGAGTATGCTCTGACGAGCGACCCAGGTGGAAAATGACGCGCTCTGCACTTCGATAGATTCTGTCCATCTGCCGTACCTGATGATTCTTCTCCTTGTCCAACCTTTGATCGATACAAATACCGTCGATCCACAGCAGACGATCTTGATCAGGCAGACGAAGATCTCGAATAACCAGGCTCAAGTTGTTTGTAATCTTCAGGTTCTTTCCGCAAACATCAATAGAGTCGGTAAGTTCTAGAGAGCCCCAGACATACGAGACTGCTTCATACTCCAAAAGATTACTGTCCTCTAGTGATGCATGGATGATCTCCGCCTTGATGTTGGGTCCCGTCCCTGGACAAAGTCGTACTATGCGAAATGCATGTTCTTCATGGACAATGGGGCTGTATTCGAATGGCTCCATGACGGACTCTTATTCTTCAGTCCCATCAAGAGGTATTTTGTATAGGGGTAGATTTGCGCCTCATGGCCGTTCTGTGCGCGAAGCGAGGTACACTGTCTGGTAACACGCTATGAAGAGGAACATTTTTTATTCGAATGCTTTGCTTCATTTATTGATCAAGATTGATTTTGGGCCGCGGCACCTGGGCTTATCCCAGAGAAATCTGGGCAAGATGCCTCCAGGCACACTGCTATGAGGCTCTGACGAGGCTATGCAGTCGTGGTGGGCAGCAAGCCACCGATGCTGTGAACCCCGCTTCATGCTGCAACAACATTGCTTGGAGAGCTGTGATTCGTGGGCAACAATATCTCGCATTCAGAGGGTATCATTCACGTTAAATTCAAGCTTAGCTTCGTAACATTTGACAAGTCGCAGCCACGCCTTGCTTCAAAGATTGAGTCGAAGTGAAGAGTCCGATTCGACCACATTCTTGCCAGCCCGTCAATTTGCGGTGTCAAGGCTGGTGGTCCTCGTGTGGGTGCCTCTTGCTGATTGTAAAAAATAATCACCCCATTAACAGCGGTCCCGATGTATCCTGGTCTGGTGACCAGCAATTGGATTGGTGACGGAAAGCGAGTTCCGATGGGGCCCCCCGACTTCCATTTCAATCATGATCCCGCTTGTCGCAGCAGCCCCTTCAGTGAAGAATTGCACATTCCCCAGGAATGATGAATGTGCATGACCATGGCTCAATAGGTCCTGTCAGTTTTGGCTTCGTCTCGGCCAGTCTGGTTCAATACGGCTCAGATGTATACGTATTCGCATCATCCGAATTAGGACCGGGCCGCGTTTCTCGTCCCGAGTGCGGGATCCGGGGGGGCCCCTGGGCAAAAACGTGACTGCGCTCGCCTCGACAGGAAGATGGCATGTATTGCAACGTATGCGCGTACGTGGAGAGTATTTTAATTCCTCGCTTCGGTTTCGGTCTTGGGCAGCTTTTTCCCAAGCACGACTCAGTTGTGGAAGTTGCGATGCGGGTCTGACACCAGACAAAAACTGGGTCTCAGGCCGGGCAGTTGGCAACAGAAGTACCACAAGTCGTGCAAATGTGCGCAAGTCGCAGTTTTCTGGTTGTGTCAGCAAACAAACAACGACGCTCAAGTTTATTTGTTTCAATCGTTTCTCTCTGGCGACATGTTAAACGACCAGGACGATACGGCCCGATGCATGTCTAAAGTTGTTTCTTGGTGTTTTGAGCCCCGAGTCCACCGAGGTCCAGAGCCGTTGCGCGCCCGCGCGGCCCGTTACGGGGCATTTTCCCGGTCTGCAAGGAGGAAGATATGACTGCGCTATCTATTTTCACACACACACACACACTCTCTCTCTCTCTCTCTCGACCCATGTTGGACTTACCGCTTCTTGTCCCACTACGAATTGATCAATCGAGGAAAAGTGGACGGCCGACATTGAAATGCAGTCGCGTGTCGTTGGGCCTGCTCGAAGTGCGAGATAAATGCTTTACTGTTCCAGGGTCCTGTCCAGTCCTGCCAGGGTTCTGAATTGCGATATGTAGCACGTACTTCGTATGTTCTGATTGAAATGGATACTACTGTTAATGGCTCCACCTCTCGCTGGCAGCACCCCGGGAACGACGCGGAACGCTTCCCCGGCGGCGGTCGTCTCATCTTAAAGCAATCCAACGCCCGGCCTGCCGTTGCTTGTCGTATTGTTTGCTTGTCCTGTTTGGGCAAAATAGTCGGCCATCGGTCCATCTGGTACGGCACGGTAAGAGCTATCACTCGGGGGTCCTCGCCGGGGTTTGGGGGGATCAAGGCCTCGACGAACGAGCACAGGGATTCTTCATGCTCGACCAATTCCTTGGGTTGTCTCCGGTGCATGTGATTGGCGCCCAGGGTCCTGTTCCTTGCACCTGTCGCAACGGTTTTGCATTGCCATGCAAGGGAGAGCGACCAGGCAAGCTGCTACCCTCAGGAGACCATAACGTCCAGGGTACGAACGAATGCCGACCAAATAATTCAGAAACCATACTTCAGTGCCCCACGACTTGACGCCCGACACGCTAAGAACACTTTTTTAGAAAATGAGAGCTTATCGCAATCTGGCAGACGACGTCTTTCTCTTGAGCTCTTCAAGCTGGCGTATGGCGTGGAGACCTCCATTTTCAACGCACACTCACTGACGCAATGAAGAGAATCAGACAATACATTGCGAGGATTTCGCGAACAGAACCAAGGACAGAAACCGATTCGAGGTTGTCCAGTTCTGCAACCACATCGAGAAGCTCCATTGACGAAGACGCCACGGGTATACTCGTTCTACAGGAAGGCCAGGAGCCTGAGAATGAGAGAGGCATAGATATTGTCTTTGTGCATTGCATAGGTGGCAGTCGCATCCGCTCGTGGACTAAGCACGATGTCTGCTGGCCGCGCGACCTCCTGGGTCGAGAATTCCCCCATGCGAGAATTCTCACTGTAAGGAAATTCCCGCCAGAGTCTCTCATCCGTGAGGCCATCGTGCTAACCTAAGAAGTGGGGCTATACCCTTCCAATGTTGAACAACAGCAACGTCAGTGAACACCTCGAGCGTCCGCTCGCTGATTCCCTGATAATCGACTTATCTAAAGTCAGTCGCAAGACGAGTCGCCAAATCATATTTGTGGCTCACGGTCTTGGTGGCAGTAAGTTGGCGAGATTTTTAACCCCAAGAACATTCAAGAATACCAAGTTCATACTTTTCTCCGGTTTTCAAGCATTTATTGTATAAATACTAAACTCATGAAAGTGATTGTCAAGGAGGCGCTCTCGGCCGCTGCTGTATCACAAATATACGGCAAATACTCGGAAATGGCCGACATCTATACGAAAACGATTGGGATCTTGTTTCTCGGTACGCCCCATAGGAGTACAGAGCGGCTTTCGCTCGAGGATGTCTTCGCACAAGCCGCCGTGATTGAGATGAAACGATCAGACGAGGCCTTTGTGCAATTGATAAAGAAGAGAGTGGAGTCATGGGCTACGCCAAAAGACGATTTTGTCGCATTTTCGCGCGATATGTCAGTCGTGTGCGTGAGGGAATTGATTCCAGTTACGACGCCTACAATGTCGACGGTAAGTCTTCGGCAGAGAGTCACTCTACCGCGCTAATACTTCATGGTGTAGATGGTTCCAAAATCATGTGCCACATATGAAGGCTTAAATGTCGTATCTGACGATATCTTGGCCGACCATTTCAATATAGCCAGGTTCTCGGATCGGCAAGATCCAGGTTACTTTCAGCTGGTTGGGCATCTCAGTAGAATGTCCCGTAGATCGCAATCAACTGGTGCGTCTTCCTGTCAACTATGAATGCTTTTCGCGATTCCCAGACTAAGAAAAAACACGCAGATACCGAAGCCAAGGCTGTTCGCGGCAAAGGTGTGTTCAACCACATGGTTCACGCGATGTAGTGGGGATGCTGATTACTATCCAGAAATCCTCGATGCTCTGTATTTCGACACCCAGAATAAACGAGAGCCCAGTGACGATTCTTTCGATCAGACTTGCGCATCCATCGTTGCTGGAGGCGAAGACCAGCCCTCATCGGGATTCTACAGGTGGTGCCGTTCTCCAGAAACTCTATTCTGGATCAGCGGCAATGCCGGCTCTGGTAAAACGACACTGATGAGGCATTTGTTCCACAATCCAGAAACCCGAACACACCTTGAGCAATGGGCAGGCGAGGGCACTACTGTGCTCATGGTAAGCACATATCTATGCGAAAGTGGAGAGCAGGTCCAAAAGTCCCAGGAAGGCATTTACAGATCTATCCTCCATCAAATTCTCACTGCCCGGCCTGACTTGGTCCCTGTCTGCTTCCCTAGTTTCATGGACGGCCCCTGGCCGCCGCCTATTCCTTTCAATACGGTTGTCAATCTCATGCAAGCCTTCTATCAATTGCTTTCGAAAATGGGCCGAACGTTTCGGCTTGTTGTATTCTTGGATGCCATCGATGAGTATCGCTCGACCGAGACCGATGACTTTGCCGCAAGAGCGAGCATATCTGGAGAGTCAATGGATTCTGACAGCCAAAATTCGGTTCTCGGTTCGAAAGAATGGATCGCCAGCTCACACATGGAGATAGCACGCCTATGCAGCGAGTTTTCATTCTCGGATGCTATCAAGGCTGTGATTTCTAGTAGAGAACTTCCCATATTCGAGGAGACATTCTCCCAGATTTCCCGCATGCGCGTTCATGCGAGGACACAGAATGTAATCTCACAATACTGTGCCGACCGTCTCGACGATGTTTCTCCAGGGCTCTCCTCTGGACAACAACACCTTTGCAACGAGGTTGCTCGTCTTTCCAACGGTGACTTCCTGTGGGCGAGACTGGCCATCAATATCTTGATGGAAGGATCCCTCAAGTCGCTGAGGCATACACTTGATAACCTTCCCACCCATCTCATGGGCCTCGATGGCTTATACATGCGCATAATTCAGGATCTTTCTCCTGCATATCAACGCGAAGCATGCAGAATTATCGAAATCACTCTGAGATGTCGCGATCCACCCGATATGATCACTCTAGCATTAGCCGACGAGGGATACTTGGCGAGGAAAGAGCTTCGGAAACAAAACCCCGAGCTAGGAGAACTTCTGGTACATCACGACAAAGCAAAACCGATGTCCGAGTCTGACGCAATGGAAATTTCCCGAAGCATGGAACATCGGCTGGCGACTCGCTGTGCAGGCTTCCTAGAGAAACGAGAAGGCAGTCAGCGTGTGGCATTCATGCATTTGACTACAAAAGAGTTCCTGTCAAGGCCGAGCCTTTGGGATAAGCTCTCGGTCATGAAACCCAGCAGCGTCGAGCTTGACTATTCACTCATTAGTGCAAACGTCCGCTATCTCCGGTATCTTGCCAGAACACGCTCAATCGCTTCTAGGCGGACGCGGTTCCGGATTGAGCCGAGCATATGGCTGATCATTGGTAATACTCTGCGCTACGCCGGCCGTGTGGATGACAAACCTTTTGATTTCAAAGCATACGTGGAATTGCTCGACGAGCTCGACGAGACTTGCCGAGAGGGTTGGAAACAGGCGGTCCGTGACTTTGTACCCGCACCCACTGATCTCGGCTGGTCCAACAAGGAGCGAGCCAAGCTCATGGCCTCGAGCTGGGCAAGCTTTGAACCGATGGACGTAGGGAATTCCCCATCGCGGCATAATTTCCTTGCCCTGGCTATCCAAGCAAATCTGTTGAACTACGTATCAGCAAAGCTGATGTTGCTTGATGAGGCTGAGCGGGCTACAGAAGCACAGGCCTTGCTGCAATATGCCGTCTGCCCCGAGGGAGACATTCGGTCGATCGGCGGCTCCATGGTATCATCTTGCGCCCCGCTGACCGGAAGTTACAAAGACTTTCATCATGATCTGCCCGACGCAAATTTTATACGCTTGCTTCTCACTTGCGGGGCCAGCATGCGACACCAGCAAGCTCAGGATGTATGGAAGCGGGTCTTGCAAGCTGGCCAAAAGTACTTTTCCCAAGAACAGAGCCTTGCGATAGTATCTATAGGCGCTACTGCAGGACAGGCGACGAACAAGAATCGTCGGCAATGGGTGGCCATTGTCACAATACTCTTGGATAACGGCGCAAACCCTCAGCTTCAAGTCGAGACTGGCGGTGGACATAACGACGGGTCGGTTGAGATCAGGGCGGCCATTGACATTATTGGAGATATACTGGCGGGCGAGGAAGAGTTTGCAAGAGACTTGCTCGTCATTGAGGCGGCTGCAGTGAGAGAGTCCATGGCGAGAAAGACTAGCTAGATGATTTGGACTTGTTGCGTTGGGCGTTTGGAGACATGACATTGCGTCTGGAAGTTGATTCCTTTTTTTTTTTTGTTTCCCATGGTACAAGACGATGCTTCATGTGCGGTAGAGAAAGGGGCACTTGGCATCTAGAAGGTTTGATAATGTGGGCATATTGGACCGGGTTTTCTATGGTTGTTGTTACTTGAACTTGAGAGCATCAAGTCTGCATATCCTATCGTAATCCGGTTTACTCTTTAGAAAATCATATCACGACCCAAAACTGCTTCAGCTTTGACTCGTCCATTTACTGTCAATTATGCCTATTAAATGAATCCATTCCGGAATTCTCTGTACTCGTACCTGATTCACTGGCTGCGCATGTTCTATTCATTATAAAACAGTGTACTGCGGATTCATATGAGAGAACCAGGAGCCAGAAATCCCATTTGACATTCAGATCTGAAACATTTGCCCGCGATGCGTTTGTATTTCTATTTGGCCGTTGGTTCGCTCTCCCACGGTTATCCTTGCAAACGTAGAAGGGAAGCAAGATCTGTACCAAGAAGCACTTATTGTGGACCTTGAATCGTGAGACCGGGAAAGGTGGTCGAAGGAGGAGCGGAAGAAGAAACATGAGCCCAACGGTCCTGAAGAAACATTGAGTGGTTTCTCGTCCGGGAATGCAAATGACATGATGATCATGCCACTGATCGGACAAGAGAATGATCAACTCGTTAGAAACTTCTTTTCGAGACTGGCATTCGCATATGCTTGCCTTTCTGTCGGAGTCAGCACTGGAATGTCTCGATCGTTTACAGAATTCAGGCACGCCATGTTATTAGCTAGGGGGAATATCGGACATTGCAACAAGAGCAAGATGGTCTTATTGTGGCTACGACAGTATCCCTGAGTTGCAAGTGAGACATTTTGGTCTATACACTGGGCGGCTCGGCCAGAGCACCCCGCAACCTCGTGGTAGATGATTGTAACTGGGCTCATTGATCGAAATCGCTTCGCAACCATATCCATGCATCAACTGATGCCAAAGGGCACCTTGAGAGGTATTACTGCCGGTGGTGCGTTCTGGTCTGGATGGTATATGCCTGACCTTGAGCGACTGTTCCTAGCAATGGGTGGCACATCATATCTGGTTCATGCCCAAGTGTCTCGGACGGTGAATAAACCCCCCACAGAGGTAAGTGGTGACGAGGTCCCTGAGCCGTTGCGGCTGAGCAACGCATCTGATGTCGCGATCTGCACCAGGGATGAGCTGGCCAAGGGGTCCAATCGCACGTGGATTCCTGTGTTCTGGACGGGATATCACATTACTTGTCAAGTCAGGCATCGTCAGTTTCCCTCATGCGCAAGACTCGGAGAGACAAGGAGACCCAAGCCACTACGGCCGGTCATCTGCTCTTTGATTCGAGTCTCGGTATATTGCAATTGCATGTTTGGAGTCATGGATATGAAAGTGCAAGTTCTGGCGAACTTGTTCCGCCTTTTTCAATCACAGAATTGCCCATCTCAGATAGACCTTGGCGCATCGAATCATGGGTATAAATTCATTCTCACGTATCCTATACTACTTGTCAAGCGGCAAACATGGTGGCTGTTCGAGGCAACCTTGTCTCACAGCCTTCTCGTTTCACATAGATGAAAACCATTGGGCTCTATTGGCTATATACGCTACCAACTTGAATCTTCTATGATCAATCGACTTTGGCCGCTGCAGGGGAACAGCCGCCACGGGCAGCTAGAGGAGAGAAAAAGCAATATCATGAAACTTGACCTCTGGGCTTACCACTACAGCCCAGCACACAAGATGATACTCTCAAAACGTAATTGTATCATTCCTTACTCGTCATATGTTCATGGTCGCCATCGAGTAATGGGCGTCATGACTAGAGAAAGCAAGGCGCCTTTGCAGTCATGACCTGAAAAAAAAAAAGTTCATCCGTATGTCCGTTTTACACCACCTTTGTTGTTTTCCCAAGGCCGCGGTCCCAAAAAAGGCCCATCGATTCCAAATCCCAGCGAGAGAGCGCGCGCGCCTCGGCCTGCAGATTTTCTGCAAAATGCCCTCCCTTGTCGGACTGCAAATATGGGTGAACCCGCATATACTTTCTTGCTGCCCTATGTCCTTTTGCCAGGTTTTGTATGCAATCGACAGCCCCAGATCCATGCCACGTCGGCAGTGTACTTGTATTGGGTAGATCTTTTTTGCTCTATCTATTCCACGTCGCTGTGTTTTTTTTTTTCTGGTTCACTGCTGCTCCCGCCACGTCGCGGCTAGATTATCAGTTCTGGGCTCTTTTCTTTTTCTTTCGTTTTTTTCCTTTGCCTTCCCAAGCGAAAAGCCGCCCGCTGTCGTGGCAAGGGACCCAAGAACCCTAGAACTGGTCCTTTCCAATCCACCCCCAGCCCAAGTCTTATGCCCTCACCGAGCTGACCGGGGAACAGGGAAGATACTGATCCCAGCTGCAGGTTCGTAGCTTACGCAGAGTACTATACATCTACCTTACTAGTATCTCGATCTCTTTGATACCTACATACCTACATACTGCATTACATAGACCCAAGGCCATGGAGTGATTGAAAAAGTCAGGCCACTAAAAACTCGCATACCAATACCAAATTCCCTTGCCCCCTCTTCCCAAATGCCGGGTTACAATTTAAAAAAAATTTCATTCTCTTTCTTATTCCCTTTTTACTTGCTCATCCATGACTGCAAGAGTCTAGACTTTCACACTTGCAATACCCCACGTCATTGGCGCCATTGACTGGTTCGGCACCCGGGGTCAAATGCGATTGGTTCTTTGAAAAAAAGTAGCATCTTTTCACAATGCCGAGAGCAAAAAGCATGTGTATGCCATTTAGGGAAATAGAAGATACCTCCGAGGTGATTGAAGCCACTATTGACTGTCTACTGCATTGCAGTTTTCCGTGTGCTAGGACCTTTTTTTTTTTCTCCCTTTCTCCCTCATCGACTTGTAATTAGTCTCATGGGGAACATATCCCGTCATACCTAGTATAGTAGTAGTATTAGTTGCAGCTCGCACATTTTTGCATATTTTTTTTTAACCTTTAGCTAGTTGCAATAGTATCAAGTGGCAAGAGTCCGCGAGCAGAGTAGAAGAGAGTAGAAGCATGCATGGTAGCATTGTAGCATCAGCGCCGGCCCAATTCAGCGGCCTTCTAACCCATCACCCTTCTCAGTCCCAGACCAGAAGAACTTAAAAGAAGAGGGAAAAAGCTACCCAAAGGGTCTTGCGCGCGAGTCAATGGAAAACTATTCGCCAAGCGCCAGGCGCACGCGACAAATGGGGCAATGGTCCAGAGCCGGTGGGCGGCTTTGTGGTTCCCGCAAAAAAAGAGTGACTCAAGGTTCGCGGCAGTAATGAAAAAGAGAGTATTGGAGTTTGATCAAATCGTTCTATTGCCCACTAGACCTTGAACGTCTTCTGATTCGCTGTTCTCAATTGCTTCTATAGTGTGCTTTCCCCTTCCCCGTCTGTCTACTGTCCTCATGTGTTGCGTAAAACCACCGTCAGCTGCGCCATATAGTCCGAAAGTTACTCCTCTTTACTCTTGAGCTCTGTCATGTAATACTGTGCCTTCTCCCATCCGATTCGTCCATTTGGCAAGAAAAGATTTCAAGGCTCTTTTCTCGTAAAACGGCCGACTTGGAACCCCATTACAGACGCGCGTGGCGATTTCGGCACATACGTACGGGTGGTCTAATAAACCGAATGCTGCAGGGAAGAAGGAAAAAACTTCTGTCATTCCAATCTTTGTCATTCCCATGGTTAAGCCCTTCCCACCCCTCCACCACCATCTTCAAAGATGCCGCACTTGGCAAGCGTTGGTGCTGACGGTCTGCACTGCCGCCCATCCCACACACACGCACAATCGAATCGCCAAGTGGGTGTGGTGTGGTGTGCTTCTCTCACTACGGGACGTTCTTCTGGCCTGCATTCTAGGCTGGAATAACCTTACTTACCCCTTGGACCTACGTACATGATGAATGCAAAACCCGTGTCCGGTGGACGTGATGGTGTGTAGGTCAGCATCATTGAGCAGGAGGGCGACATGCCAGACAAGACCCGACACGGCAGCAAAAGCTGTAGATGTGACCTGTCACTGCACATCTGACATCATTGGCGCCAATCTATCATCCGCACCCTGAGGACCCCCCTCGCCCCCATTCCTTCAAATCATTCGGTTGTCCAGCTGAAGGGGTGGGAAGGCTTGGGAGGGGGGTTTGGGCCCTTTCCAATAAAGCCCTCCCACACTCCGGGATTCAAGATGCAAGGGACCGACCAGCTACGTGGGAGAGGGAGAGAAAACTCTGACGAACTTGCATCCTCGCCTCGGAGGGCGGGGGAAATATATTGATGAGTGGGTGGTGTGAGTGGGCGTAGTCTGCGCGCGCGCGTCAAAACGCAAGTGTAAATCTGCGGGCAAAGTGAGAGAGGTACTGGTCGGACCCCGACCGATTGCTCATCTGCCAGCTTGCATAGGTAACCAATCCAACGGCGTCGTCTTCTTTGCGCTCTCTCAGAGAGAGTGACTCTTTAGACTTTGCTCATCAAGCAGACCCTTGCACGCGTTTTTTCATCACTCCTCGCGTCGAGTCCATCTTCTCCAATCACATTGCGAGCGCAAGAGTTGAGGGCCGAATCGGGCTCTGCCACACCAAGATTTTTTTTGTGCCTGCATTAGCGCTGCGACATTTGGAGGGGAAAACGGAGACGACGGGATAATCGAGACCACACCTCCAAGAACCCGGGGGGAGGAGAGAGAGGAAAAAAAAAGAACATATCCTCCACTCTATTACATATTACCAGAAGTACATGTCAGTGTCAAATGTCAGCACTGACAAAGAACGGGCCCGATGCAAGTTGCAAACAACGCAGAAAACGTATGTACATATTGAAGAAGCGATGGAGGGTAGGTAATATTCTTGAACCTTGATGGTCGATCTCCCTGCTTTACGATGCCCGGGTCCTCGGCTG